TGATTCTTACGACATTTTTGGTCACTTTTATCTGATAACCAATCCTTCCGAGCAAATAACTTTGTTTCCCCTTCACTGCTGTTCCTTGGCAGTTTTATCAGTTTTGAGCTGGGTTTTGTTGTACAAACCGACGTAGTAAAATAGTTGACTCCACAGATAAAATTTTAAATGTTATAGTTTCAGACTTAATAAATAATGATAAATGTTAATAAATTTAAAAAAAAAAATCAAAGTGAATGTGCAGCAGTGAATTTAATTTAAATTTAATGTTGAAGTCAAAATTAAATTCTATTAATTTCAAAATATTTTTATGTTCTACAGATCAAATTTTCGACTCAGTTTTTTAAACACAACATTAGAAACTAAAAATTGATAAACGGAAAAAAATTGCAGGTGTCGATGAGTGAAAAAACCCTAGCAATTTTGGAGGTTCTGTTTAAAACCTTCAAATAATGACTAGTTTAAACTAGTCTAAACTAGTAATCTCTGATATTCTTGATGAGTGCAAGGTACGACAATATCTATACACGTTGTTTATTTTCAGCTAATTATATTTTGGACAAATAAACAACAATAATTTATTTTCTCCGTACAGTTGCAAATTAAGTTTATTTGTGTACCACAAGGCAATTTTTGCCTATAACGAGATGCATCATCCAAATATTTAAAAAATTTCCAAAAACTCAAGCAGAATGGAATCGGATTTCTTCTTTTAAAAGTTGACTCTTTTATAAAAGCTTCTAGACTTATCGCGCGCGATAGTTTCATTTTATAAGGAAGCAAGCGCGGGGCTTCTGCAGTCGGCGCGAGCGGTGACCTCATTACTTTTCCCGCGGGAGAATTTCGCACCGAAAATTTCAAATACATACACATATATATTGAGATAGGACCTTTCCCTAGCATTGAATCGAGAGCTTCAACAGATGCGGGCTTCTCTCTCCGACACGGCACGCGCACACTTCATTACATTCATCAAGATCCATGATGGAGAGCCACGTGAGAACGAACGACAGCTTCTTAAAAACAATTACTATCATATATTTAAAATTAAAAAAAAAAAAAAAAACTCAAATTCATAAGTAAAAAATATATTTGTTAAAAAATCAGGCTTTTGGAGGTTTAATTTCCTCAGGAATCTGTGCTAATTTATTTATTTAATCAAGAGTTATGAATTCAAAATTATTGGTGATTTGAATTGAAAATTGGATGGGTTGTTTATTGTTTAAGAAAAAAAGAATATTATCCTGCTCTACATATTTTGGCTTAGGGCTACGGCCATAATTTGTGAGAGGTGAAATAATTTTGACAAGAATTAGCTCAAAAGTCAATGTTTAAAAAAATATATATTTCATTTTAATTAAAAATTTCAGTGACAAATTATTTAAGAATTATTACGTAAAAAAAATGCATCTGATAAAAACCTCGCTTGAAGGGCTATTTTTAATCGTTTTCCTGCTTTTTTGTGTTGTTTCTTGCAATATAATTTTTTTTAATTTCAAAATGTGAACTTAGTGACGGGCGCACCCACGCTCTCTGGCATGTATCACGTCACCACCGCCGCACTGATCATCATCAAACCAAATCCATTTCCCCATCCAGCCACCCTTCATTCCCCTCTCTCAAATACCCACGGGGTTTCCGTTTGCAGACGACAAAAGGGAAAGAGACTCGGGTTTTTTTACTTGCATTTCGCGGACTGTCTGCAGTGGCAAGCATTTTTCCGGCGCTAAACATGTAAATAAATTAAGTAAGAATTTTGCCTTTCCTTCTGAAACTTGACAGTTTTTAATATTTTGACGATGTTGGCTGTGAGTGTTTTGAGTCAAAAGTGGTGTTATATTGGCTCAACAATTGTAATATATATTTCCTAAAAACGTTTTCAGTTTAATTTTGTTTTTATCAAAAAGTTGAAAAAAAAATACCTTCAAAATTTAAAATGAATCACTAATGTTGAGACTGAATTTGCAACCATAAATATTTCTCTAGAAAGAAACTTAAATAATAATTAATTAATAATAATTACTTTTGTATACTACAAAATTGCAATTTATTTGCTAACTTTGAATCATTCTAAGCTTGGGTTTGCACGCAGTCTGCTCCTGTTTGCCTCATAGCGCAGAGCTTTATTGACAGCTGCCTCCCTTTGCTCTCTCTCAAAGGATGTTCATGCCGCGTTTTCTTGTGTATATGCTCAGCGAGAAAAGTTCTTTTTAATGATGCGGTCCTCTCAGTGTGTGCGATACTGCAAGTTCAAGACAGCTTATTGCAGCTCGCCCGGTCGCTCCCACTCAAATATTATGCAACGCTGCTATGGCCTTACCTAACAAATATCTCAAATTTCAATTTCGTCATAAATTATTATTGTGCAATGTTGTTGACTATTCATTATGGTATTTTATAACATTTCAGGTCGATAAATTTAATTTTATGAAGAAAAAACACTTTAAATCTTTTGTAGGGCAATTTAGGTCAGGGCTTAAAATTTAATTTTAATAATTATAAAAAAGATAAATAATGAAATGTCCACCTTTTGTTGTTGTACTGATTATTAATTTTATGCAATGAGAATTAATGAAATAAAAAAATAAATTCTTGTTAATTTGTCCAATTTTTGCATCAAATTGTTTAATTTCTTTAATTAAATTGTTGAAAATAATTTATTTGATAAAAAAAATAATTATAATATGTTGGATGAAACGGCATCACTACTAGCAAGAATTTTGTTAAAAATTTTCTATATCAAAAGCACTCTAATAGCTGATCCTCGGTTAGAAATTGTAACTTATAAATTATGCATATTTACTGAACACAGCGAGGTGTACATTGATGAGTCGGAAAGCAGACGAGCATGTCAAAGGGTTGTGTTTGGAAATCAACAAAGTCTGGGCCGGAACATACAAAATTAAATCACTCTTAAATAACCCTTGAGGTCTGATTTTAGCCTCATTTAAAAAAAAAATGTATATTATATATTTTAAAAATCCAAAAATTATGAAGACTAACAAGTCTAACAACGCAGAAAAGTATTAAATTAACAAACACTTTCTTCCTCAGGACTATAATAAAGTCTGATTTTTAGTGTCGTCTAATTTTTTTTTTCAAAATCTATGACAAATAACGTTTAAAGACGCAGAATTTTTTTACTATAACTTCCAAAGGACTCTATAATCCATAATGTCTGATTTTAGCCTCGTCTTAAAGTATTTTGGCGTCTCTTTCACAATTTATTACTTTTGCTGATGTAGCTTGCCTTTTTCAAAAGAAAAAAAAGAAAGCCCCAACAACGCTTGGCACCCTCATTGCACCTGCAACGTATCAAACATATAAGCAAACAAAAAAATGCAGCAGCTCCTGCCGAGACAAAAGTCACGCCAGACGTAGAACCAGGCGCATTCAGTCTCTTGAATCCCAATGCGGAAAAGTACATTGAAATAATTTACCACTGCAAAAATTTCATACTTATTTTCACATTTAATCTTCAAGTCAGGCAGGCAGACTTTTGAAAAGAAATATTATTATGGTTTCATAATTTGTCTTTTTATTTAATAATTTTTGAATTTTATTTAATTGAAATAGTATAATTGAAAAAATGCGCAAAAAAATAAACAACAATAATAATTATATTGTCTAAGCAGATCTTTGGTTTAAAAATAATTATTAGCGAGAGAAAGGTCAGCCTTTTTATTTTGTTTTCTCTCCCTTTTACTTTTAACAGCAGTTCAATAAAGATTTCACTTCGAGTTAAGTCTAAATTAATAAATTGCTGAAAATTCTCTCGACGAGCGTTCTCTTGAGAAGTGCGTGCGATTGTAAAAATGGCCAAAGCTAGACACACACATGGAGCGAGCACAGCCTCGCAAGTGTGGCCAGATGTCATCTTTCCGGTCGAGACTCACTCATCAGCAGTCGCCAGATACAAACCACACAATCGCTAAATGCAAGCAGCAGCGACGAGGCGCTCCTCCCTCATGGAAATCGCCGCGGTGTGGGTTACTCATCCGATGACACAGCGATCGGCCGTTTGAGCTGGGGAATTAACAGAGTGATTGCTTGGCTGACGCACGTCTCCGGCACAACTAGCGATTATCAACATTTCCGCGTAGTTTCTTTCCAACTGCAGAGAAAATTGAATTGTTTTGTTTCAATCGAGTGGATAAATTTATTCCGAATGAATTATTGTCAAATAAATGCGATTTCTCGCCAAAAAATCGCAAACAAACTTCCTTTTTTTGTGAATTAATTTATTTATAATGAATGAAAGAACAAAAAACCAAAATATTCTCATTTAATTATAAAAAATTTAAATGACACATGCTCCAACTTCACATTTTAAAATGTAGTAAATTTAATTCATAAATTTCTAATTAAAAAATATAATTGTGAAGTTCACAGAGCTAGGAAAATTTTGATTAGACTTGGATTAAATAATTCAAGCTTTTAAATGAATGAACATAAAATAATTAAAACACACAAAACATATTTTAAATGCCTGAAAACCAACGGTGAATAAGTTTACTTCCTTCCTGTCCATTCTTCCTTGAACTTTAAATTCCTGCACTTCCGCTCCACCTTTCTACCAGACGGTCCCTGAAGAATGCAGAAAATGTGCGCCACAGATGCAGACAAGCCTTGAAGAGCAATTTGAACAGTTTCTTTCCTCATCATTATCACTCAATTATGCACAACTCGCTAATTGGATTCGGTGACTGAAAATCTTTTCCTCTAGTGTAAATTATTAATTATTGGCGTTCACAAGCATTTTAAGTTAATTAAACTTGTCTCTCAAAAAGTATTTACTATTCCAATGAAAAATTGCAAAAAGAGCAAAATCAAAAAGTTGATTCCTTAGAGACATTTAATTCTAATGTGAAAGTTTTTGAATTATTTTCCAAATTAAAATTAGTAGGTATTTTATAGGAAATTAAACTTGAAGCGTGGAAAATATTGAAACAATGATTTTCAAATTTTCGATATTTTGCACGCCGTTGGACAGCAGGAGATATTTTTTATAAACCATGTATTAAAACATATTCATCGTTTTTCATCATCTGTACATTAAAAACTATACATGAAAACATACTTGCACTGCTCTTTATACAAAAAATGATAAAATGTTCCACGTGCAGAGAATGGCGGAGGAGAGTTTACAAGAATTTTTGCAAATCGAAATTACAGAATTTGATATGCATTTCAAAATTTTTCTATCGGCAGACAGCACGAAATGACAACTAGTGAATAAAAAGTGCGCGGAAATATAATGAAAAGCACTTAATCATTGTAATAAATAAAATCTTCCGGTCTTCTATACACAGATTAATTAACCATTACAACATGGCAAAGTACGTTTCAGCACTTCTAGTTATTGTGTTGCATGTTGATATATAAAATTTGCTTACATTTTTCAATTTCGACTACTACGAAGCAAGCATCGTGGGAAAGTTCAAAAACGGGTATACACAATTCTCTTTTTCTCTGGGAACAAGATTTATTTTTCGCAAATTCCAAAAATACAAATACTTTCTTGTTAATGCGTGAATTATTTTTTCTCTCTCTTTCAATCAGACAATAATAATTATGATACGGTTCATTTAATATTTTTAAAAGCGGCATAGGGAAATCGTTCTCAGCTGGGGAGAATAATTTACACTATCAGCTCGGCTGCGGTCTGACCGATAAGATAAAGTTGTTTTGCGCAGCGACCACAGAACGTGACTGGCTCTAGGGCGACAAGTTTTGAGAAAAGAGAACAAAAATGGGGGTTTTCGTTGCTCGAAAGAAGCAAATAATAATAATAAAAAATCGGATCGGTGGTCCCGATAAAGTGATCTAAAAAATTTGCTAAAATTGATCTAAAACGAAAACTCACAGCAGGAAGTGATTCCAAATTCGTTTCTTGCAACATCCGGCGGTGATTCATTTCACAAACGGCCTGGGGCGGCTCATTTCGCGTGACGTCAGCCGCCAAGGTAAGGAAGGTCGCCTTTAGAAAGTGAAAATCCACGGGTCAGAGACAAACAGAGCGAGAGAGGAACATTGAATCGGTGAAGAAAGGAGAATTTTTCAATAATAATAATAATGATAAAAATTAGAAGAAACTATTACGGTCCTCGGCCTGCACTGATTAGTCGGAAATATCACATGGAGTGCGTCGTACATTGTTTGTTTTTCATTTTCCAAATTAAAAAAGAAAATCTCGCCACTGAACACTTGAGACTACAGCACTGTACAGCAGCAGTAGGACTTCTTCTCCTTCTCAGGGTTGTAGTTCATCTCGCGGACGACCTCGGCGAACACCTCGTTCACGTTGGTCCTGCTTTTGGCACTGGCTTCGAGGAAGGGGCAGGTCCAGGTCTGCGCCAGGGCCATGCCCTCGATGGTGGACACCTCGCGCTGGTGCTCGAGGTCGAGCTTGTTGGCCACCAGCAGGATGGGCACGCGCTCCGAGTTCTTGACCCTGGTGATGAGCTCCTTCATGGGCTTGATGTCCTGGAACGTCTGGTGGTTGGTCAGGCTGTACACGACCACGAAGCCCTGGCCGTTCTTGATGTACAGGTCGCGCATGCTGGCGAACTGCTCGGTGCCCGCCGTGTCCAGGATCTCGAGCACGCACGGCGAGCTGTCCACCTCGATCTCCTTGCGGTAAAAGTCCTCGATGGTCGGGTCGTACTTCTCCATGAAGCAGCCGGACACGAACTGCACGGTCAGGGCGCTCTTGCCAACCCCGCCCGAGCCCAGCACCACCACCTTGAACTCGCGCATATTTCGCGACGTGTGTCAAACTGCTCGCGACGAGGCGCCGCGGGGCGCCGCCGGCACCGCCAAAGGCACTCACTCGACGCTGCGCCGCTCGCACCACGTTTCGCGGGCGCCGATCACACCAGACGCGGCTCCATCCAGGCTGTCCTACTGCGTTTCCAACCAAAACAAGCGGCCCATCTCAGTGTCCGCACTCAGACAGCCATCTTGCAACAGACTGATGATGACGACCGAGCACCACCGAACGACGGCTTCCGCCGAGCCTTCCGAACGGGCACGAACGCTGCTTCCAATAACAACCGCGCGCACCCTCTGTTGAGCGCCACCGAAACGTCGTCACTCGGCAATGCAGGTTTGCCAACCAACCAAAAGCCACCGTGAAATTGTTATAAAATAATTTCATTAATTGATTGATTATCATTAAATAATTCATCAGATTTTATTGCAAAATTTCCTCAAATTTCCTAATTCATCTCCTCAGATTAGCCATCAAAGGGTTTTTAAAGAAATTCTTAATAGAGAAACATATTTGGAAAAATAGGCGAAAATAATTTATTTTTAGCGTAGTAAAACAAAAAAAAAAAATTTAAAAAAAAGCTAATTGAAGAGCGAGAAAATTTAAAAAAGTGGCAAGCCGTTATCTGGCTTCCTAAAAATTAAATAGCCACTCTGCGTTTAAAAATGAAGAATATACATTGTCAACACTTGTGTAGCTGCATATATGAGAGTATTTTGCTGGCTTCCATAATCCATAACTTGCAATGCATAGTAACCTTACGTAAATTATTAATTTATAATTTTTTAAGGAAAATAAATTAGTTAATTTTTAAGTTTAAGAAAAAAAATTAGTCACTTTAATTATTTAAATTATTTTCATTATAAAAAAATATCACGCAATTTTAAGATAATTGAATTTTTATAATTTAATTTGAAATTAAATTTAAGTCTAGATTAATTAAATTTTTATGTTGTTGTATATTGATTGAGTTATTAAATAAAATAAATTTTAATTTTTAAAAATTTCTTTTTTAATTTAAAAAAATATGATTGTGTATTGCAAGTTTTTAATATTTCGCGCGTACTAATGCGTTTAAATGTTGATATATAAAAATTAATTTAGAATTTTATTGAAAAAATTGATAATTTTTTTATGTTGGTCAAAAATCGATGCTAATATTGTCAATTTTACACAATAATCAAGTAAAAATATGAGGACAAAATTATTAAGAAAGTAATAACATAAAGATTAAAGAGACAAAAAAAAATTTTGTGTTTAGTGAAATTCTTCTGCAACAGTTGGCTGCTCCATATTGTGCGAGGATTGCGTGACGCTCGCAGTCTAACAAGTTTGTGTGTCTATCAAAATATTTGCGTGTATTTTTGCACGACAACGCCTTAGTCTATGAGGACCCTCTTGATTTTAAAATTAGAGACGTAGGCGTGGCTTCTCATTAATTTGCAGGTCTAGCTCTAAAATTCGCAATCAGGTATATTATTTTAAAGTTTACTCCGCAGTTTTAAGGAAATAAGTAGTATGAATTTCTACACCGGGTACAATTTTGCCGAAAACAACGACCTTGAAAATCGCCATAGCTGTGTAAATTTAATCATACGTGCAGTGAAACATACTATAATATTTCCACAAGTCTAGGCGAAAAACTGGACGAATTGTCAGTAAAAATAAAAATCTGCAAAAGATCTAAACTATTCAGTGAATTACGAAACATTTTATTGCTCGGCGCGACCAAACCAAGAGTGGCGGCGGCGGTGTTTTTTTTCCCGTGTCCACCGCTAACAAAAGTTGCCCGAAATAGAAAGTGTTTCAATGTAGTCAATGTGCTGTACACAACCTGATAATGGGGTCTTTCTTTTTCAAGGTACAACACCTGCCTGCAGTGAGAGTGAGTCAGTTGCAGTTTAGACTCTCTTCGCAAACATTGCTGACAAAAAACATTGAAAAAAATGGCATACCCGCCTTTACCAAATCAATCGCAGTATCCCCCGGGAGGTAAGCAAAGTTTCCGACGTAGACGCAGAGGTTAATATTTTACAATTATCTTTTTGTTGTAAAAATCTGAAATTAATCACACCAGTTGCACAAAAAGCAGGACATGTTCGTGAAGAGAATTTTTTTCATAATTATATTTTATTGAAACTTTAATTTCAACTGTGACAACTTTTGTCAATGAATATTGGTAAATTATTGATATTTTTATAACATTTTTATCGCAATATTTAGATAAATTACATAAGACGAAAATGTAAGATAGACAAAAAAAATTTTACGGTGATTTGAATTTAAAATCGGCTTTTCCTTGATGCTTGATGGGTTTTGTTTGTTTATTTGTTAAAAGAAATATTGTTTTTTTCTGTTTACCATGAATCAAATCAACCCTCGCTCGTTAAAGTCAACAACACACTAAAAATGACACTTCAATTTAATTGAGTTGAGATGTTTTCTATTCTCTAAAAAAATTTTATCGTTTCCTGAGCATTTTTGGTTTTTTTTTTATCTATGGTGGTCATGCCAGAAAAAAATCTTTCCGGTCTCTGTGGCCTTCATTGTTAACTATTTGTCTTTTTGGGAGTAAACTTTAATATTCAAAAGATCAAATCGTTATTTGTGTCCGACGCGCAAAATTTTATATCTTTCACTAGATAAGAGTTTTTGAGATAATTAAACAATTGATTTTTTATGCTATCAATAAATTTTTACTTATTTCTTTGTTGGGTGTCATTGCTTTTTTAAGCATACATAATTAAATGCAGACTTTCAGAACCTTTAAATTTAAAAAGTTAAGGCGAAATTCCTCCAGAACAGGTTCTTTTGTTGTGAAAATATGATGCAAATAATTCAAATAAGAAATACCTACTGTGCGTACATGTTGAGCCTCCGCAAATGTTATTGAGCTCCTCACAGGGCTCATCGATGCCCAATTTAGTCATGCCTGCTTTTTTTAGCTTTGGTGTGTCAGTTAACGACAAACGTCGTCACCAGCTTTTTATCACTGGAGATAACCCGATCGCTGGGAAACTTTTCCTCTTTCCAGCGTCGATGCCACAACCCAGTATCGGCTTCAACATGTCCCAGCCTGGCGAGAACCCGGCGTACCCGCAGCCCGGAGGCTACGGCGCCCCCTATCCGCCTGCCACGTCACCTGGCTACCCTCCGCCGGCCGGATATCCACCCCCGGCCGCCCCCGGAGGCGGCTACCCTCCGCCCCAGCAGCAGCAGGGCTACCCTGGCGGCTACGCGCCGCCCGCAGGATACGCGGCGCCGCCGATGGGCCAGCCCATCACGCAGCAGCCGGCGCCGGCCGGAGGTAGTAGAATTCCTAGATTTGTTTGCAAATACGGTCTCGGCTTTGTGGGCCTCGTGTTGATTTATGTCATGGTCTCGCGCTACCTTTACAGGAACTTTTACCACGATTGAACTTTGACTTTGGCAAGGTGACAATAATTTGTGCGCTCTTTGTAAAACGTTGAGCAAAACTCGTCTCTCTGAAAAAGGGTTCTTGCTTATCTCTCATTGCTGGATTATTTATTTACCTCGCCTTGCATTATCTTAACTTTTCTGATCCTTTCTGCACCACAACTGATATTTCTATCTTTCCACGAAGCACAAAGAAATTTTTGATAAATATATTGGCGCCGGTTGGTGCATTTGATAAAAATAAATCAACTTCCTGTGGGTTCCATTAATTTTTCTTGTCTGTTTCTTTCTCAAAATTTTTCACTTTTATCTTCTAATAATTTCATCAATGCATCAAAATACGTTGCACAATGTAATGAAAAAGGTGAAGTGACTGTAAAAAAAGTGGTCGGTGAAATTAAGTCCCAACTTTAAAGTAAAATTGCAAAACATTTTAAACAAGTAATTCGCAGTAATTTAATTTCACTAAAACTTTGAAAAACCAACAACATTTATGGAATTAACCCTCGATCGTAAATTCCTACCATAAAACTTTTTTTGTAATATAAAAATGGTGTAACGCGATTTAATAAACTTAAAAAAATTCCATTTAATGTATTTTCATCTTTTTTTTTCGCCTAATTCTTTAGTAATTATTTAAACCCTTTTTTCATCAAATAAATAATCTTAATGTTTTTTTTTCTTCCAATTTTCCATCACATGTACAAGAGATAAAAAATTCAAGTAAGAATATTTCATTTTGTCGGGAGGGGGGTATAGATTTTATTTTTATATGCGTGACTCTTCATTATATGCATAGAGATAGTATACATAATATTTCACCTTGATTGAATGAACACGGCACATATTTTATCTCGATCCGAAGCTTGTTTTGCTTGATATTTGATTTGCTTGAACGTGCTGTGTGGGTAGATTATCTTTTAAGAAACAAACAGAATACGATCGAGTTTTATTTTCCCTTGGAGAAATAAATATTCCCTTGGAGCGGAGTCCAATTAATTAGCATTTCTTTCGGTGCATAAACTGGCGGTGATGGGCTTATTAACGGTTCATGGCCAAGCTGCGGCTCAACACTGGATCTCCGTTTGCCAGAGTATTTTTCCTCCTGCTGCAACTTTATGCAAATGATACTGTTTGTGGCGAGCGCGCTTTTAACTTGGGCGTCGAAATTGCTCCACTTTATCTTCGTCCTTTAACAATTCGTCAAATTCGAAATTAATCTAAAAGCTCACTTTTATTAATTTATTTGATTCACCGGAACCAAACAAGTTATTCATGCAAATAACTAGTTTGAACGCGAGATTTGCCAACACCACTTTTCTTGCATCACCATCATCATTGGCAGCATATATAAGAACACCTCTAAGTAAGACGCGTCACGTGCGTTTACAATAATACAATATGTTGCTCTTTCGCCATAAAAAAACACAAGCACCTCGATCGTCACTCTCTCACTTGACGTCTCTCTCCACTTGTCGATCGCCCGCTCACCTAGCAAGATGCATATATGTTATTTAGTTTTCTGATAACATGATTTGTGTCTCGCGCTTCTTTTTTGGACCTTGGCTGCTATTATCTTTCCAATGAGCAAATATTGACTTGGAGCGACTGCAAAGGCTGTTCTCGGAACGCCCGTTTGTCCACCGCTTCATAGCAACGGACGCTCTTCTTTGACATGGACACTCGCCAGGGCGAACGGCAGCCCTTGCTCGGCGGCCACGGCGCTCAACCCACCTACCAATTCATTCGCACCAGGGCGCGACGCGTGCTGCTCAGACGAATGTGGAACAGGATGGTCGTCCATCTGCGCGGCGGCTACACCAGGTAGGCTAATTATTAATTAGTTTTTAAATTTTTTGTATTCGTAGAAACCAGAAGAACGTCAATAATCATGTCATAAATGTCACAAATCTAAATTCTATCGTGGGAATTTTTTTCCTTGGAGTAAAAAAAATTGATCCCGGGTCTCATATATATATATATATATATATATATATATATTTATATTAATAAAGATGAAACTCTTTTAGTAATTGTAATTTATAATTAATGGAGAAAAATATTTATTAGATTTTATTTTTTATAAACTAAATTTCCCACTCGTACCCTGATAACTAATCTACTGACATTTTGCCTCTTTCCAGAATAAACCAGCAATACCGCCGACGCGTGCACCGTCCTAAGGATTTTGTGACCATCGACACAAAAGAAGACTTGCTTTGGGCCAAAATGCTCTCTCAGTGCAGCAGCCCTTATTTCACCGACCTGGACAATGTCCACGACATGGCCATTAAGGCCATCGAGTCAGGCGGACTTGCTGTCTTCTGACGAAAAATGTTAAACCCGCCAAAGTCAAAGTTCCTCTGTAAATACTCTGTACATAGAAAACTGATCATTATTGTGTTCTTTTTCATATACTCATGTGTGAGTTAAGTCGGGAGACGATAAAAATTTTTTTCTATAAATTTTCTGGGCTGCTGTTCTAGGCGGCGAAAACTGGATGCAAGCTCCGAATGCACAGTCAAACTGCCCTCCTGGCTTGGAATATCTCACCATGATCGACCAACTGCTTGTGCACCAGAAGGTTGAAGTACTTGAAGGTAATTTTCATTATTTGAATTAAGTAAGAGATAAAACTATTTTATTATATTTTTGTAGCCATAACTGGATTTGAAACGGCCAACAAGTTCTCCGTGAAGAACAGCTTGGGTCAAAAAATATTTGACGCCAAAGAGAGCAGCGGCTGCCTGACAAGAAACTGCTGTGGACCTATTAGGCCTTTTGACATGAAGATTTATGACAACCACAAGAACATGGTCATGCACTTGCACCGTCCGTTTGCATGCCAGAGCTGCTGGTTCCCGTGCTGCCTTCAGGTATCTATAAAAATATTATATTATTAACTTCACTTGCTGAAATTAATCTGATTTCTTTTTTGCCATCAGTCCATGGAAGTGACCGCTCCACCTGGAACTTTGGTGGGAACAGTTGAGCAGGAGTGGAGCGTCTTCAAGCCACATTTCAAAGTCAAGGATGCAGCTGGAAACACCGTGCTTTTGATCCGAGGACCTTTCTGTACCTTCAGTTTTTGTGGCGATGTGGAATTCAAGGTTTAATTAATTTTCTTTTTATAAAGACCTGCAACTTAGAAAAACTTCCCAAATTAGGTTTTCTCCGCAGACGGATCAAGGGAGGTTGGAATGATTTCAAAGCAGTGGTCGGGAATCGCCAGGGAAGCCTTTACGGATGCTGACCTCTTCGGAATTTCCTTCCCCATGGACCTTGATGTGAAAATGAAGGCGGTTATGCTTGGTGCCTGCTTTCTGATTGTAAGCCTCTCAAAATCATGCTTGCTTCTGAGTATTTATTCGCCTCTATTTTTTCAAACAGGATGCCATGTTCTTCGAAAAGAAAGGAAACAAGGAACGAGATGGTCTTGGAATGTTCTAAATTCAAATCCTGCATTTGTATACCAAATTTTACGCATATGATCTTCACCGAAAGTATGATTCTATTTCCTCTGAGATACACTAAAATCAAGAACCAGGAGCATTAACACTGAATATCATTCGTCATCTAGTTGATTTTTGTTAAAAAAAAAGGAATAAATTACAGCACTTCATTACCATAATCTGGTGTCAAATTTCCAGATTAGTTAAATGATAATTATTTGAAATGTAAAGTAAATACTTGTCCTGGTTGATTGCAACTTGTAATGTATTCAATTTTATCCTCTGAGCATCTAAACATCATTGTAACAGCTTATTTACAATTAGGGCACACCAAGATGTTTAGAACTTAGTAAGTTGGGCATAAATATTTTGCGTCGTTTTTAAGTTTTGTACTTCATGATAATTATTATTGGCCGTCAATGCAAAACTTGTTGCGCCTTTCTCATGTGCAACTTAGTTATACAAAAATATAGCACAAACTACTGCTTTTGGGCTATTTGCCAGATATATTTTGTTGTGCGATGTTTATGATATGACAACTAATGTAAGTATAATAACCATTACACGCGTCCATCATACCTTACAAAAGTATTTGCAAAACAACAAAAATATAAATTATATCTGTAGCTGGCCAAAAAGCCATGAAATTAGAATCCTAACGTTTATGAAGCATATAATGCCATGTGTATTCTAAATTCAGAAGCTTTTACATGTTCTATATTCATGCTGGGTAATGTTATTCTAATAAAAATTTTAAATGAAATGTAAATTTTTTTTAGAAACTTTTTTCCTTAAAATGATCAAAATTTAATATTTGATTTGGCACTGCAACTGAACTGATGCCTCTCTGCTTCTTGTCATAACTCGGATAATTATGTTTACGCTCCACAAAGCTACAAGAAGAAAAATTATAATAAAAAATATGTTATTCAGTTGCACCAAAATCGTTTGCAGGAACATTTGCCTATTGTAAATCAAAATCAATTCCCTCTAAAATTAAAAAAATTTAATTAAATCATTTTAAAATACTAGTATGGTCTATATTTAACGTTTTGACTATTTGCTATTGCTTAATTACAAAGAAAAGAAAACTTTTAATAACATCTGCGTACTTATAATTTTCTCAGAATCATAAGTCGTGCATGATGATGCAAAGCTGCGTACAAGTGGGACGGCTAAATGAGCCTCGGAATTTGATAACACAAAACAAACTCGGCGATGGGTAAAAAAAAGCGTAGTTATTTAACAGACAGCAGGAAAGAGGCTGCCCGTGTTGCTCTCCATTAAAAAATCCTTTGTTGTTTGCCTAAAAAAGTCAATTTGCAAATAGCTGCCAAGTATATGCGAGAGAGACAGTACGCGCGCCTTTTAAAAAAAGGGAACGTCACACTTTTTACTATTCCTGTGCGAGATTTGCAAAATAATAAATTATAAATAAAGTGAGTTGTAAATTTAAAAAAAAAAATTATATACAGAAAAGTGAATTCTGACCTTCCCAATCAAAAATTAATTAAAAACTTAATTAAAATAATTTTAATATCACCAAAACGGAGATAAAATAAGGGTCCGGCGTTTTTTTTTTTTTTTTAATCATATTTCTGAAAATTTCATTTTACAGTTTATATTACAGTGTTATTTATTAAGTAAATTCAAATATTCTCTGTAGTATGCAATGAAATTATTTTGTGTGGGTATTATTTTGTATAGGAGACGCTCTTCTAATTTTATCCTAATTTTTTTTATTAAATTGATTTTACCATTTTTTTTTTAATAAATTAAATAACCAGCTTTAATTTACACGTATATTCGTAGCACCGCGGACTGCATTCAATGGGCAAACTGCATTCCCGCTACACAAACAATAGTAGAAAGGGGAGGGCGGGCGACTGACGAAAACACGGCGCGCGGGCCTCAGAGCGCGCAGAGCAAGATAAGAGATATAATTATGGTCTTCATGGAGGTGCTGCTGTTCCTCAAGGACTTTGTGCTCGGCGGGGTGGCCGGCACCGTGTCCAAGACGGTCGTCGCGCCCATCGAGAGGGTGAAACTGCTGCTGCAGCTGCAGGACGGCTCCGTGCAGATGCAGCAGGCAAACAAGCGCTACGACGGCATCATCGACTGCACCCGCAGCGTTTACAAGGAGCAGGGCCTCTGGAGCTTTTGGAGGGGCAACTGGGCCAACGTGATCAGGTACTTCCCGACTCAGGCCATCAACCTCGCCTTCAAGGACCGGTATAAGAAGGTGAGACCCTTCGATTTTTCATTTTACTACTGCATGTCGATCACGGACACCTTGCGCGCCGAAAGAGATCCTCCGTCTATTTTTTTTAGTATTATTTTTTTTTCGAATTTCGCATTAAAATCATTGCAAAGTAAAGGAGACTTTAAGTGTTGCAATTTTCAAGGTGGTTCAGTTTAAGCAGATTTTATTTTGTGGACTTGAAATTTCTTGATTCATAACATTTCGTCTTATGAACGCACTGCGCCCATCTCAAAAATGCATTTCCCAAGCATGCGTGCAGCTGCAATCGATGCATTTTATTCCATGGCCCGCCAGAGGGGGTAATTTGAGAAAGTGGGCCACTTTTATCATTCATTCATTCATATTAATATACACATACACACTTGAAACCAATAATGAAACCAAAAATGGAAAAGTAAAATACATGTTATTGTCTTTTCTGACAGGCTGATTTTATTTTTAAGCTTGCATTGATACAGTTGGCTTTTGAAATTTTTACAAAAAAAAATTAATTTTCACTATTTACAACTCTACGATAATTTTGATTTTTATGAAAAAGGAAGTGAAACAAAAAATTGTATCTATTAAGTTGTGTTTCCAGTATGGATTGCGGGAGTGTCAAGAAAAATTCTGAGTTAATTTCTGAAATTTTGTTATGATGATTTTGGATAAATTTAGAAATAAATTACTCTTATTTCGGGGAGATAAAATTTTCTGATTAAATCAGCTTCCAAAAATTATGTGCCGGCTATAACTGATATACAAGTCTTGAATTTGTGGGTTTTTTTGTATCATGAGACTTTAAAGAATTTGGCCGTCTCAAATTTCATTTAATGTTAAGTGTGGAAATATTTATGACGTTAAAATTGTACATTTATGGATACGCTCAACGATTTTGTGCTCGCGCTTAAATTTTGTATAAGTCTTGCGCTCAAGTCTTTGCGATCTTAAGTAACTTTTATTATTATTTTTTTCACTTAAAAAAGTGCAGCTAACTTATAAAACATATTTTTTGAATAAACCATCTGCAATTGGAAATTACAAAGTTGAACTTAAATTACCAGAATTGGAAACAGTTGTGAAGTCTTGGGTGTAAAAATACTGTTTTTCGTTAAAATTTTTCACCAAATTTGCAAATTTTTAATAGTGGGCAGCGCGCAGCGACCAATGCACTCGCGCTCACAATTTCAAAAATCATACGCTCTCTTTCACGAGCGCAATGTTTGTGTGAAATAATTGTTTGAAATCAAATTTTGTGCACTGCTCAATTTAAATTTGCAGGATCAACCAAGAGCTTACAATTAGTAATAAGTCAAATGCGATCACTAGCAGTAAATTGCTTCAGAAATTGGCTATGGAATTGTACATTATAATATTAATAAATAAATACATTCAATTAACAAAAAAGTGCAATTTTTTTAATTAACATAAACAAAGGCTCACAAATTTCTTGTTAAAATATTTTTGTCAAAAAACCTCTCACAATAAACCGTTTATCGTTGTCTGTATATTTCGCATTAAGACTATAATTTTATTTTCATTATTTATTGCAAACGTACCTATGACTTTAGAATCTAATTAAATGTTTGTAATGGAAAACCCTAATTTTTCACAGCTCTTTTTGCAAGGTTTGGACAAAAAGGAGAACTTTTGGGGCTACTTTGCAGGCAGCGTCGCGGCTGGCAGCGCTGCAGGAGCAACGTCCCTTTGCGTGGTGTACCCATTGGACTTCGCGCGGACACGTCTGGGCGCGGACATCGGCAAGACGGAGGAGGAGCGCGAGTTTACCGGGCTGTGGGATTGCGTGAAGAAAATTTTCAAGTCAGACGGCATCGTTGGTCTGTACCGCGGTTTCTTTGTGTCACTCTTCGGCATCATCCTCTACAGGGGCGCCTACTTCGGACTCTGGGATGCGTCGAAGGAGTTGATCGGCGAGGAGAATTTAAACGTTTTCACCAAGTGGATTCTTGCACAGGTAGAAAAAAAATGTTGAAATAAAAATTAATTTTAGTTGAGATCAAAAAGCTAAATAAGCTTATTTTCTAATAATCATAATTTTAAGACAAACACTAACATTTTTATTTAAAAAAATATATAAATGATTTTTGTTTTATTTTATTGCTTTTAAATTACGCCGATCTGGATTTCTTGATGATGATTTAAAAAAAACGTTGAAATTTATACGCACTGTCTGGATCTCTTGTGTTGTAGTTGACAACGACCTTGGCTGGCCTGTTCTCGTACCCGGCCGACACCGTCCGCCGGCGCATGATGATGCAATCCGGTTGCAAAAAGAGTGACAAATTGTACTCCACAAGCTTGCACTGCACCGTCTACATTGCTCGAAACGAGGGTTTCTGCGCCTTCTACAAGGGCGCCTTCACCAACATCCTCAGAGGCATGTGCAGTGCATTGGTCCTGGTGCTCTACGATGAAATGCAATCACTTTTTGATTACTTGGTGCCAACGCAGCAGTGAGATTTTTTAGTGACCATAATTATATACTTTTTATTCGCGCGCTGTTATTTTTTTTTATGATTCTGATTTATTTTTTTACCAATTCAAGGTGTTTTATTTTTCCAGTTTATTGCTTGTTTTTCTAATTTTTACTGGTTATGAAAATAACACTTTTTGCTCTAAGCAAAAAATTTTGCTGGTCCAGGCTATATTAAAAAGGCGGTTTGTGATTAATTGTGAATAAGAAAATCTTACATTCGTTGCGATAAATTCAAGCAATTACACCCATTTAAAATTTATAACATAATTTAACCTACGAATTATTGTAATCTAATTGAAAAATCTGCCTCTCTTTTCACGTGTTTGTTGATGCAAACAAAAAGTTTGTTGTGAAACGCACCATCTCTGATCGATTCGTTGTTTGTGAGAGAAGAATAATTTCTTCTCTTGAGGCGTTTTAGCAATGTGTATAATTATTCCAGAATCCAGACGCCAAGCACACACAAGCGAGCGTGCTCAAAATACATTTATTAATTTGTGATAATTTTTCTCCTTAATTGTGAGTAAGACATTGTTTAAAGACACTTTTTTCACGATCCATTATTTTCTATTTTATATGTTATTGTTGCCATGTGTTGTAGTTGATAATTAAAACTTTCAATTACTTTCATTGTTGAAAACAATTTTATTTTTTGATCACTTAAACTGTAGCTTAGCATAAATTAATATATTTTTTACATTTTTGTACTTTTTTTTAGCAAATATTCCTGTAAGTTGCTGCGCGCAGAGGAAACTTAGCCACCAAAACTGCAACAGAAAATAAGAAAAAAAAAAATTAATAAGTCATAAATATTTTCGGAGGATTTGCAAAACTCACCCAAAGCTCTGGCTGGCGGCGTTGGCGCTGCTTCCACTGAAACCACCCCCGAAGCCTCCTCCGGCGTTGAAACTTTGGCTCGCGGCGCTCGCTTGGCTGGCGCTTCCTCCGAATCCACCGCCTGGGTAGAATCCGCCGCCACCTGGTCTGTATCCTTGATTGTAACCTCCCGGCCTGTAGCCGCCGCCATGACCTCCATATCCTGGGCGACCGTACTGGGGTGACCTGGCCACTCTCACCAAAGGTGCGTCAGGAATTTCATACTCTGAAAAACGGAAAAAGTAACAATTAATTAGTTTTAAATTTTCATCCAAGAAAAATTCAGAAAATAATGGAGAGTCAATTCTAATTTGATAATAATTATATTACTGTAAAAACAACTTACGGACGACGGCGTAAGGGAAGGCGGAGGCTGCTGCTATCAAAAGCAGAGCGGCGCAGGCGAAAAGAGCGGTCTTCATGTCGGAGCTTCGATCGCGGAGGAAATGCGGTGCCAACGCTCTCGACGGCTACCTTTTTATACTCGCGACCTGCGGACGGTCGTCAGGCCAGAATCACGGTCGTGATGACCGAACCGGTTCTCGCCAACCCGAGTCAGCAATTTTTTTCTAATATGTACACTTAAATCTGCGGCGCGGTCTGCGGCGTTGTAGAGATGATCACTGCGCTGAATATTTCGCGAACGTTGATCTCTCTCCGCGAATGCCCCCGCGGGACATGAAGATTAGTTGCTCCTTCGTTCTCGTTTTGATCGCTATCACTTTTGTTCACGTTTTCCAAACATGATTTGCGCGTCTCTCCGCGCTTTCTATTTCTGCAAAGTGTTTAATTTGGCGAGTTTCGAATGATTTGTGAAATTTGACGCGCTAAACCTGCAGCCAGGGGGGTGATGTGGAAAATTTAATTAGCGCGCATTATAAGTAGAGGCCTTGGGGAAAAAAACGAAAAAACGTCCCGAACTTTTAATGGTAATTTTTCTCTATACATTAGCATTGGGTTTTAGATGCCAGTTCCAAGAAAAATTTAATTTATTGCGAGAACTGGATATTTTAAATTTAACCTTCGCTCTTATAGGGATTTTTTCCCTCAAAATTGGCCCCATCAAAGTTGATAAAAATTTCAGAAAATCACTTTCATATCCCCCTAATTAAGATGGAAAAATAAAATCAATCAAATTTTCATTATTATTATTATTGTTTTTATCAGGTTGATTAAAAATGTATTAAGCAGTGTCGTCGTATCTTTCAGAAAATACAATTAATTTATATAAATTATGCAAATTATAAATATAATAATTTTTTATATATCACAATTGTTTTCTTCCATTAAATTAAATTAATTTATTTTACTCAAAACAAGTTAAAAGTCAAAACAATAAATTGTAAAAAATTGGTTGAGAGAAAAAAAAATAGGCACACAGTGAAGAACTCACTGAAACCAAAAATATATTAATATTAAGCAAGCATATTTGGAAGAATATGTAAACATTAAAAACCAACGAAAGGAACATTATTATTGGTATTATTTTATATTAGTAGAATTTAAATTTATATAATTAATACTTTTATTTTTCGATCCTATTTTTATGTCTGGGTTTAGAAAGAAGATCAGGAATCAGGATGACACCTGAGCAGCCATATTTTAGTAGGTAGCCGTTCTCTCTTGAAATGTTCATTTTTTTTAACGAGAATAAATAAAGCATAATATTTTTCATAGAGAGCACTTTGGCGCATGAGTTGGCGCGCTGGTGCCGCTGATGGTTGGCGTGCCAATTTCGGAGTTGGCAAGACGAGATGAAAGAGCATCGAGTGCCCTCTGGATGTTAAACAAGGAACTTTTTTATTACATTTGTTGACATTTTCCAGCACATATCCTCTGTATCCCTCCGCCGTTAATAAAACGCATATTATCTGGATGAATCAATGAATTTAAGAAAATAAAATCATTTTAAATAAAAAATAGGAAAATTTGTAAATGAGTCAATTTCATGATTTGAGAAGAAAATATAGAAAATTATTCAAATATCATGGTGAGCAGAAAGCTCGAAAACTACTTCACATTATCATACTGGGGACGGGATGCTTACGCTCAGAAAAGTGGGATCACACATAATTTCATCCATCGGTGGAGGGAGGTAAGTGGGTACTTCAGTAAGGAGTCAAATACATTTTGCACGGTGGTAATTTGGTAAATCATTTTTCGGATTTCGTCAAAAGATACTAAATAAAATTTAAATAAAAACACTTAGTCTTTATAATATAGAATAATATCCAACATATTAATATTAAAATTTTTTATTTGCGCTTTAGTCCTGATTCCTGATCGTGAGCTATATTATGTTGTTGTGAGATGTAAATTAATTAATTATAAATTAATTTTATGATTTTTTTCAATATTTTGATATCAACGTAAAAAACGTATAATGATAAATAATAATATAATTTACATTTGTTAGCGAATCGCTATTATCATATCCTTATATTCTTATTTATTATATTATATATTATAACAAATGAAATTAAATTTTGTTTTTTCAAGGTTTTTACGTGGTTTTATATTGAAACTGTGCGAGAAAAACTTGGCCTTTAAAGAATGGAATACATACCAAAATTTTTACTTTTAATTAAGAAATTAATTTTCAATTACGCAAAAATTAATCTTTTTTTGTGTTACAATAAATGAGAGTAATTATATTTAATTTCTTAATTAAAAGTAAAAATTTTTGTATGTGTGTTGGTATGTTTTCCATTTTTAAAGCCGAATTTTTCCCGCAAAGTTTCAGTAAAACCTCGTAAAAACTCTTTAATTACATTAAATCAATTCATTGTCCTTGCAATTATTTTATGTTTCCTATCCAACATCCTTTCTGAAACCACACCATACTCCGGAATCCGCCCCACCACCGGGGTAACTTTCGCGCTCACGGTTGACGCCTCGTCGAGTTGGACTTCACGAGGAGGAGAGTTTTTTTTTTATCGTGTGTGGCCAAATCCAAAGATGGCGAGCGCAGTTGAGAATTGGTCATTGTGTGAATTATTTATTCGATATATTTATTTGTGAATGGCGCATAGAATTTTTTCGCTCGCGACATTGGACACTCAAGTATCGGCGCGAGCGAGTTGTGCGATCGTCACAGCCGCGGCCTCGAACTCAAGTGCTTAATTAGCTTTACGAATTTTCCGAGTCACATCAAAATTTCGACGTCGCCTGCTGATCATACATACATATGTGACATACATTCGGGCGAGTGCTTGGAGGTGCATAAAATGTTAATTAATCGCGTGTAGCGGAGGAGCATGGACTCGTCGCCACCCTCCAAGTCGCAGGACAGGTGAGCGATTTCGCCTGCAGCTTTTAATCCCCCGAGCAAACTGGTTTTTGTGCTCTCAGCAGAAAAGGGGTGGGATCCGTGAACGCACCTGTAGCCTCTGTTTATGAATGCGCCGAGGGCGTTCATCACCTTTCTTTCTCCACCTATGCAAGCCTATTTTGAGGCGTGATGTCAATCATTAGTCATTAACATGAGTTTAGAGCGGCGCAGACCAAATTTTGCTCTAACAATTTCAAATTTGCAGTCGTCGAAAGATGCGATCGAGAGGGGCTCGGCCAGTGTCCGCGGGTTCGACCAGCTCGACGGGCTCTGGCGATTTGCCGCCGTCGCCTTTGGGAGGCACCGTCGTTGTCATCACGGTGGTCATGGACCAAAGCACTGGTTACGGCATGAAAGTGTCCGGCGACAAGCCCGTCTACGTGCAGAGCGTGCGACCTTGTGAGTCACCCCTTTCTTAATTTTTCATTTTTTAATTGTGACCTTTTATCCGCAGGCGGCTCTGCCGAGAAGGCTGGCTTGAAACCGGGAGACAAAATACTTAAGGTGAATGGCGTCAACGTGACCCAGTCGACGCACCTCGAAGTGGTGGAACTGATCAAGGCGGACGCCCAGGTCATCCTCACCGTGCAGCAGTATCCGCATCCACGCCCACCGATTCTTCCGTCCTCGCCACCTGGCATGGGCGCAGTCACAAAAAGAAAGGGCACCAGCAGCCGAGAGAACATTACGGGGCCGCAACCAGTTGATGTAAGATTTTCTGAAACCGCTAGAAAAATTTAAATAAGACGGAATTTTAAATAAGTCAAAGTTTTTCAGATCATTTAAACAATTTCAAGTGAATTTATCAGTCCTTTAATTCTTTGCTCATTATTTCCTTTCAGCTGGAGGAGAGGAGGAAGTACGAGTCATCTCGGAGAAAAACCTTCCAACTCATGCTGGAGAACGAGCAGCGCAACATCGAGGCTCTGAGGTCAAAGCTGGCTGTGGCCAACGAGCCCAAGACCATGGAGGAACTGACCAAGGCTGAGAACCGGCTGCGGACCATCCAGAACCAGTTATTCGCCCTGATCGGACCTGTCGATGTAAGTTCGCTGGGGCTTTCGTTGTGTCCGTAACTGTGTTTTAGTCGATTGACTAACAAACGCCTTGCTAACCGAGTGATTAACACCCTTTCAGCTGTACCATAACAACTCTGCCACTGGTCTGTCGCCGCCCCCCCTTCCTCCCGCGCGTCCGCGCCCTTCATTTCCTTCTAGTCCCTGCTCCACTCCTCCTGCGTTGCCTCCGCGAAATCCTCCAGTCCAACAGGCAGCGTCGTGCGAAAGCAATGGAGTTTTGACTAATAACGTGAGTATCTGTTAAGAAGTTTCATTTGTGTCCCCATGCCCAGGTTTAAAGTAATTAAAATGTTTATTTTTCAAGGAGAGACGTTTGAATTAATTGATAGCATCATTTATGTTAATTAAATGCAATTTAATAATTTTTTTAATAAGACTAACAAAAACAAAATGCTTTTTTACTCGCTATAAATAAAATAAGCTCTCTAGCTCGAAGTGTTTCTAAAAATTCAATTAAAAAATATTTACCAGCCAATATTAATATATAACTGGCCTGACTGCTACTCTAATTATGTTTTGGAATTGCAGCAGTTCAATAACCCCCTTTCAAACAAATTTGATTTTTGAACTGTGATTTTTTTTAAATTTTATGGGGAAATGTTTTCAAATTTACATGATTTTTCTATTGTTTATGCCTTGCAGCCGACATGGCTGGCTGGGTAAGTTACTTTTGGACTATGTTGTGTGTTCCTGGTTGTTCCCCATGCCTGCTTCATTTTTTCGTTGATCCGTATTTGAATTTATTTTGTACCCCAGCTGACCACTCACCTAATTATTTTAGCACTCAAGTACACCAACCCACCAGCGCACAAAATCCAGCCCTGACCCCTTAGGTCATTCCTCTCTGGATGGTGAGATAGTCGAGGTTTAGCACGAAATTTTCAATAATCAATTTTATTTTTAATAAAAAAAGGAGCAAGTCGGTTGAGCACATTGACGTCGTCGGAGTCGGTGCAGGATTTGAGCAGGAGAGAGAAGGCTTTGTCCGGAGGCTGGGAAATGGACAGCCCAAGAATAACCCCACCAGGTACTCCACCACCCCCTTACGGGGGTGCAGGTGGCGAAATGTCCCCGCAAGTCACTGACCTGAACGGCCCTGGTGACGTGAGTTTCTTTTCGCGCCTCTCGTATCAATGGACTGACATGTGGAATGCGCAACAGGTGTCAATGATGGACGCTTCTTTCACTGGGCCAATCATAAGTATGGAGGATGATGATATGTCGGATCAAGAGATGGTAAGATTTGATAAAATGCGTTTTTAATTTATTTCAAGCAGCACTTTCAGGGCCATCTCGAAGACCATGGCCCGTTCAAAAGTGCAAATAAATTGCTCCAACACCCAGCACACCTGTCTGTGTTCATGAACTATGTTTTATCCAACAGCGACCCTTCCAGTCTTGTAAGACATTCACTCTTTATTTTATTTGACCGTCTGACGAATTTTCTTATTTAATTTGCAGTTATTTTACTTAATTACTGATTTGTATAAGGAAGGCAACGCAAAAGAAATGAAAAAATGGGCTTACGAAATACACTCCACCTTCCTAGTGCCTGATGCGGTAAGATTATTTGATCCTACAAAATTGTAATTAGTGTTGAGCATTAAAATGTGCATTTATTATTTTTATTGGAGGCCGATTGCATGAAATATTAAAATTATTACTAAGTAAATATAATTTCTAGCCTTTGAGATTGGCACACGTTGATGAAAACAACGCAAGGGAAGTGGATGAAGTGTTATTGATTGACAGCGACAAGGAAGAAATTTTAAGAAAGGTTGCCTAAAATGTTTGCATCTTGCAAGTTTACAAAAATGTTGTTGTCTTCAAGGTATTTTGGAAACCGAGGTCAAAATCAAAGGAAACCTTATCTGAACAGCTGAGCGACTTTCGTCAAAAGAGAATTGCTGGTTTGGGCGCCTTTTTCGGAGCTACAGATGTAGAACTGGAAGAGAGCGAGCACGACAAATCAAAGGAATTGGCAATAATCGAAAAAGGGCTGTTACCGCACATCGAGATTCTGTTGTAAATTTACAAAGGATTATCATAAGCTTGTAAAACTATAATTAATTTATTTGCAGACCTAAATTGGAAAATGAGGTGGACGGTAGATGTGAAGAGGATGTGAGGGCTTTCCAGAGAGCGTCCTCAATTTGTTCTTCCCTTTGTACATTGGCGTCAAAGTTATTTGGTCTTCGGGGCTCGAATCCTTTGTTAGAAAGAGTGCCAAGTTTTGTTTGCAAAGACAAAACTAGTAAACTCAAACTTCTGGCAAGAAACCACCGAAAAGTATTTATTATCACAAATTCAAAATGTATGATTTTAACCAATTTTCCAAAGGTCAACCAATTGGGCCACACTTTACACGCACACCATTATTTCATAGTTACTCATTGCAACCATTGCGGACGCATCATTGGTGGTGTTGGGCCTCAAGGCTACCAGTGCTCATGTATGCAAATTTTTTCTTAAATGTAATCCCGGCTGACCTAAAAATTTGCAGCGTGTCTTTTAAATATTCACCGATGGTGTGTACGCCCGCTGGAAGAGGAGTGTCCAGGGCCATTGAAAAAGGATAAGCATAACGATAATAGAATTAGCAAATTAATGGAACGAATCCGTCCTGAACGCGAAGCAAGACGAAAACCAAGTAGCCTTAATTGTGAGTGTTGTAATGAAAAGATTCTAATCGACATGTAATTAAATATTTTTTTATTTTTGATTCAGTGGAAAAAATAAAAAAGTCTTCTGAAGAACGGGATGAGCTGGGCAACCTCCTGAGTGACGCTGACTTTGCCGGTAAGTTGAATTTCATTTATGCTCTCTTTTTTTCACACTGGTCATAGTTTAAAGTGAAGATTGTATATAAAACACTTGCCCAAACATTTCCATACCATCGTTAGTCGGTTTTCAGTATTAATATTTTTTTATTCTTCTTGATTGCTATTCTTAATTTATGATTCGTTTTATATTATAAAAGTACTTTTGCCTTACAAATCAGGATTGTAAGCAAAATCATTGGCCAAAAAGTTCCGGCTTGTTTTAAACTTAAAATCCAGTAGCAGTTGAAAATATCTAGAATAATGGGATACGAAAGAACGAAAGTTGCGCACGGTTTAAGACGTCTGAGCTAGAAAAGAGGGCGGGCTCTGGTGGGCCAGTGGTGAACTGGGTTTGCAGTGGTGGCTCTTGAGTTTGTATTGGTGATCAGTAGAGGTGTGGAAAGGATGCTGCGATGAGCGATGATGGAGAGCCAGTACGGCGCAGCAGTAGCTTCAAGAAACTGCTTAAGTTACCCAAATTTAATGCAGGTACTGCCAAAACACAGCTGCTGTTAATTGTGGCACGTAATGCTTTTAGCCCCCTTTTTATTTTCGTATTTGTGTATTTTTAAAACACGTCGTTTCCAAAGCAACACCCACTTTCCGAAATAAGTTGGTCTCGTTTTATTTTCGCGCTCTGCCAGCATCATTTAAATCGATAAAAATCGCAAATTTTAATGCACGGCCAGTGCAAATGTACCTGGCCGGCCGGGATTCGCGGCGCTGCCGTTGGTGCGTGGGGCTTCTTTTTGCATCGAGTGCCGCTGTCGGTCGATATCTCCTCGTGACTTGTTGTTTAAAATATTTTCCCACTTCTCTGCATTCCCTGGGGTGCCTACAATTATTTGTGGCAAACGCCAGGACGTGTTTTTATTTATCTTTAAAAAAAATTTTGCTGTGATTGGCGACGCCACCTTTTGCCTTTTTTCTCTGCACCGGTGGCAACTAAAAGAAAAAGGGAATCAAATAAGAAAAAAAAATCGACGGAAAATAAAAGGTTGCTCGCAGACAATAATAATAAATTTGACATTTCTGAGCTGACATTTCGCCGGCACTCTCACGTTAAGTAAACTTGTGATTTGATTCTTATCTGGGCTCATGAAAGCGTGCATTTGCCTCCCCGCCCAGAACCGCCGTTTGCAAAATTGGAAGGTCGGAAATTGAAAATCCCGTCAAACTCCGGAGATAAATCTGCTAATTGGTGCAACTGGCTCGGCCGGCTGGCTGCAGCACCCTCGTCCCTCGAAACCAAATCGTATTGAATTCGTGCGGCACATTCTACGGCGAGCGGGGTGTTATTGATTTATCATACGTGCGTGTGTTTGTATGCTCAATTCAGCTACAAATATAGCTTATTAAGTAGCACAATCTGGGCACACATCATGTGGCGCGATTGAAGCTGCCTGCCCGCCCGCTGAGTCCTCGCAAGTAAATTCGCCTCTCTTCTCTGCAGAAAGCTGATTATCCGTTTGCCCTCCTCTTTTTTTCTCAAAACTTTGTCGTCGTTGGAAGAGAGGGCTCGTCGAGACTCAAATCTTATTGGGTAAAATGAATTTGTGCGAAATTTATTCTAATTTTTCTCTGTCCTTGGACTGATGTAGTTTATTTTCCTTATAATTAGTTAATGACGTAATTCTTTCAAACACAATCAATGCATATGATAATTATCAATGTTTATTCATTGCAAATCAAATCACGTGCAGAGAAACAAAAATTGCAAGATTTGGAGAAACGGCAAAAATATTCAAAGAACTCAATAAAATTATTATTTAAAATATTGAAATTATAATAATTTTAAACTAAATTAATATTGGAAATGAAGAAGTCGGGCATTTCCTTGTTGTAAAATTTGTTTTTATTAAAAAACAAATGGCCGTGCCAGTTTTGGCCACGGTCTGCGGCCCTATTTCATGAGCAAGAAAAATACAAAAAAAATCAGTAAAATTGAAAAACACCACATTTTAACATAAAAATTTAAAATCTTAAAAGAAACAAATCCTAGTACCAACCTATTAATTGATATTTTAAAGTTATATTTTAAAATAATAATTTTTTTATTAAACTACTTGAACTATATAAAATTTTAATTATATTTTTATGTGACCCTAAAATAAGGCGCCTCAAATCCGCGCAGAGATGAGCTATCTTAATTATAACAAAACCAAAAAACTTGTCAATGTGCTTTACTCAAGGTGCCTGAGACCGGGAAAAACTGTGCGTTTTAACCAATAACGCTCCACTGTATAACCACAGCCTCGGCCAGATTGTGAAACTTCATAATCTTTAACACTTTTAGCCGATAACGCAGACGAGAGTAACGAGACGACGCGTTATTTAAAACGACCGTGCAAAGCAGCAGCGCACAAACGGAGATCGAGATTTTGTGCGCAGTTGTTTTTGCTTTTTGAGTATGTTTATAAATAAGCATATGCGGTGCAAAGTTTCAAAAAGGAACTTGTTAAATATTAAATCACGAGTATCAAACAAGCTGGAAAATCAAAACACAACAAAGGTCGCGGCGGCCAGGTCGTGTTGTTTTTGCATCATTTCTTTATTTTCTGCACAATCAATTTTTCTGCAGACTTTTTTTTCAATCCGTGGATGTAAATTGAACTAAAAACCTGGCATTGTGCGAGACTCGGACAATTTATTTATTCGCCGTGTATATTTATTTATTTTGCGAGCGGCGGCGGCAACCTGCGCCTCCGTCCTTGGCTGCTGCTCGCTCCGTGCTGCCCTCTGGGCAAAGGGCCATCCACAGCATGAATGGTGCTGCTGGTGGCACTCTCGCGATCGCCTCCTCTGACCGCACTGCCGCCGTTAGCTCTAAAAATACATGGACCGGCCTTGTAAAATAAAATCATTTCTCGCTCCACCATCCCATCTCTAGCGGAAGTTATTGCAAATCTTTCCTCCACGTCGAGGTGCGCGTCGCTCCGTTGGCCAACATGTTTCAGCTCGGCCCTTTGCAGAGCTACCTCAAAGTCGCAGCCGCCCAAGGTACCGTTCGCCAAGGTCCGCGACAACCCTTTGCCACCGTGCTCCGCCCCCTTTTCTTCCAATTGACCGAAAACATTCGCGTTGCCCAAGCATAATGTGTATTTTTCTAATTTTGGATATTGCAATCCAATGACATGAATTCGGACCCGTTTGCTGTCGTTGCACGGAAATGGTGCTCCATTTCACTCCATTTTTTTCCAGGAAATTCGTGAAAAGCCCCACTTTTTACTAGGCTAGGCCAGGCCGTTCCATGTAAACGCTTGATATCTAAAAAAAAAACGTAAATTTGTCACATGCGATTCTTCATAGATCTATTATTAGAATGATGTATCTTGTTTTTAGCAAATTAATTTTGCTGTTTATTTGTCCAAATTATTAAATTTCAATTCATTTGAAGTCAGACAATCAATTGTAAAAAAAAATTGGTTGCGAGAAAAATAGGCACACGGTGCTAGTGAGCAAGTCACTGAAACTCAGAACCGAGTATTTACCAGGAGGCGATAAAAACCCAACTACTCGCCAAACTGCAGCCTAAACTACGGGAAAAAATCAAATATTCTAACATGCTCTTTGCACAATTTTGGGAAATTATTTGAGGCACATCACATTACTTACATTCAATTGTTGAAACAATTTATTTAAAAAGAGGAATTGCGGTTACCAAAAATAGCATTTTTTTTTTTATTAATTATTATTATTTTTTTAATGTGGGAGTTCAGATATTTTATGTATGAAAACTTACGAATCTTGTATTGGGATGCACGAAAGATGATGAAATGTTCTGAAATTTTGATATTTTTTTGTCTTGTTGTTCACTCATGGGTGTTATTCAATTGAGGACAAACGAGACAAACAACTGCAATTTCCTTGCAATAAATTATTTTCAATTGCATAATAAATTGTGATGGAAGCAAAAGTAAACTTCTTATAAATTAAAACTTGCAACTTTCTTTACAAATGAGCTAATTAGAAATTGGGCTCGTAAGTGAAAGAAAACGCGATCAACGGAGAGAAACGCGGCGATTGCGATCGCGTGTGGGGGTTGACATCGCAGGCAGGGATGATCTGGTGTCATCGAGCTGACAAGCGATGCTGGAAACAAGTGATCAATATGGAGAGAGGGCGCTTGTTTAATACACTCACACTTAGTTTGTCTCTTCTTTTTCTACCCCCTCTCTATCTATCGCTCTCTGACAGCGCTTGTTCTTTTTGGCATGTTGCAGGAGGGGCGAGGCGCGCAGACCTCAGTGGCTCCTCGGATATGGCCGAGCACAGCGCAGCAGCCACGGACACCGCCAGGTAAGTGTCCCTGACTAATGACCGAATATTCGGACGCCGTTTCAGTTTCGAACGAAAATAATCCGACCGGGTGGTACGGGTCGGTGATCAAAGGGTCAAAGGTTTGTTTGGCGCGGGCAAGTCGAGCAAACCACCGCTCCATTGGCCCATATTGATTTTCTCAAAAAGGAGCAATCCATTCTGAGACAGGTGCGGCCAAAGTGACCCTTATCCCTCCGCGCTGGTAATGAGCGACGAGAGATGCGACCGCATCTATTGACTGACCCGTCATGCGTGTTTTACGCACCAACCACCCTAGCGAACGTGCTGACCTAGTTTGACAAAGTACAGCAAAATTGTCTGTCGATTCGCGAAAAAATAAAATTATGTTTCACCACAGTGGACGCGTGACCGATGCTCTCTTATTGCGCGGTCTAATTAACTGGTGAAAAGAGCCAGTCTTTCTTTTGTCATTGGCAAGGAGGCCCCTCGAGTCGGGCGTCGAGCACAGTTTTGGGAAAAGGGCATAGTTGGCACTTGACCTTTTTCCAAGTGCTGCTCCCGGCGACACAAAGTGCTGATTCTGACGTTTTGCGCCGGCGAGGAGCCGGAAATAAAATCCAAACTTGGCGCTCCTTATCTTTCTTGAGAGCAGAATAAAAGACTCTGCTCACTCCTTGCCACTAAAAAATTTATAATTTTTTTTTGCAATCGATACATTTTTGCAATTTTATCAGAAAAAAACATCTGTTTTCAAACATTTTTGTATATGACGTGTTTCTTTCTTTCAAAAAGGCAGATATAAATTTCTTGGTAGCGAAAGACTTTTTGTTTGGAAATTTCCTAGTATAAAAGTTATCGAGAAGCACCAGAGTTTGCTTGTTAAGAATCTTTGCTTTGTCCAAGACGTCAAAATACGAAAATAAGCATTAGTAATCACGGTTTCCTTCCTGTTCTGGCGTCACCGCCAAACAAACGTGATAAAAAGCGTGCGTACGTCGAATCTGCGGCTGACTCGGCTCGGACGCGGCGCACACCTTTCCCTTTTATTGCCACCCTGAGGTAATTGTTGGCGTGTTTTTGCAGCGGAGGCGGCAGCACTCCGCAGTCGAGCGGTGGCCCTCTGGGGGCTCGGAAGCCGTCAGCCACCTCCATCAACCGCTCCGAGAGTTACAAGGAACGAGTTCAGAAGGTGAGTTTTTTTTCCTCCGTACACGAGAGTGTGCCGAGCTTCCTTATTGGCCCCGCAATCGATCCGAGCAAATTGATGCGCCTGAAATAATTGTGTTTGCCAAACGTGATTGATTTATATAATATTCGTTTTTTTTTTATTTACTTTGGTATTTTCTTCGCCTCGCCTGCGATCGAGTAATTACTGGCGCCGCTGGCTGTGGTCCGAGCGAGGATTTTTGCTCAACCGCCGCCGCCGGCAGGTGTCAAAGAGGGGGGTGCTATTGATCGACTCTTGCATATTAGGCACCGCGCCCTTTGCAGTTCTCATCACCTTTAGTACGGGGCATGTGGGAGATAAAGGGACACGGAACAATAACTCGCCACTGGCGCCAATAATTGACTCGGCCAGCCCACTATAGCCAACCAGCAACCAAACTTTCTCAATCTTCGTTTTCAGCGGCAGTTGCGGGAGCGGCGCAAAACCAGTGATCCCAACCTTGGTTCGAAGAGCGCGAATAAGTGAGTATAGTACTTAATTAATTAATTAGATTGTTGATTTTGAGCTTTTTGTTTCTCGTCTTGCCTGTTTTGAGCACAAATATTGCGTTTATCTTCCGACAGGAAATGTCAAAACCTCAAAAGCTGGAGAGAACAGGAAACTTTTTTTAAATGAAAAATATTAAGTCACAAAAATTGAATCCAAATAATTTTTATTTATGTTGTTACTACATTTCAAATTCATCAAAAGTGCTTCGTTCAACAAGTATCTATTATTAATTTTGCTGTCAATTAATTTACCATATTTTGCAAGAATTAATTTAAAATTGAGATATTTCATAATAAATATTTTTATCAGAAATATCTAACAAAGATGCAAAATAAAATTTTGAAGATTATTGATGAACTACCAGGCAATATCTGCCCAATTGGAGGCAAATAATTTTAAAAAATTTGCCAACAAACAAACTACAGTAAAAAGTTTGATGAAAGAAGCATCATTTTTCTGAATGCCTTTCCAAAAAATTTACCATTCCTATGGAAATATATATATATATTTTATTCAACATATGACTATACATTTGGGTTATGTAAAAACACTGGTTCCTCTCAATTTTAATAGCATTTTTTTTTAAAGATTTTGAAATGTTGTACAAAAAAAAATTTCAGGTCAAAAATTTGAAATGAATACATTCTTCAATTTAATATTTATTGACCTTTCCTCAAAAGAAGAAAAAAATCAAATATAATAGCGATAGCAATTCACCTCCACAAAATTTCTTATAGGATTTTCTATTTATGCTGTAAATTCAATTTAAAATTTCAAGAAATTATTACCAAAAGCAAAGCAATATTAAAAAAATCTGTTCGTTCTTTAATATTTTAGTATTTATTTACTTAATTGCTTTTATGATCAATCTTAATTTAAAATAAGGAGTCCTAATTAACGGTGCAATTTCAATTATCGCTGTTGAAGTTAAAAAATAGAATCGACGGCAAGGGTTGAGTCACCTTTTGTGTGTGATTTTGCGTGGCGCGCAACTCCCGCACCTTTTACTCTTCTTTTCTTGGCCGCCAACAAATTGAAAGAGACGAGCTTCTGAACTTTGCCAGTCTTTTGACAGAACAGCCTCTTTACGTCAGCGCAAACTTAAAACTTTTGTGGCAGTTCTCGCACACACAGCCTCTCGTTTCGCGCCATATTCACATTAATATATTCATTTTCCATTCCGCATTTTGGCACTGCCGTTGCATTAAAAGACACGATTCTAATTGTGACGCTTCAAAATTTGCGTGGGCTGACTTAGCGTGTGTGAGAGACTTGCATGCCATATTTGACCCTGATGAATTTGTAGCCTGAAGTTCAAAAAGCTAATTAAAAAAAAGTAATCGCTGGTTGAGAATTTCGGCTTCCTTTGCCTCCTCTCACTTCCGCAAAGATTCAAATTGATGAGCTGTTAAGGCAGTATTTTTCTCTTTGCAGTTCAGTTACAAAGAAAAATATTTACCAAGATAAACAAGTAAACGTTAAAAAATTCTTTTAAATCCCAAATGCTCAAGTTTTATTTAAATTATAATTGTGTTGCCAGAATATGTCATTCAAGTAGGGTTAGGCAAATTATATGATATTGAACATTGCTTTTAAAATAATAATAATGACTGCAGCCCATCTTACCGCGGACCTCTTTTGCCAGAGGTGTTGCCGCTTCTTCACATTTCACATTTTGAGATTTTTTTTCTCTTTTTGACTTGATTGGTGAAGAATAAAAATAATTGTCCTTGCAATTCTAATAATTTTAATCATATCAGCTCATCCAGGGCCGGATAGGGTGATCAGGCAATCCCTTTTAACCATTGGGCTTATGGGCAAGGGCCTCTGAAATCCCCACCTAGGCGAGCCCAAGCAAAATTTTCGCCCAAGTCCGGCATTGAGCACAGCCCACCCTTTAATTTAATTTAAGAAATAAGAGTTTTTCGTAAAAATAATTTCATTGAGCTTACACATTGAAAATTTCTTTTCCAGTGACACTGCGGACGTGGATGCCTTACAGTTCAATAATAATTCTGGCAGTTCTTCCAATTCAACACACTCTCTCAGGTAAAATTTTTGTAATAAATATGTGAAAATGAGAGCTGACGTTGCACAATTATAGGAGCCTGGACAGTCCGTCCACCTCGATGGAGATGGTGACAGGGTCCTGTGCACCTGGTAATGACACACTAGAGGGCTGGGATAGTGATATAGAAGTAGAGGCTGATCCGCCTGACTGGACGCGTAGCGTTGAAGAGGAGGAATTGCGGAAACTGACCTCCAGAGAGAAAAAGAGACAAGAAGTCATCAATGGTAATAATAAAAGTCATTAAATAAGATCAAACCAGACGTTTAATCAAAAATTATTATTGATTTGCGAATTCAAAGAAATGAAAGAATCATAATTTGTTTGATGCTTTTAATTAATACAAGAGAGTTTAGGCAAAGACTTTGATATGGAAATCTTTTTTGGCAGAGCACGCTTTTTTCACACGTGCACAATGTTCGAAAACTTTCCTTTGAAATTTGTGATCATTGGAAAATGAATATTATAATTTTATTATTATAGTCTCAAATTTTCTTGAATTTTGATCACAGACATGGTTATTTTCCTTCAAAGAATTTTTCTTTGTTCTATCATTTTTTTAATGAAATAACTAAAATAATTTTCTTTTTTAAATATGAATATTATTTTCACAGAGCTATTCTACACCGAGAGATCCCATGTAAGAGCTCTGAAAGTGCTTGATCGGATATTCTACCGACCTTTGCTTGACAATCCCGTTTTACCTCATGAGTGTTTGGTGCTTTTATTTCCCAATTTGGGGGAAATGCTTGACATCCACGGCTCTCTCAACACAGCAATGAAGTTGAAAAGGAAAGAATCTCCCATTGTGGGTGACATATCAGAGCTCCTGCTCAACATTGTAAGTTTAAAAAATAATATTGATAATAATTAATAACTAATTTTCAATGAATTTAGTTTGACGGTCCTGCAGGAGAGCGATTCCAAAGAGAAGCAGCAACTTTTTGTGCTAACCACCAACTTGCGCTAGAGATGCTCAAGGAGAGGAGACGGAAGGACCAGAAACTGAACAATTTTCTTACCGATGCAGAGGGAAAATCTGTCTGCAGGCGGCTGCAACTTAAAGTGAATTTTGATCACATTTTTTATCTATGAACTATAATAAATTTTTTTGTTCCAGGATATAATACCTTTTGGATTTCAAAGGCTGACAAAGTATCCTTTATTGTTTGAAAATCTTATGAAGCTGTGTGAGGGCTCGGAGCGTGCTGGCGTGCAACGGGCTCTGGAACGCAGCAAAGAGATTGTCAATCATGTAAATGCGTCTGTGAAAGATGCTGCTGACCAACATAGACTTCACGAAATTCAGCGCCGACTGGACAAAGGGTCTTTTGAGAAAGCAGACCATTCCTTAGCTGCCGAGTTCAAGGTAAAGAATTGATGTAAAACAAAATAGTTATCTGCCAACACTAATTAACTATTAATATGTAGATAAAGGAAAAAATTTGAATTAATATCAATTTTTATTAATTTTCTACTCCAGAATCTTGACCTCACAAGACATCGACTGGTTCACGAAGGCTTGCTGAGTTGGCGCCAAAGCAAGACTCAGAAGCCAGTAGACCTGCATGTTGTGCTCCTCGAGGAGATCATTGTGCTGCTCATTCGGCAGGACGACAAGTTTGTGCTCAAGTTTTTTTCGGTAAGCACACCAGCCAGTGCGGACAAGTCGCTGCCTTACAGCCCCATAATCAAGACTTCAACGGTTCTCACGCGGCCCGTGGCCACAGGTGGGTCAACGTCAGCCTCGGCAAAGCCAAAAATTCGCTCAAAATTTATTTCCCGTGTTGCAGACAAACGTGCCTTCTTTCTGGTCAATATGTCACAAGCCTGCGCGCAGATTTTTGAGCTGGTCGCCTTGTCAAACGCCGAGCGCAAAACGTGAGTTGTTTCAAGTTCTCCATTTCAAATTGCCCAATTGCTCGCGATCATCTGCCCTGTCTATCGGCAGACAGTCGAATGCGTGCGTCTTCCTCTCTCTCTACCTGCGCTAAACATAGCGGTCGCTATTAATAGCTGCTGGCATCTGGGCCAGAGAGTACTCGCGCGCGTCTTGCGAACGGACGGACGGAGGGAGGAGGAGTTGCAAAGGATTCCCCCTTGGTCCACACACTGAATTAGAAAGAAAGAAAGAAAGACCCTTCCTTGCTGTGCAGGCAGGGTGCGTCAGCGGCACCCCTGCAAGTATACATACAAGCAAGTGACGCCCCGTGAACGGCGCCGCGGTGGGGACTCCAGATGTAAATTTTTGCTTAAGCTGCGCGCTCGCTCAGTTTGTTAGTTATGTCTGGCCCAAGCAGTGTGTTCAAAACATTCCTGCAGACGCAGGCCTCTAGGTAACAGGATTTTTTTTAAACTAGCTTCATTTTCAATTGTTTTCTTTAAATTTGTTCTTCTCTTCAAACATTTAGTTTTTTAACAGCTTCAATTGGTTATTTTCTGTACCATGGTTTTTTTATTGAACTTTTGAAATTATTAAATAAATTAATTATTTTTGCTAGTGAAAATATTGCAGCATTGTTATGGAATTGAATGGCTGCTTTCCGAGCCCTGAAGAAAGAACTTATTTCCTTCAGCTAACTTTTTATAAATCTCTTTTTGACATTTTTATCTGTTGCTAAAGCGTGATAAATGAACCGGACGCTAAATTTGTCTCTCGTCACACACCAACTCAGCCTGATTGACTCTAGATAATGAGCGACACCGCCGCCCCAGTCTTTGATCTCTCAGAAGACACCACATTTATATTGCTATTCTGAAAATACAATAGCGTTCTGCAAAAACATTTAAGCTCAAAATGTCTGACTGTCGTGCATTTTTAGTTAATTTTCTTAAGAGTTAGCTGGACTGGTGTACCGAGCAAAGTCCTCTTATTTGTACTAACAAGTAACACCCAATGAACCATTGCGATAAGAAGCGTAAAGTAGATTTTTTGAGGAGAACATTCCTCTTGTCAGCGTTTGCATTATTCACGTTTTAAGCCGACGTGCAGTTTTTGAAAATTGACTTTGGGAGGGTTAACTGATTTATAGACTTTGCAATACCAGTTAAAAATTCTTCGATTCCACTCAACAATATTATTATATAATAATTTAAAACCCAAAGAAATCACTCGAAACGGGAAATTATTTAATTAGTAACTTGTGGAGTTACGTTCCGAGACGCGAGATTAATATTTTTTATTATCATGTCTGGAATTTTCTAACTTTTTACTCCGGTTTTGTCTCAAATACCTCGCGTCTCGGAAAGTAATTCCACGTCAGGGCGATTAGTCACAAGTTACTTATAAATATTATTATATTAATTGTTTTGACTTAAAACTCATGAGTTTTCATTTCTCTGACTACGGAATTTGTGTCCAGTGGCGTTAAAAATTATGCGAATGAAAGCAGAAGTCGAATACAAATTTAAAAATTTTTTTTTATATTTGATTTTAATTGACTTGTTTTGTATAAAAAAAATAAGATTGTTTGAATAAGTCAGTTAGCATAATTAAAATTCTAGTCTTTCAATATCTGATCCAATAAAAAAATTTTCCGTAAAAAAATCAATTATAAACCAAAACATTTACTATAAAAACAGCTAATTTAAAATAAAGACAGAATTAAAAAAAATGTGTTTTAAATACAAGATCATTGATCAAGGGAGACTTCAAACGACAGGATGTGACGACTTTTGTTTACATAATAAACTTTTATTGCCGTGGCGCGTATAAATCAATGGCAAAGCGTAATCTGCGTGTCGGTCGGTCGGCCGACGGAATTAGGCACGGCAAATCAAAATCGATCGACTCCGGTCGCGGTGGAATGTCCAGCGCAGGCTGCACTCCTTGCGGCGCCCGTTGGACACGGCAACCCACTTTTAAAATAAACCAAGCGCGAAGATGCTTTCCAATTGTATTTTTAGTCTTAACTCTTGAGGATTGAGATATTTCCTGATGCCTTACCAGATTATTTGCTTTGAAAACTCCCAAGGGTGCCCCGTTCAAGAGTCGCTGGTCATCATGACCTACCCCTAAAGATTTGATTCGACCTTTGAACTGTTCCCTTCCCTACGCAATGCTTCGCCAGTGAAAAATTTGATTGAGAAGAAAAATTCAAGTCTGCGGTGGAATATTTCTCAAAAAATAATACATTTTTGTAAAAATTGTTTTTATTCAAAAACAAATGGAAAAGTTTCTCAGCGAGCAGCATGGTTGCTCATGAAATAAGGTCGCAGACCGTGACCGAAACTGATAGAGCCATTTTGTTTTTTAATAAAAACAATATTTACAACGAGGAAAAGCTTGATTTATTCATTTCCATGATCATCTCCTTCAACTTCTTCTAATAAATTTTACATATAATTTTGCGTCCCGACCAATCCATATTTCTTCTAATATCAACAAATTCTTCCCAGTGCTGGTGGAATTTTTTTCCAACAATGTTTTTCTACGATTTGTATTGTCAGTCAATTGAATAAATTTGGCCAATGAACAAAAATAAAACTTTGTATACGACGTCTGTCCGTAGGTGGTCCAAACATATCACAGACACTGCTGATGCGGCGCGCATGAAGCGCGAGAACCAGAGACCTCGGCCAGATGCTCCACCTGCGGTCTTCCCACATGACAATCCGATTCCAGAGGACAGCAACAAGTAAGAAATGATTTTTATTTGTCAAAATTTCGTCAAAAGATTCATTTCCTGTTTGTTTGGTATTTATCGCTTCTTCATACTCGGCTACGAGTTTCTCACTTAGGGAGCTTTTTCATTTAATCTATTTTATTAGGTTGAAATTGACTTTTTTATAGAAAAAAAGTATAATTAAGAATATGCCAACAATTTTAACATGTTATAACATACATTTTCTGAAAGCGATCTCATGAATTTAAAAACGTCTAAAAAAGACTATTTTACAAGTTCACGAAATTATCAACCGTTGCTAGCAATCCAAATTTTTATTTTTTAATAACAACATTTATTTTACTCCTCCAATGATAATGATTGTATACATTGATTGCATTGATTGTTTTTTAACTTTCCATTTACAGAAAACAATATGACTGTCATGATTCTCTTTGGGAATTTGTCAATATTTTCTTTTTCTTTTGAACAATTGAATTGTGTCGTGTGCTAATTGTATCGTCTGCAATATCATAAGTTGTATTGTAAACTCAATAAAATATTATTATTTATAATTTCATGCTGGGTACTTAAAATGATTATTGCTTAATATTCTTTGCTTGGATATTTTGTTTTTTAATTTTCGAAGAATAATACCTGGATAACAAGTTGATAAAACGAGCTTAATTAATGTAATTGAACCTGCTAACGAGTAAAATAAGTTATTGGCAATTTGATTTTCATTAAATAAACATTAGTTCGTTTAAAATTTCAAAACATCTTAAAGTAATGCATAAACTTTTTTTGAAAAGGCCGACAAAGTTATGTCTATGGTTTTTGTAGTTTTAAATGCAATTTAAAAATATTTTTGCTGAAAAAAAATTGACAAGATTACTTGGAAGAAATATTGAACTGATTGATTTTTCATTTAGGGATGCCGAAGAAGCTGCAGATGCAAACAACACCGAAAACATTTCTTCCGAAGGAGCCTCTTCGGCTCCTCAAGAGCCTGAAAGTTTTTTGACAAACTCGTTGCCAGAAGAGAAGGAACAGTCGGGGGTGGTGCGAAGGAGCAGCAGCGCCGCCAGCAGTGCCACAAACCGCGACAGCGTGCCTCGGATGGTGCAGGAATGTTCCCTGATCCAGCCTAGCGAGGTTCGCGTGTGCCAGAGCGAAGTGCACGTCGCCGAGCCCGTTTACACCCCGATAGGTAAATTGTTGCCTCGAAATGAGCGAAACAAGGGAATTATATTTTTAATTTTGGTTACAGAGCTTCTGAGGCGAGAGGACGAAGCGATCCGGGCGGCCATCAGGAGGAAGCAAAAAATTGTTGCCGATCTGCTGCACATTCCTCAGGATCAGTACGAGACCATTGCCGAGTTGGCCTCGGAGGCGGGAAGCAGTGACAAAGAGCAAGTCGAGCTGGCCTTGGCGTGCTTTCATCAAGGTATTTTAATTAATAATGATAATTGGAAATATTATATATCATTTATAAATTATTAATTTTCAATGAAAATATTTTTAGTCACCCGCCTGACGACAATCCTGAACGAGAACTTGAGGGTGACTGAAGAGGACTCTGTTGCCGCAACGTCAAGTACCCTGAATCGCAATCCGCCATCAATTAGTGTGAACCTAGTTCAGGAAATCACCACCGCCCTCACAACACACGTCACGCAACTCATGGTAAAAACTGTGAGCACGCTTGTAGAGTTTGGGATTCTTAACTTACGTGAGTTGTAGAAAATGACAAAGGAGCGCGAGGAGGAACGGGAAATGATCCGCAAGGAAAACATGAGGCTGAGGGAGCAGGTCCACGCCATGCTGGAGCAGCGGAGAAGTGGAACTGCCAGGCCCAAGAGACGTGCTACCTCCACTGGTTTTTCACGGGAAAGTAAGCATAATAATCCAAAAATAAAATTGAATCTCATTTTAATATCTAAAAATCACTAGATAAAAATTATAATATTAAATTTATCTCCCGATTAAAATTGCATACAAATTTTCAGCAGATTTGAATTTGGAAGAGACCGGTGACCAATCAGACAAAGAGGAAGACATTAATGAATTGGCAGAAGCAGGCGCTGAGGTAGTTTTGTGATTTTTATTGTAATTACATCAAAGTAAATTGCATTTCAGCAGGATTGTGAGAGCACCAACCAAAATGGCGGTGACAAGGAAGATCTAGTCCAAGCAGAGGGTCCAGCCAACATCTAGTTCAGGCGGTCAGACAAACAAGTTCTCATTCCAGTGTCCTGAACTTAGCTTGCTCTCCCCCAGTTCGCAAAAGAGGTGGAATGTCGTGATGCATTTATTTACTGTGCTTTTATTGATGCCTTATGGATATAAAAAAGAAATAATCAAATGATAGTGACTAGTGACACAAGACTGGTTCGTAGTGCTACTGCTGCTGCTTTCTGTTTCTCTCCTTATCCATGGCCTAATGAGAAGGTGTTTGGACAACCCACGTAGGCCACTGATGAATTATAATGTTGAGAACCTCTATGATGGATTTTGTCTGTCGTACGTAAACAAACTTTGTTGGTTTCGATGTGTTGTCGTCCCACACACTGAATGACGGTGCTTTGGTTGAATCGAGCTAGGGGAGCTGTTCCTAATTGGTGATGTTGTTTTCTCCACTATTTCCTATTCTATTGACACAAAGTCGAGTGTGAAAGGGTTTAAAAGCAGTTTTGGAAAACGCAAGATGTGAATAAGCCAAAAATGTTACTGAAAAGTTGTTTCTATTGGAGATGTGGCGTCAGGTGGCGTCAAATTGTATAAAAAAAGAAGGAAACTCAAGAGGGTGGACGTGCCTTACCTTCTTGAGATACAAAGTGTCTTTTGAATTAGATATTAAACTGCAAACTAGGCGAATTGCATGATAAAAAATTTTTAGACAAAGTGCCCATAATGTTATGAAGAAGAACTTATTTTGGCTGGAAAGAAATAAAATTTGTCTTTGCTAGGAAATCTTCATACTTTTTACAAGGAAAAAATGTAGGAAATGAAATATATGAGGAATCATATTTATCATGTATCTTCCAATCAAGCAACCTTTTGTGCTTGGCCCGAGCTGTTTGCTCTGTACGTTACAAACAGACATTCTCAAACATTTCTGATTGTATGTAAATAAATATTGGATAATATATATGTAAGTGTGTAAATTTGTGTGCATGCACAGTTACACACGTACATGTGTATATATTGATATATCGAAAAAAAAAACAGACTTTTCATTATAAAAATAAAAATAAGGTCATAAAAAATATTATTATTCAAAAGAAAAATAGGAAAATGTTGAAAATCAAAGATCTTTTTGAGTTAAGCAGTGAAAAGAAATATAAAATAATAATTAATATAAATTTTTAATTAAAAAAAAAAAAATAATGTAAATTTAACCTTTTGATTTCTTTCGAAAAGCTTAAATGTGTACTTTTTTTTTGAAGAATTTGTCACTTGAGGAGATGATAATGGAAATGAAGAAGTCTGGCTTTTCCTCGTAAAAAATTGTTTTTATTCAAAAACAAAACAGATCTACTAGTTTCGGTCACGGCCTGCCCTATTTCTTGAGCAAGAAAAATACAAAAAAAAATAGCAAAATTAAGAAACACCACATTTTAACATAAAAAAAATTAAAATCTTAAAACTAGCAATAAATTCAAGTACCAAACTATTTCATGAGCAACCGCGCTGATCGCTGACTTTAGTTTTAAGATTTTAATTTATTTATGTTAAAATGTGGTATATTTTTCAATTTTGCTGATATTTTCTATTTTTCTTGCTCATGAAATAGGGTCGCAACCGTGACCGAAACAGTGTGAGTTTTTTTTTAATTAATTCAATTTTCACAACGTCTACAACGAGGAAAAGCCCAACTTCTTCATTTCCATGTAATTTTTTCCCGTCAATTTTTATTTTGAGCAGTTTTATTATTTTATTTTAATGATGAATGCATCTCGCTTTGGGAAGAGAATATTGCCTTTGTTGTAAAAACTAAAAATAAAATTTTAATTTAAAAAATATATAAATAAATTTAAAACATTTTTGTTGCAAAATTGAATTAATACTGCAAAACCTATTAAAATAATACTGCGTCTCGGCGATTTTCGGAAAATAAATAGAAGATTTTTAGTCTGGAGGTTAAAAAAACCTAATTAATTTGGCCGTCTCGTCCCTAGGCTGGTGAGAGGATTTTGCACATAATTTAGCGCCGATCGAGCTTTGAGGTGAGTGTCGTGAGTGAGGTGGCGCTGGTTGAAGTGCCATGTACGTGTGGCACCACTGATCGGAAAAGTGAAAAAAAAAAAAACGTTCCGTCCGTCAGTTGTTGCACTGCACGATCGGACGGACATCTGTTAATTTACACAATTGATTAGTGTCGGTCGGCGGACTCGGCAGCAGAGCAATCGAGCTGATCTCGCGCGGAGCGGCCAATTGACCCGATGAGTGCAGCCGAGGTGGCCGCCGGAGCCCATGCGTGAGTGGCGTGACGCACCGCAAGGCCAAAACCACTTTAACCTGCTGAATCTGTCTCTCTGTTTGTTACCCTCGGGGCGGACACAGATAACGACTAGGAGGCCCTGGACCGCGCGCGCAGGCAGCAGCGACCTACACTAGCTTTGACCCCGATATGCGCCTCACCGGCCTCGTGACCCTGGCGGCCACGCTGGCCGCCTGGGTGCAGGCGGCCGACACGAACGGCTTCCGCGAACTAGACGAGCAGAGGGCCAACTTCAAGAACATGTACGCGTCCAGCGGCGGCGCCCTCGGCAACCTGCAACACCCGCCGCACTTCAGCAGCACCACCGAGCCGCCCGTCATCGAGATCCGTAAGAATTGAAAAAGCTCGCAAAAGCGAATTGACTCTCGAACTTTCCCTGATCCGCAGCCATCGGAGACAAGTCGGGAATGGAGGCCATCGAGGCTCTGCACCGACAGCTGGACGATGATGCCAACGGAAACGTCGACCTGTCCGAATCTGATGAGGTGCTCATCAAATTTTGCAATTTTATCATGGAAAAGTATGCATTAATATGATTTCTTCAGTTTCTCAGGGAGGAGCTCAAGTACGAGGACGGACACGAGAGAAGACAACGAGCGTTCCACAGGAATGATGACAATCACATCTCTGTCAAGGAGCTGTGGGAAGCGTGGACTCGCTCTGAGGTGCTTATTATTATTTTTTTTTATCCTACATACTAAAATCGTAATTAAAAATTGAAAAAAAAGGAATAAAAGATGGAAAACTTAGCAGAAAGGGGATGATAAGAAGTGAACAACTTTGCTCTTTCTTTAATGTTTTTTACTTATTATTTTAAATGGATCAATGAATTGAATCGAGTTATTAAAATCACTTAAAATTATTGATGATAAAATTAAAATGAATCCAAATGTGGTTTAAATCAGGTTGTCTGTGGCCTCACCAATTTAAAGGGGCGCAAACAGGCTGCTTAGGCACCTGTTAATTCAATTTGCACACTTAATTGCGTTCGGTTGCGGTTTCTGCTGTTCTTGGCTAACTTGATTTAAATAATTGAGGTTTGCTTGCGTAATTTCCTCCTGCGTTTTCCTCATGGGGTCGGTCAGTTTTTGAAAAACAATTATAAAATAATAAATTCTTCTGTTATAATTTATAATAATATAGAAATTGAAAAGAAAACATTTTTTGTTTTTATTGCTGATGAAACAAAAATTATTTAAAACCGTGAAAATCGAAATTCAAATTGGGCAGACCTGGACTTAAAATATTATTTTCTTGCAAGTCTCACTTTGTCGGTTTTTTTAATAATCTGAAATATTAAAATTTCTTCTAGGTTCACAACTGGACCACCGAGCAGACAACCGAGTGGTTGGTGGCGTGCGTTGAACTGCCGCAATATGTCGAGTTGTTCACGCGAAATTCCATCAAAGGCTCGGATCTACCCAGGTGAGTTTGCCAGTTGCTGATTTTACTTTTACTGCCATTGCGCTATTTGCGCCACATTTTTTTTTATCTCCGCGACGTCACCTTTCTTGGTAAACAGAGCAAAACACATATGATATTTGCATGTTGTGTGCATTACAAATGCATTAATTATTTTTGGAATAGCCAAATTCCAATTCGATTTTATTATGAAATTGAAACTTTCAAACTCCTATAATAAGGACGGACCTTGAAAATTTTCTTTAAAATAAATATCTCGAAAATGAAAACAACAAAATTCGATCAGACAAACATTTGACAAATTAATCCTTCAGACTGGCCACAAACAACCAGTTCATCGGGACCGTGCTTAAAATCAAGGACCCGATCCACATCAAGAAGATTTCGCTCAAGGCCATGGACGCAGTGCTCTTCGGCCCACCAAAAGGTAGAGTTGAGTGTTGCGTTTGCAGGGAGTTCTCAATGTCTTTGTTGCAGCAGATGGAGGTCATGTCAAGGACATCGTCCTGCTGACCCTTCTGGTTGGTGCGTGCGGCGCCTGCTGGTACGCCTACAGGCAGAAAATGCTGTCCCAGGAGGACCTGCAGCGCATGATGAAGGACATGGAAAGTCTCCACATGGCCGAGCAGATGCTGATTGAGACACAAGTGGGTGCTTTTTTGCCGACAGTCAATAATTCCCCTCTCAATTTAAAAATTTGGTGCAAATCATTATTGTTCATCTGACAAATTGAATTGAAGATGAATTTAATTTGATGCAATTTCCTTTTTTAAATTGAGTCTTAGACAAAACGCAAATATCTTTATTGCTGGAATTTTTTAATTATGGATTTTTAATTTTCAGAAAGAATTGGAGCAGGCAAAGCAGCAGCAGGAGTCGGTAGTGTCGGAGAAGGAGAACCTCGAGCGCAAATTAAAAGAGCACAAATCGGCGCCAGCAACGCAAGTGGCGCGAGGCACCGAGCCGGAGCTGCAAATCATGCGGCAGGAGATTGAAGTCGGTGACTGATTGTTTTGAATTGCCAGTTAATTGTCTTTTGTGTGTGCAGGCGCTGCGGCTCGAGCTGAAGAGGGCGGAGGGCGAGCTGGAAGACCGGTGCTGGTCACCGCCCATTGGACTGCAGCAGTGGCTTCAGCTGACCCACGAGATTGAAAACAAAGCTTACACAAAGAAAAAGTCATCAGCTGAGCGGCAGTTGCAACAGGCTAGAGAGGCTGTGAGTTTTTTTTTATAAAGTCTGAGAATTAATATTTAAAGTTTCGCTCGTCAATCCACCGATGAAAATCCCCGTTTGGTATGAAAATTTTCAGATTTTGAAATGAATTTAATTTTATTTTACAAATATTTAACTGTACAAAACACATCCCAATTTGATTTGATTTTCCATTTCATTGATTCAAATGTAAGTGAAATATTTAATTTTTCAGTGTGAGAAGTTAAAAAAGAAACGATCCAGTCTGGTCGGGGCGTTCGTCTCGACGCATGGCAAGTCAATTGACGACGTCGACCGTAGCATTGTCGAAGCCAGGTATGTTGGAATAGTTAATTTTGTCACTAGTCAGAAAAATCTTTGTCATTTCTCACTCTCTCACACTCACTGCTTGGCGTTGTCATGATGGGTGCAAACAAACAGTGAAGAGGAGGGCGGCTCCCTTTCAGAGCTGAAGTAAATAGTTTTCAGGCTTAGAAGTGTGACTAATCCCTCCCTTAATTTATGCACTGCGGAAAAAATTTGCATTCTGTGACAAGCCTTGTGCGTTATCTTGTACTAATATTGCAGCCGCCCACTTTGATAATTCGAGATAATTATGGCAAGGAAAAGTTGCACTTTCTAATCATTGTTTTTCGAGTCTCATTAAATTTAATTAACTTCCTGTGTAAATAAATAGCAACTAATAAGATCAATAATTTTTTCTCTTGTACCTTGATCATAAATTTTAATTAATTGATTGATTTTATTTACAATTAACTCAAAATGTTTTATTATAAAATTTAATTTATTTATTCTTCTCGGCTAAATTTTAGTAATTGAATCAAATTGAGTTATGTCTTCTAAAAATAACCGCGTCAAATTTTGAATTTGTAACTTTCATTCTGCCAGATGAAATCATTTGCTTTGCAGTCATGAAGTAAACTTGTCATTCCTAATTTCCACAATTTTTCCAGTGTGTATGTGAGAGCTAAGATTTTTTAAACCTAAATTTGTCCAAAACTTCACTGTACATGTATGTGCTTAGTATGTCGAGTTTGTTTCTGTTTTTAAATGCCACTTGTGTTTTTTGACCAACTTATTTTAACAAGGCCGCCTCCTCTTCCGAGTCCCAAGTACATAGAAATTTTCTCACTCGTGTTTTCATGTCGGCAGAACCTCACTGAACGAAGTGACCCAAGAGCTGCAGGAACGGGTGCACCGCTGGAAGCAAATTGAGATGTTGTGTGGTTTCAACATTATCAGCAACAACGGCCTGTCGTACTTGGAGACTGTGCTCTACAGGCCCAGCAACGGGAGACTAACCAGAGGTGAATCATTAATTTCTAAACTGGAGTCAAAAAGTTAACTTTGAATCTGTTTAGTTTCATCCAGATGTTCTCGAGGAAAATATAATTGTTTTTGTTATTCAGACAAATTGATAAAAAAAAAAAATTGTTGTTTTCTTTCCAGGACGAATGAGCAGTCAGGACGACCTTGATGACGACTCAGTGTCGCAAGCAAGTCCAGGAGGTAAGCTGTCCGAGTCGGAGCACGAGGAGCAATAAAGTCAAAAGCAGCTCGGCGTCGTCGTTCTCCTGTGGATCCTCTTGACCAAAATCTATCCTTCCTTCCCTGTTGCTTTTCATACATTCGGAGCTTTCTCTGCTCTTCTGACCACCGCACGCACAGGAGAAGCTTGACTTTATTATGCATGGTTTTTAAACATTTAGATGGATTTCTTAGAGTACTGGTTTACCACCTAAACTTGATCTGTTTTTGTTCTTAAGTTTGTTAAGTGCTTGAAGAGTTTTGTCGCTCTTTACCAGCAATAATTTTATGCAACGGAATTATCGCTTTTCTTATTTCTACCTGCCGATTTTAGATTTACTTTTTTGCCTCAATCCAACAAGCACTTTCCCTTATTCTAAAGACGGGTTTTGCGAGAACTCGACAATCAAATGTAACAAATAGTTTGGGTCTGCACTCTTGTGAGTTTATAATTCATTTTATTTATTTAATTTTACGCGCACAGTCTGGAGTTGATTTTAATAACACCAAAACTGACTAAAACCTGGAAACACAAACCATCGAATGATAAGTGGCTGTGACAACCGCTTTTAATTTTAATCGGGCTGGACCAACAAACTATTTGCGAGAAGCGTCAAGCATGGGAATGTCTGTTAAATTATTTATTACCATCTGCACATGAATTTAAAAAAAATCCCAATGTAAAAGTGCCTTTTAACAATATATATAAACATACAAAAAAGCAATCCTTCCAAGCTAAGGTTGTGTTACTTTTGATTTCCACCCTATCCTTTGATCCAACGAGATGCCTGCTGTTGATTTTGGAGCCAAGTGTTCTCTTGAAATTCTGGCTCTGCTGCTTTTCGCATTCGGAGTTGGCATCTTCAGAACGCCTACAACCCTTTTGCAGGCTTCACTGACCCGTGGAGGGACGCCGACTCATCTGGCTCGGAGCGCGATCTCGACCCTTCCACCTCGCCGTCCATGGAAATGCCAGTCACGTTCACCCTGGGCGGGGAGTCGTAAGTTATTTTCTGCATTATGGCAAAAAGAATTGCTTCGGCATCTTTAATATGTAAAGGAGTCCCGGGTTGGATGATAACTGTGATAGGCCGCAGCTGAATCCGATCGTCAGCATGGAGAAAAGAGCGTCTGTTATGTCTCGCTCGGTCAGTCAAGAAGTGCAGCAGAGATTCGACCTCGGAGAGGTGAGCAGTGTAAAAATAATCTTTCTGGGCTGATGCAAATTACAGATTTGGTGTATTTCATTATTTAATTTGATTAGAAAATTTAACCCTATAAAATGCAGATTAAGTGATGAGAACATTTGTACAGGGTCTTCTGCCCAAGAGCTCCATGAGCGAAGCAAGCTTGGAGGCGCGAGGAAATACCCGAGCGTGTGGATCTCTGGAGGAGGAGACGTACTCGACGGACAGCTCGGCAAGTGCGACCGCCACCGAGGAAGAAATGAAGCGCAAGCGACGCAAACTGCACTTCCCAGCCTTCGTGCGCAAGAGCAAGAGCAAACCCTCCTCGTCCTGACTAGCGACGTACTTCACTGACAAAAGTTTGTTGATTATCACACGTGATAGTTTATTGTTGATATTTTTTAAACTAATGATATATATTTAACCAAAACATCTGATGATAATTTAATATAAATTAAACTGCAATAAAAATACTTCGAGTAAGCAGAGAAAGAAAACACATTTTACACACTCCCGAAGACTGGCTCTGTTGGCTGGCGCTGTTATATAATTAATTGTTGGGGCCTCATGCAGTGGCCTAGGGACTGTTAGCAACACGATTTTCCTTCCCCGATGTTTGTCTTCCAAGACGGAACAAGTTGATTGTTCTTGTACTGTGGCAAATATTCATATTCCTCACGACTTTTACTCGTTTATTTGAGATGGATAGTTGTAAAAATTATTTCTGATCTTATGTGCAATTTCTTGTGTTTGGTGGGATCGTCAAATCCTCTTGCTCATTTAATCACGTTAATATTAATTGTTATGCGACTTTCTTTCCCGTGTGCCTTATTTATTGAGCAATATAACTAATACACGGAGTCGCACCACAAATAGTCTAGATCTGACTCGCCAATTGATATACAGTCTACGTAAATTAAGGTGGGACTCTGTAATTTGTTCTGTTTGACACTCTTATTGGGATAATTCAGATGTTAAGCCAATTGAATCTGCTCTTTTGTATGGCAAGAAATTTTGATGTTTGGAAGAAATGATTTTCTCACTTTTTTGAGAAGGCTCAACTTGATTGATTATATCAAAAGTTTTTATGCAAAAGAAATAATAAAATCATAAAAAATTGGATAGTATATATTAATTTTTGTTTATATTCCTCATAAGTTTAAGTCTGTTTATAAATCTTTGCAAATGAAACTTATGTAGTCTATATTATAAAAAATACCCTAAGCAACCACAAGAAGTACCGTCGAGATCACCTGGCTTCAGGCGCCAAGTTATTCGAGTGCATAAATGGTTCTATTCTAACTCCTTACATTAATTTTGTGAAAAGGCTTCGTTTTTCTCATTCTTTTTCAGTTAACATTTCAACAGACTTTTTTTCTTAAAATAGAACATATTTGGAGTCGAGTGAAACTCTAGGCTACTTTTTTAAGTATACATTTTGAGCATAGCTTCATAGATAATTTTCTATATTTACTTAAAAACATTTGGACAGTATTGAGAGATTTACACAGAATTTACTGCTCTGACCCCCCTGTCCATGCAGCCACTCGCCTTTTTGGAAGCTCTCTACACCCTTGAATTTGTAAAAGAATATTATCTACTCTTCCTTCTAAGGATATTCATAACATTTGCTTTACCAGGAGCATAAAAAGAAACACATATCTTAAATATATTGTGAACTTTATTCTTAAACCGCAATAGTGTTAGAATGGAAACAAAGATTTTGGTACAAATGCAACGATTGAGGCCAAATGAAATGATGAAAAAATGAAAGTTTGCAACCAAAACATATGGTTTGTGCAACTAACAAATAAGTGTCCGTCTACATGTCGTCCTCAGGTTCGTAAGCAGGCGAAGTGGGGCTGTAGCTCGGGGACGTGGGCGAGTAGCTGGCCTGGCCACTGGCGCTGCCGTCCTTGGGTGAGGCGGAGAAAGTTGGGCTGGTGGGCGAGTACTTTGTGCTCGATGGCGAGTACTGCGGCTGCTGGGGCGAGTACGAGCTGGAGGTCATGGCGTACTTGGGACTGGCACCACCAAACCTGGTCGACGTGGCTGTGTGTTGTGGTGAAGAGGACGAGTACTGCGGGCTGCTGGGGCTGTACTGTGGAGAAGAGCGGGCGTACGAGGACACCGAGTAGGACGGTGAAGACGGCGAGTACTTGGGCGACGTCTGGCTGAAGGTGTTGGGACTCGATGGCGAATAGTTGGGACTAGAAGGCGAGTACGAGGGCGAGCCTGAGTACGAAGGGGACGCGGGTGTGTAACAAGGGCTGCTGGGGTTGAATGCTGGCGACGAAGGGCTGTACGACGGAGATGAAGGGCTGTAGGAAGGGCTGGTGGGCGAGTAGGATGGAGAGGTTGGAGAGTACGACGGTGATGTTGGTGAGTATGAAGGGCTGTTTGGTGAATATGATGGCGTGGTTGCCGAGTAGCTTTGTGGAGAATAGCTCGGCGACTGAGGCGAATAGCTCGGCGACTGCGGAGAGTAGTTTGGAGACTGAGGAGAGTAGCCTAAAAAAAAAACACACACACAAATTATTATGAGAATTGAAATTAAAGAGAACATAACAATAAAATATTCATTGAAATGAAAACATTTTTACTTACTTGGAGACATGGAATATGAAGGAGATGTTGGCGAGTACGAAGGGCTTGTCGGTGAGTATCTTGGCGATGATACAGAGAAGCCAGGACTCGACGGACTGTAGTTGGGTGACGCAGGGTAGTTTGGAGATGTGGGCGAGTACGAAGGGCTGGTCAGATAGCTCGGACTTGTTGGCGAGTAGTTGGGTGATGACGGAGTCATCGATGGTGACGCCGGAGCGTAGGCAGGACTCGATGGACTATAGTTTGGAGAGGCACCAACAGGTGATGGAATGTATGGACTCATGCTTGGGCTTGCTGACGGAGAGCCAGGCTGCGGCGACCAAGCTGGACTGTATCCTGGACTGAGGCCGGAGGCGTCGCTTGAGCCAGAAGGCGAGAATCCTGGCCCACCAGGAGTCATGCCACTTCCAAGGCCTGGCGACCAGGCGTGAGCATATGAAGGAGTTCCTTGGTTCCATGGGGTCATCTGAAAAGACAATTCAATATTTATGAATCACAGCAAATTCTTTTTTAATTTATTTGATTGCCCTAACAATAAGCATGAATTTGACAACATAATATAATATACATTTTCTTATGCAATAAATTAAGGTACTTACATGTGGACTCATGCTGCTTGGGGTAGCAGCCCCTACAAAGATTCCGCCGGCAGGAGCGCCGACCATCATTCCAGCACCCAAGTGCATCGGGATTTCAATGCCGTGCTTGCACTTGTCTGCGTCAAGTAAAAGATCAAAGGCTCCAGTGCCCATGCGAGGAAGTTGGCCAAGAATAATGTTTTCTGAAACACCTCTCATTGGATCCTGCTCAGCATGCGAGGCGGCGTCCATGAGCACATCAACTGTCTCTTCAAAACTGCACCTCATAAGAGCACCAGTGTCCTAAAAACATAATTGCAATTAAATAAAAATCTCCCCTCTGCTGGTCAAGAAAAAAGCTATCAATATAATAAATGAATCAATCAAGTAACTGCTGAAAACCCAGAATTTCTTGCAAATTTTGTAATGAAAAAAAAAATCCACAATTTTAGTACCTGTCTGTTGATGCCGTGACGAGTGATGGCCATCAAGTGACCCTTGGCGGTCATGACGTCACAAAGCAAGGCCAGATGCCGGTAGTTGACATACAAGCCGTAGAACTGCAGCACAGCATTCATTTCCTTCTCGACAGACTTTCGGACTGCCTCAATGCCGAGTACCGAGAAAATTTCACAGATATCATTGGAGGAAGTTCTCACAGGGTCTACGTCCCTCTCGCTGAGGACTTTCATCAAACTGGTTCCGTCCGTCTCAAGCAGCCACTCGGCAATGGCCTTGAAGCGGCCGTTGTCTGTGATGACAATTTTCTTCTTCGAGTCAGTCTGTGGCAGATGCATGTAGACCTTGGTGATGGCCTCAATGCCCTGCAAGGTCATGTCTGACAGCATGTTTGCCTCGATGCACCTCAGGAACATATCGTCCTCCATCTTGTCAGCCTGCTGCTCGTCGTCGTCAAATTTGCCATCATCACCGCCGCTGTTCATGATGCGAATTCGCAGAACGAGCTTCTCAGCGTTGTCATCGTTGAAGATACAGTTCAAGTCGTCACCAAAGCCCAGGTTGATTTTCTCCGCAATCTGCTCCATGGTCAATTTTTTGTCTGTCATACGTTTGCGGTCAAGCTCAATACGGAGTAACCAGGGAGATATTCTGGTTGGGTCAAAGTCAGGCATTTCGTAGTAAATGTTAACAAACTCCTGATCCTCAGAGATGACTGTGTTTTGCGGATCGGGATCGTAGTAGATGGCAGTATTAGCTGTGACCTGAGAAGTTGAGAAGTATAAAATTAGAAATAATTCAGAAAGGCAAAATGCAAAATAATCACCAACCTTTCTTAGGGTGGTGTGTTCCAAGCGACACAGCACATTCTTGGCTTTCTCAGCGTCCCTGGCAGCGGCACCAGTCAAGAAAACGGTCAGAGAAGGGGCTTTTGGTTTCTTGCTAATATTGATGATTTCCTTCAGCCTCGGCACACCAAGTGTCACGTTTTTCGATGATACACCAGCAAAATGGAAAGTGTTAAGTGTCATCTGAGTGGCAGGTTCACCAAGAGACTGAGCAGCCAAGGCACCAACCATTTCTCCAGGTTGACATTGGGCCTGGAAAAAGCGCAATTGATATTTACGAAATGTTGTAACGCTTCAAAATTTTGTTAATTCATGTGCTCAAACATTGCCATTATACAACTATAAAAAGATTTTTTAAGTTGAAAAATGCTTATATTCTATAAGATTTTTAAATAAAACACAAACCTGCTGGAATCTAGTCTCGATTTCTCCCACCAGCCATTCAAATGCCTCTGCACTCAGTCTGTACTTGTCTGCTACATTTTTGGTACAGAGAATGGAGCGCACCAAGCACTGGAACAATAAGGTGGCATTCTCGTTGGCCTGTTTGCTGAGTCTGTCTTCGCCAGCCACAATAATGCATTTTGTCAGTAAATTTCTAACACCCTCGATCACGGTCAGTGGTGAAAGGTCCGTGGGCAGACGTTTGTTGATGTGGAAAATCTTTTGCGCATTCCAAATCATGCGCTCCAAGTTGCACGGCAGCACAACTTTGTCTTCTCCACTTGGGAAGGTCTCCCTCATGCTCTCCCGGTCCTTTTTCAGCAAATCCCACTCTTTCTCAAGCTCGGAAATAACCTGCAGCACCACAGCCGTTAAAATGGAAACAAATGCCGATATTTTAATAATTCACCTCTCCAGACCCCATCAACTCCTTCACGACATCCTCACTGAAAACTCTCCTGAGGTATCTTTCATTGCCAGGGTCAAATCTGTATCCACGCTCAAACTCATCATTGGAAAGCTTGATTGTTGGCAGAGTTTGGAACTCGACCGTCTCTCCGCAAAGACCATCCTCACCATAACGAAGCTGAATCAACTGGCCAACAGAGTTTCGCACCTAGAAAGATACATTAATTTCATGAACACTGGTCAAATTAAACAGATATCAAATGGGGAGAGGGAATTTAGAAGCCATTATAAAAACATAATTTAACACTAACAAACAACAATTTTTCTTTTCTTTTAGACAAAAATAAAATTATATGGAAATCATTGATTGATATGAAGAAAAAATTAAGTCTGCATTTTGCTCAACAGACAGCTTGGAATAGCTAATAAGAAAAATTTCAAGCATGGTCCTATGTAAAAACCCTTGCAAGGAAAGTTAAAAGTAGATTTAAAAGTTGAAATAAAAACTCACTGTTCCGTCATAATGCACCATGACAGACTCCATGGCTTTGATGAGACGACGCTGGATGTAACCAGTTTCTGCAGTCTTGACAGCAGTATCAATGAGACCCTCTCTACCACCCATGGCGTGGAAGTAAAACTCTGACGGCGTCAAGCCAGCCAAGTACGAGTTCTCGACAAATCCTCTTGACTCGGGACCGTAGTCATCCTTGATGAAGTGAGGAAGGGTTCTCTTTCTGAAGCCGAATGGAATACGCTTGCCCTCAACGTTCTGCTGACCCACACAGGCAATGACCTGGGAAATGTTGATGTTGGAACCTTTGGAACCGGCAACCACCATGGCCTTCAGGTTGTTGTACTCGGTGAGGGACTTCTTTGCAGAGCCACCAGTCTTGTCACGAGCATCGTTCAAAATACGATTGACCTGATTTTCGAAGGTCTGCCTCAGGGTGTTTCCTGGTGTTGGCTCCAACTCCATGTTGTGGGCCTTTTGAATGACCTCAATCACGTCTTCTTTGGCCTTCTTAATGGCCCTCTGGATTTCAATGTAGGTCTGAGGATCAGCAATGGTGTCTCCTATGCCGATGGAGTGACCTTCAAGGAGCAGCCAATTGTTCACCACTGTCTGGATGTTTCCGTAAAACCGGCCACACTCTTCATGGCCCAACTCCAACATACAAATATGCAGAAGAGACCCTGCGGAGGTACCCAGGGTCTTCTTACAGAGGATCCCCATGATCAGTTCACCATGCTCGACCATAACCTTTGTGTCTCCAGGTGAAATCCAATTATAGGGACCTGAATTCTCATCGTCGGGATGAGTCGAGTGGGTCCGAATCATGTTGACATTGCCAGGAATGATGAGCGAGAAGATTTGCTTGCCTGTCCACAGAGGCTTTGGCTTCAAGATGGCTGGTTGTGGCATTTTCCCGTCCCAGATGGGCAAAAACAGCAGAATATTCATCATCTGCTCTTTCTCAATGAAGACATCTCGTCTGGTCATTTTCCTGACTGCAGTCAGGGTGTCTTGCACAATACCCATGACAGGTTTGTTGGCCTGTGGGGTGATGATCTGTCTGGGTGTGACGTGGATGTTCTCAACCTCAGCCCTGGTCTCCATCGACTGAGGCACGTGCAAGTTCATTTCATCGCCGTCAAAATCAGCGTTGTAGGGAGAAGTTACACTGAGGTTCATGCGGAACGTCGACCAAGGCAGTACCTTCACTCTGTGCCCCATCATACTCATCTTGTGAAGTGTGGGCTGACGGTTGAAGATGACCAAGTCGCCATCCCGGATGTGCCTCTCCACTCTGTATCCACACTGGAGGTGAAGGTCTGAAGGTTTTGGGTGGTAACGCAAATCGATACGTTCCCCATTATCCCGAACAATGTACTTGGCACCAGGGTACTGAGAGTTGCCTCGGCGCACCAACTCTTGCATGCTAAAACAGAAACAATTATCAATTAGTAAAATATATCAGTCCAAATTCATAAATCATCAAATAATTTTTTTTTCATCTTAATTTTAACGTAGAAAAATCAGACTTACTGTTCAAGGTTGAATGGTGTTACAATCTCTGGGAACGTCAAGTTCTGAGCAATGGATCGAGGCACTCCAACCTGATCGATGTGCAGATTGGGATCAGGCGTGATGACAGTACGAGCAGAGAAGTCAACACGCTTTCCCATCAAGTTTCCTCTGATTCGCCCTTCCTTGCCCTTCAAGCGGGCTTTGATAGCCTTCAGCGGCTTGCCAGACTTTTGCATCGCCCTCGGCATGCCAGGCATGTCATTGTCAATTAGCGTTGCCACGTGGAACTGGAGCATCTTAGTGTTTTCGTAGAGCACGTGAGCTGCAGCGCCGGCCTGCTCGTTTCTGGCCAGTTCGTTGTTTGACTTGATGATGTCAGCCAGTTTGTGAGTCAAATCGTCCTGGTTCCGGGCCGAGCCATACATCACGACGGCAGGCCGAACGGCCAATGGGGGCACTGGCAATACTGTGGTAATCATCCAGTCAGGACGAGCATATTTCGGGTCCATGCCCATGATGAAGCACTCCTCATCTAAAAGGAATTAAATAAAATATTCAGAATTTTTTTTTTAACAACGATGAAAAAATATCTAAGGTAGAAGATGGCATTTTTCAATTACCTGAAATGTGTTTGAAAATCTCGTAGACTCTCTCAGCAGAGAGGTTGATTTTCTTTTCTTGTGTGTCTTCATTGACATGTTTCCACTCCGCAGTCAGGTCAAGCCCAGCACGACGAATGTTTGGCTGGTAACGACCACAGCCGCCATGCCCTTGCTTTTTCTAAACAATTTAAAATTTAATCTCACATTAAATTATTCAACTACTGAAGACTTACAGCCGCACCACCAGGATCTTCAGGGTTTCGGTCTGGGTCTTTGGCCAGGTCCATTTCATCACCACCCTCGCAAATGTTTTTGCCTTTGCAGAGGTCATACACAAAAGCCAAACGCTTCCTTGGCTGACCTTTGGTTTTCATCACGACCTCTTTGATTTTGGGATTATTCTGTGAAATGAATTTATTAAAAAATGCTTTTAATTGCATTGTAGCTTTTGAAACTTACAGGTCCGACAAGCATTTTTGAACAGTAGAAACAAACACAGCGAATCACTTTGATGGTCTGTTTCAGAAAGCCGACGTGAAAAACTGGCTTTGCTAGTTCCAGATGTCCAAAGTGTCCAGGACACTCCGTCATGTTACCTATAATTGTTTTAATTTATTAATTTGTAATTATTTTAGAATTCGGTTTTTTTTCCTGACTTGAGAAGAATATAATTAATAATAATAACTCCAATACGTACCAGCGCAAGTTTGGCAGCGAGAGTTTCTGTCCATGACACCCTGGCGTGGGTCCATGAGACCCCCAATCTTTGGCCTTCCGCCTTCATAAGTCTCAGGGTAGCGGATGCCCCCTTCTGTGACCGACATCCGCCGCTGAATTTTATATAATATTAGTTTTTCTTGTAAATTGCAATTACAAAAACATTATGTACATAGCCTTCGCTGTGAGATAGTGGATTAAATTATCTAAAATTGATCTATGTATCGTAAAAAAATCTATCAAAAATAATTTGTTGTGATGTTGTGCATAAAAATGAAACGGGAATTTTTTAGGTCTGTCTGTGAATTTCTCAAGGTGAGCAATGAGCAAAGCAAAAAATATGTAAAATATTATTATGTACATTTGAATTTATGGATCAGATCAACATTGCCATAGAGGCAATTGGAGGATTAAACATAATTTTAGGAGGTTTCATTTGTTTCTGTTCCTATGATTAATATACGGCTTAAGACGCTCTAGAAGCTTGTCATGCGTGTTGATTTTCAAAATAGACGTGTCGTGGAATAAGCCGGAAGGAATTGCAACTTTTTCCCCTCAGTTTGTAGAGCTAATTAGATTCTCGTAATGAGGCCGACTTACGATTTCATCTGGGCTGAGAATACCAAATTGGACCCTTTTGACGGGCCGCAAAGGCGCCTTCGAGTCCGAACACAGCATCGCCATTTTGTGTTCTCTCTAGACTCACATCCCAAGCCCACCTCTCTACTGATGTTTTCGGCGGATCACCAACAACGTGAAAAGTTTGATACCCTCTCCAACGACACTGAAGTCCTGCTGCCAACATAAAAATTTTATCATTCGGCTCAAACGTTTGAGTGTTTTGCTTCAAAGGTTATAAAAATACGTTCAATAATTAATTTAATATTAATTAGAATCTAAAAGTTCATAAAAGTAATTATAATATCTTTTGATTTCATGATTTCTAGATGATCCAGTAATTTATTAGTTGGTATTACAAGAGTAGAGGGGAAAAAGAGAAGAGCGCGGGAGGGTTGGAACCATTTCCCCACTCGTAAATTCCCGATCACGCCGTCAGGTAGCGTTATTTAGTCTAGTTTGCATTGCGCAAGGAGCAAGGACGACCGGGGGAGGGGGACGGCTGCCGGCTACTTCACAAGTACACGTCATATCTTCCAGTGTTGCCACAAGAACAAATAATTTGAATTTACCACACTCTAAGATTTCTTAATAATTATCAATAATTATGATACCAAAGTTTACCAATAACTCAATTCTGCTGATTAAAAAAGTATCTTAAATTTATATGTGTAACTTAAGAATAAAATGTTTCCTTTTCTTATTATTTTGCAAGCATAATACCTATTGCTAAATTATTGGCAGCACTGGTATTGCGTGTACGCCTGTCAGCAGATAAAGTTTTAGAAACGTAAACACTCCAGCCGGTACGATTACTAGGATTTTTATGAAATTAAAAAGAGCCTCACTCTCGTAGCCTCTTAGTAATCTGTTAAGAAATTCGGACGAGCAATGCATACGGTTTTGACGAGAGGAAACGCCATCCTGGCGTACACACTCAGTGTGCTCGCAGGACTGACGTTTTGTTGCTTCCTCTCGACTTTGTTCGTCGATTACAGAACAGAGGCTCACATGAACACCGTCAAAGTAGTTGTGTAAGCAAAAGCGTGTTTTTCGCACTTTTTCAATCTTGGCCAGCTTATAAAAAAATAAATTTATTTGCAGCAAAAACGTACCCGACTACAGTGCTTCAAGGGACGAAAACGACCTAGGGTTCCTCACTTTTGATCTGCAAACTGGTTTGTGCTTAAAAAAATAATTTCGATGAATTGAATTATTATTTTTATACAATATATAACTCTTTATGAAGTTTCTATTATTTATTGCTTTGTTCTCAAAGAAATAAATTTTATGTAGCTATAATTTTATTTAAAAAAAAAGTAAAAATATGCATTGATTGACAAAGGAATGATTCTCATTTTCCAGACCTTACACACCTGTTCAACTGGAATGTGAAACAACTATTCCTCTACCTCACCGCAGAATACCAGACGCCCAACAATGCCTTGAATCAGGTGAAAATTTTTAATTCATTTCAAGCATAGCAAATTTCATTTTTTTTTTCAACTTTAAGGTTGTGCTCTGGGATAAAATCATTCAGAGAGGTGAGAACGCCGTGCTGGACTTCAAGAACGTAAACACGAAGTACTACTTCTGGGATGATGGAGAAGGATTGAAGTAATTGGATACTAAACATTTTGCATGAACTAATAATAAATCAAATTTTTTGTCTTAGGGGCCACAAGAATGTTACTCTGACCTTGTCTTGGAATGTGATTCCAAATGCGGGGCTTTTACCAAACATCTTTGCTATCGGGCAACATTCTTTCCAGTTTCCCAATGAATACGCCAAGACGAGAATGTGAAAGTTTGAATGATGTTCTAATTATGTAAGTAAAGGATTATGAATGGAAAATAAATTTTTTGTTGTAAGTCTCGTTTTTTAATTCATTTTCGTTAAAAAAATTTGCCAAGGATATCAACAACCTTGGTCACTTTCACGAGTTGAATTTAACGTCTCTTCTTCATCTTCGTCCTCTTCTGCCTCCATTTCAAAAAGACGAACTCTCCTTCTACTTTCGCTTAGCACAACAGCTACCTTGCGTTCGCCGCTAACAGCTAATTGAGCACCAACCATGTTCTCCAAACTTCGGAGGGAATTAGGCTCTAAGTAATTTGTGGCCTCTTTTGGCTGCAAAGAGCAATTGAATTTAAGATTCTCTACAATAAAATATTTATATTTAATAATATACCTCTCCTGGGAATGCACTTGCATGATCCATTGCAATTCTGCTAGGGAACTGTAAGAAAACTGCCATTTTATTTTCTTGCTCTTGCTCCAGCAGAACAGAGACAGTCTCTTCGGAAAAGAACTGGACGTCCAGCACTTTGTGGCTAACGGTTTCAGTAAATCTGTGAGGCAAAGTTTCATTACAGCATGAAGAGACAAATAACATTTAATTTAGTTTACTTAAAAGCTATTTTCCTAGCGGGATCTTCAACTGTTTTAAGGCAAATATCTGCATATTGAAGGGTGCCGTGAGCACCATGCCTATCAACAAACGTCACCATGAATTTTTCTTGGTGGCAAAAGGTGCTGATGCGCAGCTGAGAGATTTCTTTCACAAAGTGGATTATTTTCTTCTGCAAAAGAGGCATCGGGAAGCTGGAGGATGGGTGAGCAAACAGCTCGTCTGTCGCAGCCAATAAGTGCTTGTGTTGCTGTACCAGGGACATTTTCTCGAACCTTAATGAAAATGCATAATAATTAAATTTATTAATAAAGAATTTATTAGTACCTTGGAATGATGGCAGGGTTGTCTCTCAGTTCAGGGTCTTGACTCAGAAACTTGTACCAAGTATTACTGGAAGCGTCTCCCGGGGTGGTCAGATCTTTGTCAACAAGGTACTGGCCGAGCCGCTCGAGATTAAATTTTGGCTTATTACCATCAGCGTCACCTGGAAGCTCATCAAACTTTTCCAAAAACTCGGCAATGAATGACAGTTCCTGTTGGCGCATTTTCACAATTTCAGGTGGAATCCGCTCATCTGACAAACGCAGGATCGCTGCGTAAAGCCAACGGAAGAATGCTTTGTAGTTTTTCATGGAAGAATCAATAACTTGTTGGACCTAAAAAAAATTGGTGTAATTTGCTTGAGTTTTACATGAAAATTTACCTCGGTTGCTTTGGTAATAAATGCTGCGGCTGAAATCGAAGCTCGCAATATGAGTTCAGAGCAAAGTCCTATTTCTTGGAACAACTTCTCATTTGCCATTCCGGTGAGTCCGGAGGTGTGAAAGTAAATTGCGGCACCAACAGCTTGCAAGTGTTTCAGAACCAGCTTCTGGATATTTGTGTAAGACAATTCGATTGAATGGCCTAACTTTTTCAGACCCTTCTCGGTCAAGTCGTTTAAAAGGAATGTCTAGCAGAAAACTTATTTATTACTTTTGTCGCTGGAAAAAACTTTTTAATTACCTGAAGTTCAGTGCTTGCAGAGCCAAGCATCAGCAGGTCCAAAAAGTCTGCCGAGACAGCGCCAGGCCCAACCTGAGAGGCATACTTGGACAGATTGGAGTCCATTTCCATCAAAATGTTTTCCCACGCTTCTGTTATTGAGCTCATGGTCTGGCCAAGGTACGCAACTTGACTAAGAATCAAACCATGTTGCTTGACCAAAATAAGGAGTTGTTCCGAATGGCTCGCAACCTTCGAAGTATCAAGATGAACGACATTTAGCAACCAGCCATCTGAAAAAAATTGCATCATTTTCTAGTTTGATTAGCAACGGCTCCGAAAATATTACCATCAGACTCTACTGAAATTGTGGCAATCAAACTCTTGAAGGCAGAGTCCATGGCAACAGACAAGACTCTGCACTTTTTGCCTTCGAAAACGTTTGTCATGTCGATTGATCCACATGCGAGGAGACCCAGGGCGTGCAGAGAAACCACACCGTTAACAGTTCCAGAAACAAGGAGGTTCAATTTCTTCTGGCTGCTGATCTGCTTTGAGTCCTCAGCATTTTCTTCTTTGCTGATAGGGCCGAAACTTCTCGAGAGCAGTGGTAGAGGAGGAAGGAGTTTGGAATTTTCTTCCTAAATTAAAGAAAATTTTATTTATGCATGGGAAAGAAATTAGATTAAACAACCATAAAATTACAAGGCGAGATTTTCTCTTCTTCCTTCAACTCAGGCCAAGAAAGGCACGACACTTCTCCAACATTTTTCAGACTATGGACAACGTCACCATTCTCAACATCGACCAGCAGCAACTCTCCGTTGGAATAAGCGACTGCTAGGATTTTGCTGTCTGGTCGCCAGGCCATGGCAGTCACCATCAGCCCTTGGTTTGGTGGTGCAAGGGTCCAAACCTTTTGCCATGTCAACCGCTGCAGAGAGACTTCACCTAAGTATTTTACAAAATTTATTACACCATTTAGAATATAATTGAGAGTTAAAATTTAAAATTCTAGGTTTTATTCCATACAAAATTTAATGAATAAATAAATAAAGGACAATCTTAATTAATACATACCTCTTACGTTTGATAATGCTAACAGGTCCATTCGATGTGACCAAACAAGCAGGTCAACCACAATGGCAACATGCCTCTCCTCTAGAAAACGCATTGAAGTAGAAGAACTCATAGCTGCAAATTAGAACCATCAAAATATTAGGAAACTTATTTTTTAAACATTAAACTTCTTTATTTTTTTTTATAATTTTGATACGTACTATTTAAATTTTATACTCTTTCATGATTTCCTTTTTACATACATACTCTGATTATGTACTTTGTTTTGCAATATGTAATCTTACCGCACCATGTGGAAATGATAAAAAGATAAATTCATGTGATTAAAAGTGTGTTTTCTCAGATTTGTTTAGCTAAATTTCTCTCTCAAACAAATTAACAACGTTGATTATATCGTTTGCTCGATTTCAAATATAAAAATGATATATTTTACATTTTACCCACCAAAATAGTGTTATTTTACTTACCGAACTTGTTTTTAATTAAACTTTTTTGTATAAAAAATAGTTTGCGCGATGCGTTGTTTGTTTACAAATTTAAACAGCGAGAGGGGAGGGGAAGGGGCAAAGAGGTGACGCCCCCTATCATAGATGATCGGATTCGGGCCATAATGAAAGGCGCTCCAATCTCCAATTGTCCAATTAACTGTTCTTTTAAGATGTGTTTATTTTGAAAAGAAATTAGAAAAATATGGTTTTTTGGCCCTTTGTAAATATTGGAGACAGGAAAAATCAGGGCCGTTTCATTTATAAAAAATATTTAATTGATAAGATCGTTAAAATCTGCATAACTTTTTTTTACCCTTAAAATTTCTTTCTTTTCTTATATATATTTTTTTCCAACATATTGCATACACAATAGTTGAATAGTGGACAATTAAAAATTGTGTATGTTTAAATTTATAATAACACGCCATTCCTCCTCTTCATTCAAATTTCAAATCCTCACTCTTTAGGTGACCCTTTTGAATGCCTTACGCTGTATATAGACTAATAACACGGAATCATTATTTTTTCTCATGTTGGACTTTAACTTTTCCTCGAAATCGTTTATGGTCGTTCATAAGAAGCATCTTGAGCAGGATATTTTTCGGCAAAACAATATAAGCAAATAAAAAAACTATGCATATATCGAGGAAAGCTGAATTTTAAATTTATATACCAAAAATAATTTTGATTGGGGGGAAATCTTTTCACTGTAGCAAAAAAACTTTGCTACTCAGCTCGGCACAGTCTTCTTCAAAAGAGAGATTTCACCGCTAAAACCTTCAGAAAAATGAGGAGTAGCACACTAAACACTAAATTATTTGATTTTGCTACACATACGCCTTGCACAGTGGTGGAAACTGTGCCGCGGTACCGCCCTTCACTGCGGGTTGCAGGTCATTCCTCCGCGGTTTGATTAATGAATAATGAAATCTCGATTTTCAGTCCTATTGATTTTTAGAAGAGCAATATTTGACTGCCAATAAAAAATGTACAAACCAATATTAACAAAGCCATTAAAAAGACTTAAATTATTATTAATTATGCAATACAATCACGCACCATAAATATCTTATTTTGTACTTCTTACAATTAGCGTTTTTATTCAATATTATAAAAGCGATTGCATCAAGCTAAACTCGAAATATTAAATATTATTATTAATTCTTTAATGTCATTACGATTGAAGATTGAAAATATATTTGTTTGTAATAAATATTTGAAAACTTATTTATGAAGTTTTTTTATCCGTAGCCCCCCTGCCCAATGGCTCTAGCGGCCTGTGCGCTCTTCTTCGAAGGAGAGTGCGCCGTGCTTTAGCAAGTTGTTTGCTAGCGAAGAGCCATTTCTCCATTCACCCCTCTAACCAACATTCTTTACATGTATTTTCAGTGTTTTGTTTTATGTCTTATATTGTGTATTGACTTGATGTAATAAGATGTTGTGTTTTTCTATTGTATCTGAATGGAGAATAAATAAATAAATATATGCGCCGTAAAAAAATTAATATATTGTATGTAGGAATATAAAATAATATCTATTTTTGACTTTCAAATTAAAATAACATTGAAACTACGAGTTAATTTTCTGCAGCAGCGCTCGATGGCTAAATATTTTAGCTGAAATAGTGACACTCAGTATTCACAAAAGTGCAATTGAAGCAAGTTGAAGCGGACAGCGCCTCATTGTCAGACGAAACATATCGTCAGCATAATTCTATAATAAAAAGCTGCAGCTCTTTACATTATATGGAATTCACACCTTTGACACTAATAAAAAAAGCTCACACTCTTTCAACCATAACCTTAATATTTTTATATTTAGCCTGGATCCGATCAGGAGTATCAGGACCCAATCCAGAGCTGAAAATGATTATTATCAAAATAATTATTTGAAAAGAAAAACATGGATTTAATGGTTTCTATATTTTTTGTTTTTACTTATCTACAAGCGTAATAATTCAGAATATTTAAAACCAAAAGAGAAATTTTTACCAAGCTATTTTTAATAAAATATTGAATATATTATTAATGCTATATTAATACAAATACGTTCATATTATAAATTTTCAAAAGAAAAAGTATTTGATTCCCAATTTCCATTGCAGTAATTTATGGAGAACGGATTTCTTTGCGAACTTAAACATATTATCCTAGTCCCTAAAATACCCTTGCAAAATCGATAGGGTGTGTGAGGCAAACAACACCCTTCCTCTTACTACGCCGTAAAGAAGCGCATGCGTATATATTTCCCGGAGAAAGACCCCCGACCCGAGCCACACGGTTCACGTTCCTGGGGTCACGGCCTGGTGCTCGCGAGGTGGGGAAATGCATTGAAAACGAAAAGAGGGGAATTCAGGGCGCCGAGTTGACTGCACAGCGTGAGAGGCGCTTTCAGACACAGACCATCATCTGCATTGCGGACCTATACTGTGGTGCGGCTCTTCTCTTTTATTGCGACTTAAAAAACTCGGCAACAAGGACACCATGTTTGGACTTGGAGGAGGTACAAATTATTTTATCACATTATTCCGTATAAATATTGAAAATGGCTCGATCAAAGCGTTTTTTGGTGGCGCAGAGATAATATTATATCGGCTAAATAGTTATTTTCCTGCTCATTCTGAGCGGCAAAGACGCGAGGGGCGAGGTTTCTCACGGCGCACGGGTTTTCATTTCTCATTGCACTGTAGCATATAGGGGAAATAATGAAAATTTCCTGGTAAAAAAAATTGATAAATGGGTCTCAAGAAGAAGGTGGATTTCGTGAAAAAGCCTCCGTTTCAATTTTTTCAACTATTTATTCTCTTATAAATTAATTTATATAGCAAAAAAAAAAAATAAAAATAAAGTGGCTTGACGAGTATCGCCAGCCATTGTTTCACGTCAGAGCTTTTTAATGCTAAAAGAGGCAAAGGAATTTTAATGGCTATAACCTTGAAAAATTGAACGTAGGAAATTTATGATTAAAAGATTTATATTTTTTGAAAAACAATCTTTGTACTAATATTTTTAACGAATTGAAGCGTATCGACCCTCTTGATGACCGGTTTTGAGGGAATTCGATTTTAATAATTGAGCGCGCACTACAGCAAAAGAGACGTGCATGCATGCGAGTGACCTATTTTGCCGGTATTCGTGTTGCTGGAGCTTTTTACTGAATTGCCATTGTTTTGTTTGTTTGGAACAACTTTTATTAACGAGAAATTGAGAGAGAAACGATAATGTGCAAATTCATAAACCAAAATCAGATGCAGCAAAATCAATAAATTTTCCAGGCACACAACGGAATATATAATTTCAATCGGCATATTTAGATATTATAATCTATACCTAAATTTTTCAATTGGAATTTCACGTCTAGTAATAAATAATGTGCCAATATAACGGGACAGTTGTACAGTACCGTTCCCCTGGGAAGGGACAATATTAGCTAATTATAGTATATAATAAAATTATAATTAGATTCAGCTTTTAAGCTTTTAATAAAGCTGCTAATAGCTTCATAATTATATTGTGATTAAAATTAATGTAAAGAGTATTACAGAAAAACATTTTCTATACGCCTTTTTCATTTCCCCCAAGACAAACAAGTTCCTGACTGGATCTTGACCTTCGGTGGCTCAGCTGAGACTTTGAATGCTTCGGCTAAAAAAAAACGACGGCCGCCCAATATTTTGTGGCGCGGCCGACGGCTTGTCAAGCCATGACAATTAAATTTAATTCATTTATTCTCTCGCAACAAGTCGTACAAGAAATGGAAAAGTCGCATTGGGAAAGGATTGGCAGCCAACTCTAGTAAACAATTTTCCAAAAACCATAGGCCCAATTTGGAAGCAAAGTTCTGGCATGAATAAATTTTTTTGGATCATAGTTTGTATGTAGCAGCCGATTTGCAATCATTATTTTCTTAACACTATATATTATTATTATTTAATCGGTTCTCAAAAAAGAAAATATATGACCCGGCCAGTGATATAGTATAGTGACGCTAAATAACAATAAAACATTAATTCAATGATTAAACTTTGGAGAGGCAGATAAACTGCTTTCTAATTTAAACGATTTAAACGTGCGCAGAATAAGAATAAATAAACATAAAAAATTTTACCAGCCACGCACGAAACAGAATTCGATCAAAAGAAATATTTTATTCGTGCATGAATAAAACGAGAAAATTCAAGTGTAAAAGTTGATAAATAAATACATTTTTATTTGAAATTTGAACCAAAACTCTGTGAAATGTTTTTCAGAGAAATCAAAAACACATTTTTCCATTTATTTGATGCAATTTTCGCAATTTTCCTCAGTTTCCCCAGCGCAAATGTATTCAATATAAATGCATTCTCTCAGAGGAAGAAAAAATTAAATAGTATTATATACATTGGGGGCTGGCTTTATTTTATTATATGTATATGTATAATATAATATATGATACATATATTTTAACAAAAATATCGACGCTAAACAAATCTGAAAACTTAGGCGTTTTCAATCTTACGTTCCGAGCTGCATATATGGTTTCTTAAAAATAAGGAATTAATATATCATCCCAGAGTAAATCGATGAATTTTGAAAGGGCAGAAGCCGCTAAATTTATTTACTTTTTTTTTGCTTTTGATAGTTTTGACGTTTCATTTTGATTAAAAAATTGATTTGGGTTCATAAAAAACTTACTCTTTTGCCTAATTTATTTTATAAATAATATAAATATTAAAATCTAAAAATTGCATTATTTGTTTTTAGCATTGAAAAATGTAACAGACAAAGCCGGCGAGCTGCTGGAGAAGAAAAAGGGTGAAGTGAGCGCTCTTGCAGGAGAAAAGAAGAAGGCAGCCACGGAATTGCTAGAAGACCAGGTTACAAAGACTACTGAGGCTTTGACACAAACTAAGCAGGAGGCTGAAAAGGTTGCTTCTGACACAACCACTGAGGTAAATTAATTAAGGATTTCCCACAGAAGATTTGTTAATTTTTTTTAAGAAAAAAGTATATGATAAGGAAAAGTTAATTTTATTAAATATTTGCTTGTTTAGGGTCAGGGTAAGACAAAAGTCTTGCGCCGGCCTGCGCCCTTAATTGGTGGTGCAGAGGGCACATATTTACTAATTATTTATATAATTTTTAATTTTTTGTTATATTTATTCAGACCTAAATTATTGAAAAAAACTTTTCCACCCTCATATAGGCAACTGGTCTGGTCGAGTCAACTGTCAACGCTGGAATTGCCGAGGTTGAAAAAACCGTTGACGAGAAAATCAAGGAAGCCAATTCTGAAATGGACAAAAAATTGGATGAGGCTGACAAGTTCCTCGATGCGAAGCGTGAGGATGTTGTCGCGGCGGTGTCAGACGTCGGCAAGAAAGCAAATGAAACCAGTTCATCTGTCCAGACCTCCCTGCTTGGAAAGGCCAAGGGATTTCTGAAATGTAAGTTGGAAAATAAAGGATAACAATTGAATAATAATTTTTTATTTATTCTTTAGTCTAAAGAAGAAGCCTCTACAAAACACAACACGCTGCTTGCGGTGAAAATTCCTATGAGTTGCAAATTGAGCCAAATTGTATTATTTTTTTACTAATCTAGAATGTACGTATTGGAATTGGATATTTTATGATTCTAAAAGCATCTCCAAGCATATATATTCATTTTTAGATCTGAATGTTTTTTTTTCGCTAATTTTATGATTTCAAGCACATATAATTTAAGGAGGATTTTGAGGTGGGGCACCCTGATTTGATACAAGTTAGTATGCAACTTGCATTTTTCTCTTGGAACGGTTATATTACTTTTTGCCCAATTTTACCTGCAATGCTCGTTTCCATAAATAAAAAAAATCAAATCAAATGTAAGCAACAAACGGTCTTGAGCACTTTCAACGCTATACAATATAAATCAAATTTGTTTTATATTGCAAAAATTAAGATATATAAAATTGGTCAAAACTTATTGGCCGGCGTTCTGAAGTACTTAATTAAGGAAGTAGAAATTGTCCTCTATAACTTTGTTCAAAACTAGGGTGCCCCAATTTTTAACACATACCTTGTGAGTATTATTTTTAATATTCGCACTATCTTGGGATTGGACTGGGACTCAAAAGGCCTACCAAAAATAACAAGTAAGAGCGCCACGTTATATTTGCACCCCTGCACACCAGACTTTTGCCCGTCGCACGCAATTTCCCAGTCCAGCTCTGCTTAGGCGACGCTATTAGGATTGATTGAAAATGAACTTATTTTTTGTATTTAAATTAGTTGCAATCGCTAAAATAAATATTGTCTAATCACATTTATTACTCTAAAAGTATTTATTGTTTCATTACTAATCTACTACACCCTGTCTACACGTTTCACAAACATAAATCTTAAATTTAAGTTGCAAAAAAAGTTTATTAATGTTTCCTTGCCAAAATTATTATAATCCATTAATTCTATAAAAATTTAATATTTTTTTATAATTGGATCAACAGAGAGAGAGAGAGAGAGAGAGAGACAAACATTAGAAAAATACAATTAACAGGAAAAAAAACACGAAAATCTGAAAAAATTTACACTCATATGAAAGGAATATTGTGATTATTTTAAATTTATTTTTAAGGTATGTCTGTTTTTTTTGCGGTTGTCTGGTTTTTCATCTCTCTGGTATAAATTAAATTATTTTCTTCCTGCGGAGACCTTGTTATTAAAATCGTTTGCAAGAACAATAGTGAATAAATGTGTTCCTGTGGCAAACCTCTGCTGGTAAAATTTTAATTACGTTTTATAAAAAATCCAATCTCTCTTGTACTCTCAGGTGGTATAATTTTAATTAAAATTTTGTAATCGCGGCTCTAGAAAATAGGTTGGGTTACTTTAAACCCAAAGAATTGACGTCTGGAAAAACGCGACGCACTTTTGGATGAGTCACGTACCCTCCACCCTAATGGTGGAGCGCTTTGGGCGCAGAAGCAAGTCTAGGGGTTGGGACTGGATCTCGGCTGCTCCAGCGCAGCTCCAGCTCGGTTCACTCAGTATTTCCGAGGCTGTGTTCTGGTACGAGCGCGCCTATTCCTCTTGATCGAGCACCCCGGCTTCCAAGATTTACTGCTGGCTGAGCACCTCCGCGCCGACGGCGCGGCCCTCCTATGTCATGCCAGGAGGTGCCAAAAAGGGTGAGTTCTCCTTTTGTTCGCACCCTCCGAATTCATTCTTTTCCTGGGCACATTCAGCTTAACAAATAAAACACACACTAGTCTGCCACACTCGCCATTTTACAACTCACAGGGATACGACGCGTGCGAAATGGTGTGGTGTTGGCACAGTCGCTTCAGCCAGAATTATATTAAATTTTTTTGTGGAGCATTTAATTATAATTGCACTGAATGAGAATATAAATCTTTGCACAATCAAATTAGCATACGCAAATATCAATCAAGCTAATTAGCTGCTATAATTCGCAAAAAAACTGCTTTTTGCTTGAAAATGTGTCAAGTGTTGCTGAGGAGATATATTTTAATATTATTTATGTGCATGGCTCGTAAATAGCATTTGATTTTTAAATTATTAATATATGGCTAAAATTTATTCATAGCTTTTTTTTTAATTATTATTTTTTTTTTAAATTAAGAGTAGCTGAATATTTAAAGGAAATACTAAAATATAATAAAAAAACATACTAGGTTGAGAAATTGTGTTAGAGTTGGCGCAACAGAAAATCAGGCAAGTGTTTTTCCTCCCGAAAATTTTAGATAAAGAGCAAGATGGTCCAATAAGGGCAACAATTTTCGCAATTGGCGTGTGTCGCTTTATAAATTAAGCTGATACAGGGATTTCATACCTTGAAGTGGTTCCAACTCACTCGAGCTGTTGCCATGACTACATTCGCAGCCGCTCGCGTTGAGGCCGATTTCGGGCGCCGCTCTCCTTTTAATTTCCGTCTGTGACCTGCTTTATAGAACAAGTGATAAATTGACATGAAATGCAAGATGCGACCGAGGCTCTCCGCTACATCGTGCTGACGTCTCATAAGCCAACATAGATTAATAATATCCTGCACGATAATTTGAAAATTTGTAGTGATTACTTTGTAGGTATAAAAATTGACGTTTATATAGCAAATAAAGCACAAATTTTGGGTATTCCTGAAAAATGGGTGCACGTTAGAAGAAAAGTAAATAAATTTCTGAGAGCTAAAAGACGAGGAAAAAAGGGACATTCGCATGGAATTCTAAAAAACAGGCATTGCCCTTGTTTAACTAAAAATAATTAAAAGGAACAAGCACATTTATTTATCACTTTATATTAATGATTAGATTAGATTAAAATTTATTGCATGAGACATAATATTGTACATCTCCAATTGCCTTTAAATTCATCAACGTAACACTAAAATATTTTCGTACACACACAGATGAACACGGGCACACAATTATGCAGCGCACAAAAAAAAATTAGCATATAGATCAAAATTTTCAAACGCTGATGGTTCTTTTGTTTGTTTGTTTTATGTGCGTTTCGGTGGTTGATTGGTTGGTGGTTTGGTTGGCGTGTCAATCCGATCGAGAGCAGCCGTCTTCCCAACCATGAATATGCACAACCACGAGAACACTCGAGAGACGGCGGCAGAGCACCGGAAACAACTAGTCAGAGGTGCGTCCTTTGATCTCGTTAATTTCATTAATTAAAAAGAAAAAAATACAATTTGTCTGGAGGTGTTTGGAATTGAACAACGGCAGTTGATCAATGCGTGTTTTGCTAGTATAATTTATTTAACTATTTTTTAAGCAAAATAATGACTCACAAAATCCATTTCAATATAAAGGGATCGAAATAATCATAAGAGTACCAAAAATTACTCTAAAAATATTGAAGGGTCCAAATTTCTGTTATACTCTTGAATGTAAATCATAAAAAATTATAACCCAGGCGAATCTTTCAAAGGGTGGTAAAATAGGTTTTTGTGTTATTTATTTGGCAAAAGTTCTTGCTTAAATATTAAATTTTTCCCTTTATTATTTAGGTAAAATTACCCTCATATTTTTCAATGAATGAGAACAAAAATTAGGTAAATATTGTCGTCAACTGTTAAACTTTTAACACGCGCGCAGTAATTGGAATGAAAGGGCAAAACAAAAAAGGCGTTTGCCAGAGGCAACTGGAAAATGTGCAATTTTGTCTCATGCGCCAGCAGAAAATGAAAGAAAGAAAGTTTGCTCACGCAGTGTGGGCGAGAGGGGGTGTTTATAAAAAAAGCAAAGGGCTTTTGCAAGCAATTGGCGCAGCGACATTTGGCTCGGCTCCAATTCCGCATTATTCCAAATTCTTCAGCCTTCAAAATGGGTCGCATAAACAAAATAACGAATGTAAAATTTTGTAGAAAATAAAATGGCAAAAAAACGTGAAATATAATAAGAATCAGAAATGCGAATCCATGCAAAAGGGTGGGTAGTTGAATGATTTTAAAATGAAGCCTTTAATTTTGAAAGTGAAAATAAATTGTATTTTGAATATTGTGATTCTATTGTTCATGAGTTGCACTCAAATCCTTGTGCAATATGTTTTACTTAAGAAAATTACTTTTTACTTTACCTAGTAAGTAAATAATTTAAAGTAAATTTTGTTATTTTAGAAAATTTCATATTAAGCTTGTGCAGGAAATTAAAAAAAGGCTCATAGTGCCACTTCCAAAATAGAAAAATATTTCATTCAATGAAGTTGCTTGTAGAAAGCAGCTTGTCAATTGCAAACTAAAATAATCGCAGAGAGGTTTTTTCCGTTTTTCCGCTCACTAAAGTCAAGAAATGCTTGTTGCATGCATTATTGTTTTAATACAAGTGCCGGAGCTGCCCGCTGCTCGATTGTATGTTTCTTGCTTGTAATGCAAAGATTTCAATTCGAGATTCTTGGCCGAGGGCGCCTGCTCAGAATGGTGGTTATGCAATCTGCAGGACACTCATAACTGGCGGGTCTGCATACCTTTTTCTAATTAGAATTTTGGGGCGAGATAATTATATTGAATGGAGGCTAAAAGAGACTAAAATATTATCATGTAATGTGTATTTGTTTACATGTTTGATCGTTTAATCAAAATGTTTCTACACTGCTTGTTTCAGGCAAATCTACAGATGGTGGCAAAGAGAGTCCTGAAAAAGAGAAGGATCCCAACGCTAAGCACAAGAGTGGTAAAAATCCTCCAATGACAAAAACAATGTCTGGACATTCAACTGGTATATAATATTTCTGATTCAATTCAAAATATTTGTTAACACGAAGCCGAAGCGAAAATTTTGGGATCTTAGCAGAGAACATAAAATTGATTATAATTGTCTCCAAAAAAATCCTCCTTCTGTCCTTTTTACTTCGCGAAAATTGATCCGTTGCCGTTTCTTCTCGTTTTGTATTTTGTCACACTAATTTTTTACTTGAATTTTGAAGAAGAAATTAGACGATCGATTTTTTTATATGCATTATTTTGATCAGAAACTAAAAAAATCGGAATGAATCATGAAGAAATAATACTATTGACACCCACTTAAAATCGTCCAAATCGGCAAAAAGCGTTTAAAAATGAGCAAGACGCATCTACAATACAATACATATGGTTTTTGCCCGGAAATGGCTAAAATGCTCACATCATAAGAAAACCCCCAAAAGTTATATTAAAAAGTAATGATTTTTTTACTGCTCGAAAAACTAAGAATATTCATTTGCAAATAAAGAATAAAATTGAGCTCTAAAAGATTTTTTTTTTTAAATTTTCCTCAATAAAATAACGTTTTATCGTTTTATCCAAATTAATTATTATTAAAATTCCTTATAGTTCGTCGTGTAAAATTAAAAAATTTCCAGTATTTCTACTAATTAATGGCGCGAATTTTTTTTATCAAGATATGGCTCCAAAAAACAATAAGTTAAAAGACGATATGAAAACTTCAAATTTATGAATTTTTTAAGATGGTCACCACAGCGGGCACCATCATCACCACCACCACCATCAGCAGCAGCCAGATATGAAACAGCAGACGCAGCAGCACCATAGCCATCACCACCACCACCACCATGGCAGCCACCCCCAACCCCACGAACAGGCGAAGAACGTGGAAGCCTCAAGCACAACCTCTGCCAAGTAGGCACCGCAGCACAAATATCAAAACTATTATTATTATTACTTCCTGAAAAATAAATAAAAAACAAAAATAAGCAACTGCATAATTAGGGCGAATCAGAAAACTATTTACCTGGGATTCTATGGCACATTTTACATTATTGGATATTTGATGTAAAAAAAGTCAGCCAAAATCGCGCAAAGTTTTTTGCACAAATTATTAATAAAACAAAATTTTTACTCTCAAGTAGCAATGTGAACAAAGAAATAGTTTTCCATCCCTTAATTTTATACAGCCAACAGAAAAAAAAACAGCCTGGTGACCAACACGTGGCAAGGCAAATTGACACGAAGTTTAAAAAAATTTGAGCAGCAATTTATATCTTGTCTATACCTGATCTTTTTGCTGTGATTTAATCCAATTAAACGTTAAAAAAAAATACTATTTGCGGCTTTTATCACACAAAAAAAAATAAATAATAAAATTAATTATGAAAAAAGGAAAGAAAAAGCGCATATAATACAATAATTAAATTCATAAGCACCCAGCTTTTTGACCTCGTTGATAACAAACGTTTGCTACTCGCCATTCTCTTCACATGCATCCCCTTTAGCTATTCCAATCGATAATTCCAGCCAGTCGCGGTGAAAATTCAGGCGCACTATCTTTGTAGCAACAGCTCCGCTAGCATTCGCAGCACATATATGTTTGCATAAATATATTATGTATGTACCATGTATGTGTATATAAGTGTTAATTAATTCTGGAGCGAGCCCCTCTGTAGCTTGCGTATGTTGTCGGTTGCGTGTCTATTAATGGGCATTCGTGTTGCCCACGCGGCCTCGTTTTGCTTTTCTTATCTCACGCAAATCAATTTTCATCACGCTCCACTTGAAACGCAGTTTCTTTAGTTTTGGCACCAACGCAGATAACACAAACAAGAGTGAGAGTTATTTTAAAAATCGGTATTTCCTTTAAGGGAATCCAGCTAATTATTATTTTGTATCGCTTGGCTGAATTATTATGTATTTCTTTTTTGCACTAGAACTAATAAATTATGATTACATGTGCAGGAATAGTATTTTCTGTAAGTACATTTCACAACGGAAAATGCTATGAATAGTTTAAAAATTTTCTTTTTAGAACACTAAAAATAAAAATGTTGATATTAAAAAGTCAACACACACCTTTGCCGTTGAAGTATTATCACACCAGTGAGATGTAGCATAAGAAAATTATCTATTAACATATTCATTTGTTTAAAAAAATGTTTTTTTTTTTCATATTTCCGGGATTATTTATGTGATGAGCGATATATGTAATTACTTTTTCGTGAAAAATATTTTAGTTAAGTTTAAAAAGTTGCAAACAAAGTTGGATGCTGTATAAAATTTAATATTTTAGACACATAAATTGAAACATTTAATTGAATTTTTTTTTTTTTAAACAAAACTATAGCGTCCAATTGATATATAACAGACAGTGTTCCTTTCTTCCTTGGCCCATTTGCCATGTTGTTTCCTTTCATTGATAATCCCATACTAGCCAGGTGTGAAAATCTTGTTGTTCTGAAAACTCGGCCTAACTTAGCCATTGTTAAGATAAAATTACAAAACAGCCAAAACAAAACTTCATACTTGATAAAAAAAATAAAAACAAATGATGGATGATTGCCATGATCTACTTAAATTTCTCCAATTCAGCTAGTTGATTTTTTTGTGAATTCTGATTTTGAATGTAAATTCAAATTAATGTTTTTCTTCTCAACCAATACTGTCAATAAATACTGTACATTAATTAAAAAGCTGTAATATTATTATTATTATAAGAAAGGGTTTCAAGAAATATACGGTTCATGAATATTGCAAATATGTGCGTAATACAACCAAAGAAATTTTTATTTTATTAGCTTTTTTGGAATTTCTTTTTACACCAAGTGGATTTATTGCATAGAGTTACGCTTATTTATCAAATTGTTTCTTGGTTTGGTAAGAAAATTTTAATTGGAATTTCATTTATCAAATCATATGACCTGAGAGAGAATGAATACAAATTTTGCTTCTGCAAAAATGATTTAATTTTTTAAATTACTTTTAAAATTCATGTTTTCTAATTAATGAAAATCTATTAATAAAGGAATTTCAGGAAAAGAGAATTCTGTAGTTATTTCAGATTAATGATAGACTGGAAAAGCGATTGCAAAAAAATTCAAAATCTGTTTAAATTGCATTTTGCGATTTTAATTGCTACCTTGAAATAGAATTTTAGACAAATAAATAACAACAATTGGATGGTAGATTTTTTCCCTTAGAAGTTAGGAGCCTTTTCATTGAGGGCCACAGAAAGTCCCATAACTGAAAAATAACACAAAATTACACCTTGTAGCATATTCAATAAGAATAATTGAATTTCGAGTATTTTAAATTTTTTTTATCAATTTATGCTTCCAAAATGGAACAAATTTGTGTCGTAATATTTGTTTAATAAATTTAAAATATCTAATTTTTTTATGACAAATGATTTGATATAAAATAGGATATAGAAATATTGGCTCTTGAGCTGCAGCTCCGGAGCCATCTGTCAACTTTTTTTCAGCTCCAGAGCTTGCTCTGAAACCAAGTCAAAAAGCCTGGCTCCTAAGCCCGACAGAATTAATATTTTTGAATGTTGACTTAATTTAGTTATTCAATTATATACCATAACAGCAGGATATTTTTTTGATTAATCATCTTTTTAACTCTAGTCCTGCTCTGAAGAACACTAATACTGGCTACTGGCTATAATACAAAAGAAAAAGGAAACTTACGGTGCACAGAGCTTGACGAAGTGGCCACAGAGTCGTAGAAAATGGTCAAAAAGTTGAAGGCTAGATTCAGTTTCAGCTCCATGTTCTCCACACATTGTTGCTCAATAGATCCATTTTGAAAGGCATCACAAATCACCATGGCTTGAGCAACCACCTACAAGATTCGATTAAAACAAATTTAAGTACAGAAATGCAAGGACAGACCTCCATTATGTGCTCCTGGGCTGATGAATGCGTCTTCGAAAGAAGGCAGGAGTAATGCGAGTGCTTCACAAATCTTTCGTGTGCCTCAAGAGCCGAGTGAAAGCTATTGGCACTGCAAAGGCGCTGATCTAAATTTTGCTTCAAGTCGAGTAAAATGTGGCTCAGAATATGGTCGTGAATTGTCCGAAGTAAAAACAGGAGCCAAGAGCGAAGTATCCACAAACGGTGACTCAAGTCAACATTACCAGACATGACTGGGGACGTTTCTGGAAAAATTTAGGTTTTAGTAAGATTCTATAGTTGAAATAAGCGAATTTGAAATTTACCATCGAGACAGATTCTTTGCAAGCTTGATAAAGCACACTTAATTTTCAGGAAAAATCGAAAAACATTATTATATAGCTGCATGTTGGCTTCAGTCAGTACAAGGTTTGTAGGCCATTTCATCTGTTAATAAAAAGTATCAGTCGACATAGTTACTGTTATGAATGTTTTCCTACCAAGTAATTAAGCGAAAGTCGATTGATTAACTGCATCAATGGAAAGCCCTCTGTTATCTCAGAAATGGCATTTGCCGTGTAATCAGTTGCGACTTGAATGGAAAAAAGATGCGACCAATCTAAGTGGAGATCACTCAAGCATACTTGGAGTTTGTTAGTAAGAAGAACCCAATTGGCCCAACTGAGCCAGTTGTCATCTTTGGCAGTCTGCGGAAATTTGAATATTACGTTAGGCAGGCAGAATCATTTATCGAAGTGAAAAACCTCTTCTACAAGGAAAGTGCAGAACTCTTGCATGGAAAAAACCTCGAAGAAGGCAACTTTCTGCATTGCGGATAAGTGGTCACTGATTTTGCACTTGTTCCTTAACAGATCTTGTGCAAGTCTGCCAAGATCATGAACTCGAGAGTCGAGGATGTGCTGAACTGCATCACAAAGGATATGATTCAAGGACTGGATAGAACAAAGATCTTCAGAGCTGAAAAATAATAATCATTGAATTGCATAAAAAAAATTTATTTCATTTATTACCCGATGGGGAATTCTAATCTTTCGTAATAATCAAACTCCTCTTGTTGATAGTTCGACTCCAAGCCTAGATTCAATACGTCCCCAAAAGCTTCTAAAACATTGGCATCACTTGTGGATAAAATGTAATCCAGCGTGTATTGCTCTAGTGAATCAGGAAGGATTTTTTCACTTGCTTGATTTTCAGAGCCAAACTTTGTGTCAGGAATTAACGTTTTGTCATTGGTCTTTGACGGAATCAGCTCCGCTTTGAGAATTTCAACAAGCTCCTTGTAAATCGACGCTGCAACAAATTGAATGAGCATATAATTATGGAATTTTATATAATGTTAATTTACATCTCTCTGAGGACTTTGGTATCTGATCCATGTGGTCCAGACCTCTCAACAGGCAAATGCTTCGCCCAACTGTGAGACCTGTCTTTGCGATAATTTTCAGAAGTGGCATCGGAGTGACGCCCAAATCTAAAAGCGATTGTTCAAATGGGTGCAGGACGTAGTCTCCATCCAGAGTATTTTCTGCTTCAGCAGCTTCCCTGTTTAAAATATCACTGACATGCAATTTTAATTTCACTATTTATTTTCATTACCCCGAAATAAAGTATTCCTCATAAGGGTCATCAATAGATCCAAACATGAACCAGTTTTCTGTTATGTCCAAGTAAGGTTTCAGTGTGATGAGGAGGAGTGAGATCAAAACAGACGAGATTTCTAGTGACAACGCTTGCTCTGCTTCCGACCAGAGAACGGACAAGAGCCTAGGTGTGATTAAGTTTTACAGGTTTACAGACTAAAGGACAAAAGATAACTCACTTGGTAGAACAGATCCAATACTGCTGGACGTCATATTTTTCAAAAACTGCCAGCTCGTGAACTTTGTACACTTCGTAAAGAAATCTGAAAAAGGGCTGCAACCTGTCCAGGCAAGTGTTGATTGTAAAAATATCATCTAATGGAAGAATATTATTTATCAATACAAATTAATACACAAAAAAGTCCAAACCTTGCTTTTTAACCTCGTTCTCGAGATCAAGCAAAAAATTATTCTGCCTGTCAAACACCAGCTGCAGACCCGCTGCGTACGATTGGTAGGTTTTTGGAGGGTATTGGAACTCACTGTGAAGAGCACTTGGCAGCATCTTGTCCACAAAATTGTGCATTTTGCCAAGCATGCACAAGGCTGGGGTAACAGAGCCCAAAACGCTCCGAAACATTTCCTTTAAAAAGATCGGTTCAGAAAAAATTCATAACTTTTGAAAAACTAAACTTACTGGTGATAAACTGCAAACTGTGACGTCCCCGCAAACGGAATATTTCCATAAAGCTTCTTTCTTAAAAATCAACCCGCAGGCAGAAGTGTCTCTCAACGCCATAATGATCTCTCTAATCACTGAGTATTCACTAATAATTCTTAAAGAAGCATCTCCAGAACTAAAAATTGACCATTGAGTTAAAATAAAGAATAATTATTTCATCGTTCCCCACCAGAGTTCAGCAAGAAAAGGAGCAGGGAAATTTCTGTTTGCTTTGATTTTACTGAACTTGTAGCCTGCTTGTCCTGCTTTCCATGCTTCATTTAAATCTTCCGTGTTGTTTCCTTCTTTTGTTGGAGTTTGTTGGGCATCACATATTTCAACACTAGTGAGAACATCTAAAAGGGAAAAAATGCCATTTGAAATTAAACTTAACAAAATATATATAATTAATTACCGTTTTTGGAATCATCCTCTGTAAATATTTGAGACTCACTCTTATCGCTGATCTCCTCACATTTAGATTCTTCACTCCAGTCACTCTGTAAATAAAATAAATAATAATCAGTTAGATCACCAATATGGTTAAAATAAAAAAAACCAACCTCGTCGGACTCCTCTACGTTGGCGATTTCGATTCCCTGGTTCAGATAAGCATGCCAGTCAAACTCAACATTTTCCCTGGGGATCAATTCCTCGTCAATACTAGCAATGCCCTTGTCTTTGTCCGAGGAGTGATTGGCCATCAAAACCAAGTATCGAACAACACCGATTATGTCCTGAAAATATTTGTACCCTTTAATAATTTTGTTAAATATCAGTTGCGCTTGACTAACTTGTTTGTTTTTGGATTCCATTCCTCCCAAGAGCTCCAGAAACTTATCAAAAGCAGATTTCAATTTCCTGGCCTTCTCAAAGTTGACGTTGATTGTATATTTTTCAATCAGAGCTTCCATGTCGTTCTGAACTTGCGTTTTGTATGTGTCTGGATATGTGTGGTTGAAGAACATGGACAATGTGTAATCCATGCATCTTTTGAAGTTTTCCTCGCCAGGCTGTAAAAAGGGTAATTAAAAAAAAATTAATGCTAGTTAAAAATTTTTATCATCCAAAACAAAATAACCCTACATACTTTGAAATTTGTTGTGATGCTAATGAGATTGGAAATCTCTTGAATAAGTTCTGCGCTCGCATACCGCGCCATTTCATCGAATTTCAGAAAGAAAATCTGTGGTTATTAGATTCATTAACGTATCAAAAATCAAAACTCAATCGGAATAACAAAAAATGTTTTGGTTTTTGTTATGCGAATGCGGACCAGCCGGATCAGCTGCAGTTGGCGGCAACAACTATTACGTTTTCAGCTTTCAGATGACACTCCTAGGTGGCGTTGATGTTCATCTTCTCGGTTTCCGACCAATCTCCGCGGGAGTTTACTCTTCTATTGTATTTCATGATTTTATAGGGTATGGGGGGTAGGGTATGTAATGTAAGACATTTTCAAAAAATGATAAACGAAAAGGGAAACTTAAAAAATTGGACACAAAATTAGTCTTTATAGTTTTTATAATTTAATTTTGTTGATAATGAGCGGAATCCTCATAAGTCATACAGTCCTCATGCTTAGAAATTTTAACTTGTGCTTTTTCCTTTTTTAATTGAATGCTCCTGATTTTATTCTTTTATTTGTACACCTTCTACACTCTCTGCCGTATTCCCTTTTAGACTCGGGGTCGCGGTAATGAATAAAAGCACGGGTGGTTAATCAGTGGCGGATTATCCGTTTTTGGGCCCGGGGAGATTTTTCCAGAAGGGCCCCCTCCAAAAAAAAAAAATTGGTTGCCTACTTTAAGAGGCGTAATTTTGCAAAAAAAAATTGCTCAAGAGTAAAAAAAATCCTTTTCAAATTGTAAGTGGCGAAAAGAAGTAAAAAATTGCCCTCTTTTTACTCCGCCCGAAGAACATTTATTTTAAGTCTTTCTTTTTGAAATATGAAAAAGGGTTAAGTAAGGAAATAAGGTGAAAATAAAACTGGGGGTTCCAGAGGTGAGGGTTCAGAAAAATTGATTCAAAAAAGCTAGCTAGAAATGATCCAAATTGTCTGTCCGACATTTTTAGACCGCCGCTACAAAATTTTTTTTTGTCACGATAAAGTCAAGGTTGGGCCAAGGTTCTGGGGGTGTGGGGTAAAAAAAATGTGTCAAAAAAGTTAGCTACAAATGATCAAAATGGTCTGTCCGAGATTTTTAGATGGTCACTAAAAAAATTTTTTGTCCCAAGGTCAAGGGTGGGCCAGGGTTCCAGGGGTGTGGTGTAGAAAAAAAATGTGTCAAAAAAGTTAGCTAGAAATGATTCAAATGGTCTGTACGAGATTTTTAGATGGTCGTTAAAAAAATTTTTTTTCAGTCGCTACAAAGTCGAGGGTGGGCCAGGGTTCTAGGGGTGTGGGGTAAAAAAAAGAATATGTCAAAAAAGTTAGCTAGAAATGATTGAAATGGTCTGTCCGAGATTTTTAGATGGTTGCAAAAAAACATTTTTTTCTGTAGCGACGAGGCCAAGGGTGGGCCAGGGTTCCAGGGGTGTGGGGTAGAAAAAAAAATGTGTTAAAAAAGTTAGCTAGAAATGATTCAGATGGTCTGTCCGAGATTTTTAGATGGTTGCTAAAAAAAAATTTTTTCTGTAGCGACGAGGTCAAGGGTGGGCCAGGGTTCCAGGGGTGTGGGGTAGAAAAAAAATGTGTCAAAAAAGTTTGCTAGAAATGATTCAAATGGTCTGTACGAGATTTTTAGATGGTCGTTAAAAAACATTTTTTTTCTGTCGGGATCGATTTAGAGGGTGGGCCAGGGTTCTAGGGGTGAGGGGTAGAAAAATTTTCATAAAAAACGTTCGCCAGAAAAGATTAAAATAGTCTGTTGTACAAGATTTTTAGATGGTTGCTAAAAAAAGTTTTTTATACTGTCGAGATGGGTCGCAAGTCGCAAGGGTGGGCCAGGCCCTTTTTTCTTCGAGTAACGTAACGAAAACAGAATTATATTATATCGGCGCTCAAATTTGTTCAAAAATGAGCACATAGGAACGAGCGAAGAATTTGCGGCTGGTGCAGAATGTTGGCAATTTCAACGCGAGCGAAGAATTTGCGGCTGGTGCAGAATGTTGGCAATTTCAACGAAAGCGAAGAATTTGAGGCTGGTGCAGAATGTTGGCAATTTCAACGCGAGCGAAGAATTTGAGGCTGGTGCAGAATGTTGGCAATTTCAACGCGAGCGAAGAATTTGCGGCTGGTGCAGAATGTTGGCAATTTCAACGCCGCTAAAATGCGACGCCGGCCAACGCCAACTGACTCCGCGCGCTTTATTTTTCACTGGTAGGTCATGAGGATGGCCCGGGGGAATTTCCCCCCATCCCCCCTTGAAAATCCGCCTCTAGTGTGGTTATGGTTACTTTTAAATGTAGGATTAAGTCTATAGTCTATTGTAATTTAAACTGGCAAGTTACAAGTTACAACTTGGCGATCGGATTAAATTGCGAGGTGCAATTTAAGTTAACTGGGATACAAATAAGGGACCCCCCCCCCCAATTATGAAGCGCGCGGCGCACACACGGGGGTGTGTTTTGCGGCCGGTGGCTCACGAGCGTCTCCTCTTTCTCTTGCGGGCGGGTTGCTGCTGCTGCTGTCGTTCAGGGTGCCACCTTCAGGGCGCGAAAAGTAATTGCTTTGTGAGGGAAACCCAAAAGGCGGCAATGGCACATTTTAAATTTAAACTTTTATTCAAGGTTGTGGACAGTAGTTCCACAACATGGTTCCTTACCAGAAGTAGATGAGGACGGAAAGTATTCCTGTCCTGACCAACAAACTGAGGAAACATCAGGTTTTGGGGTCATGATATTTTATTTAATTTTCTGGAAAATTGTGCCGTGGTGATTCAGGTGCAGGCTTCTTTTCAACAGCAAGTTCTTCGTTATTACTGTGGACATTCTCATTATGCAAATAAAATTAAATTGTTTATGTATGTTTTACGTTGAAAAAATTGATCAAATTGTCATTTTCAATTGCAGAGAAAAAAAAATCAAATCCTTCTGTCATTAAAATAATTAAAGAGGAGTACCATATAATATCACTTCAAGTTAAGACTTGGATATCAAAGACAAAAAGGAGTTCAGTGAAAGGATCTTAATTGGTCCATTATAATATTAAAAGGGACTTGCTAATTGCCATGGATTAACTTAAAGTCAAATAAGGTCTACTCAAAGTTTGTTTTGACTACATGTACATGTAAAGGACTAATTATATACTTATAGGCTAGGATATAAACTAATATCTTAATTAATTAATTATATCAATATTAATTAATTAATGATATATTTTATTTTTGTTAAGCTTTATATGAATACATTAATAAATTCTTGTATGGTATTTTAAAGACAATTCTACTATATTATACATATGTTATTTCAGGCAGTCGAGGCCAAACTCGAGCCGCGCAATCAGCAACATCCAAACTGACAGAACATCAACGCATTATGTTATTAATTTTCGATTACATTATCAGCGGGACGAACGAGCGACCATTCCACTGGCAGTGACCACAGGAATCTTTTTTTCAACAACAGCAGCAGAAGAGCACCCCATGCGGGCAATCAGATTTCAAGTCAGCATACTCATCGCAGAGGCAGCATTTTACTCCCTGAGGAAACACTGCAATAAGAAAAAAGGGTTTCATTATTTATATTTATCATTCGCTTAAAAGCTTTTTGTACGTACATAGGGTGTTTAAAGCAACGCTTGCTTCAGTGAGGTGGACCACAATTAATTGTTTGTCTTGGATAGAGGTCAGTTTTTTCTCTTGGTATTTGTCGAAGATTTGCTTCGCGAAACAGTAAGCGTTATCCTTGCCTGGATCTATCTTTACTGAAAAAAGTGAGCTAATCACCATGTTGGCCTGGCGGATTTGTTCCTGAGAGAGAGGCTTGGGCTTCAGCTAGTAAATGAAAGTCATTTTGAATAATTATAAAAATGAGATAGCAAGGACATTTATACTTTAATTGACTCGAGACACGAAGCTAGGGATGTGGCGGGATCAATGGTCGCATTGGGATCTCCAGCAGGAGCAGAAAAACTTTTCACCATTCCTGAAAATCGTCAATTAATAACATTGAAAAATCTCATTTTCAAAAACATCTTTAGAAAAATAATCGTCAATGAGAAATTTTCGGCACTGCATGCCATTTGAGCCAGCAATAAATAGGTTAACATGGGGTCATCGGTTTTACTTGCGAAATTTTACAACAGCTCTTAATAAAAGGGATTTTCATTTTCTTAATTCACACTGCAGGTACATGCAGAGAATAAATTCGGCCAAATTTCTCTCGAAATATCATATTTTCTGTTATGAAATTGAAATCTAGTTCCATCACCAAAACTTAAAGCACAGTATACGGCGCAACATATTTTGACACATAATTCAGCCACCTGTCGCTTTTTTTAACATGAATTTCAACATGAATCCTTTAAAAGAAAATAGCTATGAAATATATCTCTCCCACCATGAGAGTGTGTCAAAATAATGTTGTGCGCCATGCACTTGTACAATTAATGCACGGCTACCAGAAAACATATCAGTGAAATTTACCTTTCGAGGAGGTTGACACCATCGGCACCTTGCCAAAGGCACCCTGCTTCGTTGCACTGTAGTCCCTCTGGCCTGTTGACGCAATGGATGCAAAAAGCCACATGCGAGCACTGTGAAGCAAAGTACGGATATCTCGAGCAGTTGTAATTGAGCAGCATCGCTCATCATCAGATTGGAATGCTACGAGGAATAAGAAATTTATAAACATTATTATTATTTTTTTTTTTAATTTAAGTATACCACCTAGATATTTGATGGCCTTTGTGGTGATGGCCATATGGACCAGGAACATCTGCTGTTCCTCAAGAGAGTGGATTTCCATGAGCTCGAATAAATACACAAAGAGCGAAAGCATATTATTTTCTGCAATCTTTTGGCCCTCTTGCAGCGAAACCTGCACAGCAGCGATTATTTCATCAGCTCTTGCTGATGTCTCTGAGCTGAGGGGTTCAGTGGCTAACTGCATGTTAAAAAATTCACTTAAAAATGAAGAGAAACACACAGACTTATTTCATACTAACTTTACTGACCAAATGAGAGGCAATTTTGCCAGCTGAAGTTTGGCAGTCCATTTTGTTAATCTGAAAATAAATTTAGTTTTGAAATTATGTGACGATGATAGAGGCAAAAATTTATTTTACGCATCACACGGGTGCATGATCGTTATGTGCCTGCTTGATGCAGTAACACGAGGAAAAAGACAAAAGCGCCTTGTTCCCTGCAAACACTTAGTCGTGAAAAACACGACTTCAACTTTTTAAAAACCAGATAACTAGTTTTATTTACCACCCAGTTTAGCACAGGTTCCATGACTGGTAAAAAACTGGTATTTTTTTACAAGTGTTTACAAGTTACCAGAAATATCCCTGTGGTGACACACACCCGCGAATTATGTCGCATCGAAGAATATAATAAATGTGTTGTATATGAAATGTCTCTGCGAGTAAGGTTTATAGATATATGGCCATAGCTTTTTAGAGGAAACTTAACTTCCCTCCGAGCAAGCAACGCGCGCGCTTTTCCAAATCTCCCGCCGACCTTTCCCTGATGGCGTGGACCCTTCAAGCCAACCTGACAAGACCGATAGGCGCGCGCACTCTCGGGGCCCAATCAGACCCACGGTCGAGCCTCGAAGCCGGCTCTCCATGCCTGAAGCCTCAGACGAGCGACGCCTGAAAAGCAGACAACACCCTGTCCTATCTTCAGCCCATTCGGTTAATGGCGACCACGTTTTACTAAATTCCTAATTGACCGGCAATTATCGCTTTTCGTCCTCCGTTTCCTCAGCTTCATAAGTTCAGACTAGCTTTTCCGAATTCTATTTTGGCCATCTTTTGTATTTTGTTTCTATATATTTAATAATAAAACTTTAACTTCTATCTTTAACTTTAATTAATTACTTTTAATTAATAACTCAATAACCTAGTCAAAACTAAAGTCATAATAAATTAAAGTAACTTTAGTCCAAGCCATATTTAAGGAGTGCTTGGGCTATTTGGGATTAAAAAGATATTAAGAGATAAGTTTGAAGTCACATGGGGGATGAAATGCACATGGGGGCCAGAGGGACATCGAGAGAAGCCAATTAAAGTTCAACTCCAGTCTGCAAATTAAAGGCGCCGCTCGGCTCCAGCTCCGCTCTTCATTAGTTAGTTTTAAGTGTTCTATGTTCTATGATTAATACTAATTAGCCCCTGTCGGAGTGACACGACAATCCCAATTTATAACAAGCTTAAATTATTTAAGGGAAAAAAAGAAGCCAAAAAACAATGAAAATTATGCAAAGAGAAAAATTATTTTAATCTTTTCACGGAATTTGTAATATTGTTGGTTAGATTTGCACATTGGAGGTGAGGGCGACTTATAAACTCAAGTGAAAAGCCTGCCTGGTGGAAGCTTTTACCATTCGACCATGAGATATTAACTTACAGGCTGAAGATTTGTTGCATCTGATTTTTTTTGTCACAGAACCACTCAAGATGCTAATACGATAGAACGTTTAAGCGTTAGGAGAAAAGAATTATCAATAATGCATTGTATTCGGAGCTATGCCATGGTTCAATAATATTGAGTGTTTTAAAAATATAAGTAATTTCCATAGCGGTAAGTATAATTTTTTAATCTCTTCTTATAAAATTAATTTTTGGCTAATTTTTTGTAGAAATATTTTAAATAACAATCGTCTACTTTTTATAAAATAAAAAAATATTTAGCTAAAAAAATTAACTTCAATAGAATTTTTGAGATTAATAAGTTTTATACTCATTTTTGTCAAAATAATTTCACCTCTCATGAATATAAATGGCTGCAGGCCCGCAGCGAAAACATGAAAAGCAGGACATTGTATTTTACTTAAGCAATAAAAACAACTCACAAAACCCATAAAGGAAACGCAAGCCATAAATTCAAATCACTTACCGTTTTTTTAAGCAATTTTCATTTATTAAATAAATTGCATAAAAAATAATTATACATATAAAATAAATTTCTTAGTCACAGCTGACTAACTAGTAATGTTGAACTATTTTTTAAATCAATATAGAGCTGCCACATCTTGCCCTCACCAAAAAACTTCGCTCCGTATCGCGCGGAAATTTTATATTTTTATATTTGTAGATTCATTTTAAATCATTTTTTTTTTCATTGATATTAATTTTTTGTCGATCTTTATCGCAATAATTATTATTATTTTTTTTTTTTGAAAAGTGAATAAAAAAACTTAATTAATAAAAGTATTTCACAATTTAGCATTTTAAATTCAAATTTGTTTATCTTCAATAATAATTATTTTCAACATTAAAAAAAATATTTTTCTGATGTATCTTTTTTTTAACTTGTAAAAATTTACCTGTTTATAACTTGTTTAAAACTGGTATCTCTTTTCCAAAGCTCATCTCAAAAATGCCAGTTTTTCTCATGATAAAAAAGTGTTTTCGGTACAATAATATAAAGAATATTCATTCATAATCAAAACTGTCAAAAATCAATTTGAAATACAAATTTACCATAAAAAATTTGATGGCTTCAATTTTTGCAAAGATAAAAAACTTGTTACAAACTCGGTCAACTATGGTTTCATTTCTTGCAGGGTTATTGGAAGAATAAAAAGCCGATTTACTCTGCCTAGTTTGCTCGATCGTCTTGCTCCAGAATCTTGAATTGCTCGCATTCCAAGCTGGTATGCGAGCAATCCAAGATTCTGGTGCAAGACAAGCAGACTTAGGCAGAGTGAATCGGCTTTATTCTTGAAACATATTTCATATATTTAGACTTTCGATGCTAACGCGCTCCCCGCATTGCTAACATTTCACAGACACTTCATATAGTCTGTGCGCGGAGGCTTTTAAATAAGTAAAATTACGCAGAAATTTTTCTGCTACATGATATAAATTTTTAGAAGTTTAAAGGTAAAATTAGATTCCTGTTTTTTCAATTTCAAAATTTGAAATTTTAATTTATCAAAACAAACAAAAATTATCTGATTTCGGATTCTCCGGCGGTAAAATAAATTCTGACAACAAAAACGCACTCGGAAAGAAAATTTATAGCAAATTATAGCCCACATTATATGTAATTAAATAAGTTTTAAATGTTTAAATAATTTTTAAATTTCTTACATCTGAAATAATTTTCAATAAAACGGATACAAAAAATAATAAATCAATAAATATTTGTTGCTTATTATTTTGTAAATTCGATATTTTAGGCATATTATATATTTATCAAATAGTCGCAACTATGTATATTTTTATCTTACCGAATCGTTTTTGTGTAGTTTTTCCTCGATTGCTCCTTAACGGCTTTTGCTGGACAAATTAGAGGCAGTCTCACTCACAGTGCGGAGCCAGAGACGTGATCGAGACGAGTAGAGACAAGGCAAAAGGCAAAATTGTGGTCGTCAGGCAGATTTAAAGCTACCCCCGCTCAGCGCTTCCATTTTTATGGTGGAGTGGAGAGTTTCTCCAGTTCCCTCCCTCCACAGCCGGCGAGATGTTGTCTCCCAATTTTGAATTCTCGCGCTGCTTTGTTGATCTTCGAAATTGAACCAATGAATGAACTCTTGCATGGAAAAAACCTCGAAGAAGGCCACTTTCTGCATTGCGGACAAGTGGTCACTGATTTTGCACTTGTTCCTTAACAGATCTTGTGCAAGTCTGCCAAGATCATGAACTCGAGAGTCGAGGATGTGCTGAGATGCAATTTTCATTTCGCTATTTATTTTAATTACCCTGAAATAAAGTATTCCTCAGAAGGGTAATCAATAGATCCAAAGGTTTCAGTGTGATGAGGAGGAGTGAGATCAAAACAGACGAGATTTCTAGTGACGACGCTTGCTATGCTTCCGACCAGAGAACGGACAAGAGCCTAAGTTTGATTAAGTTTTACAGGTTTACAGACTAAATTAAGGACAGAAGAACTCACTTGGTAGAACAGACCCAATACTGCTGGACGTCATATTTTTCAAAAACTGCCTGCTCGTGAACTTTGTACACTTCGTAGAGAAATCTGAAAAAGGGCTGCAACCAGTCCAGGCAAGTGTTGATTGTGAAAATATCATCTAAAGGAATAATATTATTTATCATTACAAATTAATACACAAAAAGTCTAAACCTTGCTTTTTAACCTCGTTCTCGAGATCAAGCAAAAAATTATTCTGCCTGTCAAACACCAGCTGCAGACCCGTTTTTGGAGGGTATTGGAACTCACTGTAAAGAGCACTTGGCAGCATCTTGTCCACAAAATTGTGCATTTTGCCAAGCATGCACAAGGCTGGGGTAACAGAGCCCAAAACGCTCCGAAACATTTCCTTTAAAAGATTGGTTCAGAAAAAAATTCATAACTTCTGAAAAGCAAAACTTACAGGTGATAAACTGCAAACTGTGACGTCGCCACAAACGGAATATTTCCAAAAAGCTTCTTTCTTGAAAATCAGCCCGCAGGCAGATATCTCGAATCACTGAGTATTCACTAATAATTCTTAAAGAATCATCTCCATAACTAATAATTGACCATTGATTAAAAATAAAGAATAATAATTTATTATTCGTATCCCCACCAGAGTTCAGCAAGCAAACGAGCAGGAAAATTTCTGTTTGCTTTGATTTTACTGAACTTGTAGCCTGCTTGTCCTGCTTTCCATGCTTCATTTAAATCTTCCGTGTTGTTTCCTTCTTTACACTTCTTTAGTTGGAGTTTGTTGGGCATCACATATTTCAACACTAGTGAGAACATCTAATTGTAAGGGGAATAAATGCCATTTGAAATTAAAGTAAAAAAAATATATAATTAATTACCGTTTTTCGGAATCGTCTTCTGTTATTATTTGAGACAAAAATTGCTCACTCTTATTGCTGATCTCCTCACATTTAGATTCTTCACTCCAGTCACTCTGTAAATAAAATAGATAATAATCAGTTAGATCACCAATTGGTTAAAATAAAATAAAACAACCTCGTCGGACTCCTCTACGTTGGCGATTTCGATTCCCTGGTTCAGATAAGCATGCCAGTCAAATTCATCAATTTCCCTGGGGATAAATTCCTCGCCAATACTAGCAATGCCCTTGTCTTTGTCCGAGGAGTGATTGGCCATCAAAACCAAGTATCGAACAACACCGATTATGTCCTGAAAATATTTGTACCCTTTAATAATTTTGTTAAATATCAGTTAAGATTGATTAACTTGTTTGTTTTTGGATTCCATTCCTCCCAAGAGCTCTAGAAACTTATCAAATGCAGATTTCAATTTCCTGGCCTTCCCAAAGTTGACGTTGATTGTATATTTTTCAATCAGAGCTTCTATGTCGTTCTGAACTTGCGTTTTGTATGTGTCTGGGTATGTGTGGTTGAAGAACATTGACAGTGTGTAATCCATGCACCTTTTGAAGTTTTCCTCGCCAGGCTATAAAATTGAAACAAAAAATTCAATTAATCCTAGTTAAAAATTGAACTTGTTCTCATCCAAAACAAAATAACTCTACATACTTTGAAATAAATGTGTTGTGATGCTAATGAGATTGGAAATCTCATGGATAAGTTTCTGCGCTCGCATACCGCGTCATTTAATCGAATTTCAGAAAGAAAATCTGTGGTTATTAGATTCATTAACTTATTAAAAATCAAAACTCTATCGGAATAACAAAACAACAAATTAATGTTTTGGTTTTGAAGCAGCCGGCAGCCGGATCAGCTGCAGTTGGCGACAAAAACTAGTATTAAGTTTTTAGTTTTCAGAAAACACTCCTAGGTGGCGTCGTCGTTCACCTTCTCGGTTTCCGACTATTCTCCGCGGGCATTTACTCTCCTATTGTATTTTTTTATTATTTTATAGGTTTAAGTCTCATTATATCGCTCTGTCTGCGGAAATTTTGACTGATGGCAACAATGCTTCAACAATGTTTTTAATTGCTGAGATAAGACATAATTTTTATTATTTGAGGCATAACATAACTTCGGAAACTATATTTATATTATGTACAATAATTAGCGAATAATTAGTGTATTGTAAATCCGTTCGTGGTGTTCAATAATGTCAGCATCAGTCCAAGAAGTGTGTTGTATCAGCCATTATATTTATTAAACCTTCTCAGCGGAAGAATATATAGTGTGAACTTTTATTATTACGATGCGGGGTGTACATATCACATTCAATATTTTCATTGATTTAATATTTTTATTACATATTCTTTATTGACTTACAGTAATCTATGAAGGCGACAAAAGGCCATTATGCGTGTTTTAGCTGAAAAATATACATAGAATTAATCATGATTTTAAAACTGAAATTAAGTAAATTTAAAAAACAAAACGAAAAAGTAAAAGGACCCTTTCGTTTTTGTTATATATTATACCAGATGCAATAATGATGACGATGACTGGTATAGAGTAATCAGAGTAATTAATTAAATGATTGAAAATTGACAGGGAAAGTTCAAGATAGGCAACGCGCTGATCAAGGATGTGATGCGTGTTGCATATCCATCATCTTGAGCAGGCGCTATTTTTAATGGTCTTGGCCCTTTTACTGTTTATTATGGTGGTGCAGAAGGCATTCCCCTATTTTATCTTTGATTCAATTTTACAGGGTTAATCAATTATTTATTTATCAACAATCATCATGTTCTTAAATTTCAATTGTTCCAATTTTTCAGTTTATTTATAAATAAATGCGATTTCTTTTATTATAATTAGATGCAAAATTTTATGAAAACTGAAAATTTTACATTTAATTTATGTAATTTATATTAAAAAATTAGAGAATTAAAACAAAAACTTTTAGATGGTATAGTAAGATCAGTTGGAATTTAGATTTAGGCGGTGGCAGAGGAGAGTGTGACGGCAAAATGCTTGCATCAAAAATCGCTGAGCCTGGATAATGAGCAGGAGGCGGCTGTGACAAGAAAAGTGGCTCGGAGCGGGTACTAATGATGTAATATAAACAACGATATGCTATGACTGCCTGAACCGCTGGATGGGGGTTTTAACTTGGAGACATTAAGGCGATTTGCGTGTTTGTAGAGCCCATGGGAAATTATCACAGCGCTTGAGATGTCAGCCGTGACAGGCGATATTGCCAGCAGACAAGACCGCCGCCGTCGCTAGTAATGTCGCCGCTCCTGCAAATAATGGTACTCGCTTGCTGCGCATCATTTGCAAATTGTTGTTTGTAATTTGCCTCCGCACTGAATTGTATTATTAAATCAAATTTATTGCATAAATAAAACTAAAATCAAGTCACAAAGTCAGTTGGATTTTATTGATTTTAAACAAACTGGAAACTATTTTAAAAGTAAAAAAATGACGCAAAAAGGGTATATTATAATTAAAAAAAAAAATTATTTCTGTTTAGCTTTAATAAATCTAGGTGCACAATTGCATTACCTGTCAGCTAATCAGTAAAGAATAAAAAATACGATTAGGTAATTATTTTGTTCTTTAAAGGTTTTGGTCTTTGGTCACATAAAATGTTAATTGCTTGTAAGGAAACTTATCGACCCTCTGTCTTGTTTGCAAAACCGTCCTCTTCTCCAATTAGTCTTGCGTCTTCCATCGCCTCAACAGAATTTAGACAGTTAATTTCTTACCTCCTCCCCAATCTTCGTAATTTGGCGCATTTTTCCATCAGCAGGCGAACAATTACAAAATTACGGCGACTCTGCGCTTGCAACGCGTGCGTCTCTTGTTCCTTGTCATTAATGGATGTGAAATTTTGTTGTAGTTAATTTGATTAGTTGATCGCTAATTAGCTTGTCGAGCGACGCGGGCGCCCTCCGCTCCGCAACGGTTGCACGGGCGCCGCTCAAATTATTATCGTTGGCCGTCGAGCGAGCGAGCGGGGTAGGTGATTTAATCAAAAACATCTCGTGCCGCTGCCGGGAATTTGCAATAAAGATATATGAACAATGAAAGTCCGCCATTGACGCTGACGATTATTATACAAAACCGGCATTGGCACCAAATTTATTAACACCTCTGCACAGATGCCTGCTGCGATTTAATATTTTTTTCATTAATTATAAATCCAGACAATATTCAAGATTGAAACCAGAAGTGTCATTAGTTTAGTTTTAAATATTAAAATAGTAATAAATTCATATTTTTCATTATAAGCAGGTCCCGTGAATAATTAAAAATAAGAAGTTTTTGTATTTTTCTTGATTATACATAAAAAAAATAGCATGACCATGAAATTTAACTCGTTCATAATTCCAAATCTGAGAGATAAAAATTTCAAATATAATTGGATCAAGTTATTTTTTACTCAAAACAATATTATTAACTAAGACTTGATTATTATTTATTCTAGACAAATCAATAAGTGATGGTTTTTTATTCACTGGTTGTATCTGTACATTTATTATCACACTCAATATTCTCTGCACAACTGCTTTTGCTCTAACAGCATCGCCTACATCTTTGCTTCGAGAAAAATTTACACAACAAAATTAATGTTGTAATTATAAACGTTGACCCTGTGTGCTACATCCGAGCAAATTGTCCTTAAACATAAAGGGTTATCGGTTACAAGGGAGTGGATCGCCGACTATGTCTATGTCCTCCGAGTCGCTCGACAGGTGTCTGGTGGCGGTCATGGACACCGGCGAGCTGGACCTGCTGCTGCAGCTTGAGTAGGTCGCGTGTCCCCGCGACGAAAAGTCCACAGGCCCCTCGTCTGCAATAAGAAATTCGGCACTCAAGCGTGTACACGTCAATGAGTTTGCAGAAATTCGAATTTCCTGCCGTGCGCCATTTGGACACGCATTATATTGAAAACCGCGTAATTAAATGAGACTGTGCTCGGCATTTGCATCCGTTTGCTTCGAACGTACATTTGTGCTAATTTTCCACTTGCAATCGTCACAGCGAACTCGGTTATTAAATTACTTTGAAAAAGCTTTTACGTTTCCCACTTTTGCAACATACGCGGTTTCCAATCAACCAATTCAGTCAATTCACCTGTTCGCTGTTGGAATCTGAGCGTCTCCTGTTGCAAAACGCCACTTTTTAAGCCCATTTCAGTCGCAGGGGTGCTTCCGGAATGTGACGAGGTTGCGCTTTTGTCGTCGTTGAATTTTCTTAGCTGTTTCTTGTGTTTCATTCGACGGTTTTGGAACCACGTTTTCACCTTAAGAGAACAATTGAAAATCCTTTATCAGCTTAAGGAATTTATGATTTTTTTGTAGCAAGAGGATTAAAAAATTATTAAATATTTTTATGTGAAGCTTTTCTTAATTTTTATACATGATATGAGAAGATCGCTCACCTGGGTCTCTGACAAGCTTAGTGCAGCCGCGAGTTCCACTCTTTCCGGTGTCGACAAATATCGCTGAGCTTCAAATCGCTTTTCTAAGCCGGTTAGTTGTTGGTCGGAAAAAACGGTCCTTGCTTTGCGGCGTCGGCAATGCTTTGAGCCTGGTTCCCCAGTAAACAGAGAGCCAAAAGGTATTCCTGAAATAATTGCAAAATCTTCTGAGCAAAATAAAAATTTTATTATAACTTTTATACTTCTCAGTCGGAAAAAACAAACAAACACAATTAAAAGTTTATAAAAGAGAAAAAAGATGTCTGCTAAGGCCCGACACCTCAAAAGAGACGCGGCCGCCGTTGCAAACCCACGAAACAAATACTAAAATTATATATAATTACTATTAAACATCTGCTTTTTGCAGCCCTATTCTGAATTTTTAAGAGTAACAAACAAATTATGTGTGTATTTATTTTTAAATATACATAAATTTGAATACGTAGTAGCCATAATAATAAGAAATTAATCAATTAATATATTATACCAATAAAAATGAATTGGAAAAATTCATTTGATTTTATTTTTCTACAAACAAGTCAGAACAAAGAATCATTGAAATATATTATTATAATTATTATCAATGAAATGGACCGTCAAGTCAAGTAATAAATATAAATAATTTATAAGCTTATTTTTTACGTCTGGAGTTAACAAAATTAAAATGTTAAGGTGAATCAAATCATCAACTTGACGAGAAAAAATACATTAGAAGGAATTAGATTACTTTTTAATAATCCTCTCTTTAAATTAGATTTACGAACATTTAAACGCAAAGAGGCAAAAGTCAAAGCTTTCCTCCCAAGTCCCAACATAATATGATAAAAAGCCCACTTCAAGATAACTGTTGTATAAGAAAGCAAAAAAGTTATGTTGAACACGGCAATTACGTGCATTGTTATTACTCAATAACTACTAAATGTTTAAAGTTTCTCTCGGGCAATTTTTATAGCCAGAAATATTTTTAGACATTAGCACATTTTTAGGATTATCTCGATCCGATTTGTGAGCAGAGATTGCCTCGCGGTATTGCAAATAAATACTAAATTTTATTATTTTCTCGTTCCTCCGATATTTTTAAATTTTCAAAGCTTCTCAGAACTTTTCTTTTTATAAAGTATATGGACGCAAGCATATAATTATTTGCAGCCGCCAAAGGGGCCATGATACACAGACCGGGATGCGTCGTTACGTGTAACCAAGTTATCAAGTAACGAGCCAATAACATGTTCCATCCTTTAATAAACTTTGCATGCATCAGGCAATTAAGGACAGCGAAAAGTGTCGAGACCGGAAACTCAAAGTTTGCCAGGCTCCCCCAGATTTGGCTTTCAAAGGTTTTTCTTTCTTACCTGCTGTCGGAAGGAAGAAGTGATGGTCGCTCGGTTTCGCGTGTTGCAGAAAGGCTGGGTGCGGCGCTGGCTGCAGGTAAGCGGCCACGGCGGCCACGGCCGATGAGTGGAACAGGGGAAAACCGGCCCCGACGTCAGGCAAACCTCGCGACATCAGAGGACATTCTCGCCCCTGTTTAAATTGGGAAAAATTTCACATGTTATTGCTAAAAGTTTATGTTTGAAAATGACTTTATAAAAATTTGAAGAAAATTTTGTCGCACATGTAACTTTGATGATAACCGTTTACCCAAAACTTATCAATATTTCCTGATTTTTTACACAACCATGGATTTATGCAAAATTGTCAGTTTCTCCAAAATTCCGATTGAAATTATTTTACGAAATTTATAATTTGAATTAAAGCAAAATTTGGTACACACCTGCTGAGATTTTGGCCTGAAAAGAATGTCTTCGATGAGGAAGGACGTGCGGCTCCTCATGTCCGAGATGAGTTTGTTGCCCTCGAGGGGTGGCACGGCGGCGGCTGCCCTTCGGTCCATGCGGAGGGCCAAACGATGACTGCACCCGGACACCCTTATTGGCCTTGCCTATCGATTCGGCATCGGCGACGCGCGCCAATCAGCGACAACGCTTTGCGGATCATGTCGCGCGCATTAGCAACCCTTGCCACGCGAATCGCACCCTTGCTTCGCCGCCCCCAAGAGCTCGAGTGCTCGCCCGGGGGTGGCTCCGCCCCGCGCACTTAGTGGTTGCTAAGTTACATATTACATTATTGCCGATACGAGTTATCCGCCCGCCACCGACTCGATGAGAAAATAGAAGCTAATTCCTACACTTATCTGTAATCAAACTCGGCATTCTGCGCGCAAGTGGAATTAGCGGTTTGCTATATTATTCATCATGCAATACATGCTCTCGCGTTCGACTCATATAATCAGCTTTTCATTAGCCGTCAATTGGCTTCAGAAGATTCAATTATAATCTCCTTTATATTTCTTGATTATGAAAATCATTTTCAGAAGAAAAAAAATAAGCTATATATAAATTTTCCAATATTTGAGATGCTCAGAGCAGAATAAATTTTTTAAATTATTATTATCATTATTATTGCAGCTTTATTGTTTATTGTTTTTTTTTTTATTTAAAACAAAAAAAAAAAGATAAATAGAGGGTGCGGCCCAGAAGTATGGATTAAGCATGGATTTTGACGTCTCACTATTAGAACAGTTTGCAAAATAAGCCAAACCATCTAAAACACATAAATATTGTAATTGTTTGGCAGGAGAATTTTGCTAATATTTCAATTAAATCAATTTGTTTTATTCTCTCGTAATAAAGGTCCAGAAAATTAAAAATATATCGTCATGCGCGATGTTTTTCGTCTTACAATTAGTAGAAAAATATTCAAAATATTTTATTAATTTTACAATACTCTGCAGGTCAAGTGCGCAATGATTCTTCGTCAGCAGAAGATTATAAGATTGTGATAAGAAGTTCTACCTGCAGATCTCTCCCTGATTAGGATAGGCAAAATATCAGAAATATCACAATTCAATTTGACCATTAAATTTTTTTGGAGGTTTCATTTTTTTTAAATTGCTTTTAAATTTTTCTTCGCGTTTAAAAAAAAATGATCTGGTACCAAGAGAAAGTGAATGTAATTTTTAAAAAATCATATGCGGTGTATCTTATTTTTATTTTATTTTTTTTTTGCAAACTTTTAGCAGGTACCATGCTTGTTTTTTTTTAATTATTAATTATTGTTGTTTATTTGTCCAAATTTTTGCAACAAATTTATTTGCTGACAAAATAAAACAATATTTTTATTTTTAATTTATATATTTTTTTACTTCAACAATTTTATTTTGTAAAAATATTTAGATAGCTGGAAGAGCTCAAAATACTTTTTATAGTTTTAATCAATACCATATTAAAAGTTCAAAATCTTATGAATTTTTTTGCACTTTAATCCCAAAAATTCCCTGCTTTACCAAGAGCTGAGCGAACTGTAAAGCCGGTATATATAATATATTTGCAGCGTTCAAATTCCCCCCTTGGAACAATAACTCACGGGGGCCGCGAACAATGGCCCGGCCGCCCGCCTTTCACAGCAAGTACGGCTTGATATGCTAGGCTGGTTGTTAGCTAATAAAAGCACCTATTGTTATGCCCTTTACAAGCATCATCGTCATCACAGCATGAGATGAAAAGATTGCAAGCGAGTGGGAGGATGAACGAGATCTATATTAGTCGGCGTGATGAGCCAGATAAGAGCGGCAGGTACACAACACAAGACAACTTAATTAAATTTAATTTCAATTTATTACCTTCATATAGCGGGGACGGAAGCTGTCGGATGAGCAGCGCTTTATTGCCTCACAGCAGACGACGACGACGACGCAATATAATACAGCGTTTAATATGATTTAAAAGAGAAATGCGCGCAGAGGCGCTCGCCTTTTAGCCTTTGTGCCGTTGCACGCTGCAGGATCACTCACTCTTTATCCCTTTAATCTCATAAATTAATTAAAACTGCATTCCCAATTCTACTAATATTCGCGTTCAAGACCAATTATGTTGCTCTGGTTGCTGGGTTTTAATTACGTTTTTAATTTTGTATGAGACTACAAAAAATTTATTTCATCTGATAAGTCAAAATTTTGGTACGGATTACATTCTTGAAAATCCCACAGTAAAACATTAAAAAAAATTATCGAAACCACACAAAAAAAATATTGGAATCTGGCAATCCCAATTCAACGTAGAAGATTTTTCTAAAGCAAAAACAAAATATAACGCAAATTAGCGAGTAAAAATTTAAACACACTTTGCACACAAGGTAAGTGAACACAACTTCTATGACAATATAATTGTCCAAAATATTTACGGTGATCCAAATCTACTTGCACTATTTCGATTCCCTCATTTGTAGCCCTCATTATTTTTGAAGATCAAATTGGGTACGAGTAAAAGACTGCGAAAAACCTGATATTTTTAAATAAACACGCAAATTTGTTCTATTAAAAGCTATTTTTAATTGGATAAAAAATAATTTTATCAATTATTTTTTCAATCTTCAATATTATATTTTAAGGAAACCAATAATATCACCACTCCAGCAAAATATTGATTGCTATTTTAAAAAAATTGAAGAACAGAAAGGTTTGATGGGAGCGATTTTGAAAGTCAATATGCACTTAGGGGATGGGCAGAGCAATAACATCGTGGATCTAATGCGGCCATCAGGAGGACGAGTAGGTCAGCAGTGAATATGCCACTAAAAGGCCTCAGGATTGTGGCGTGACATTCAGACAAGAGAGAACGCAAAAGACACGGCGAAACTTGAGACGACGCCAAATGTCAAACCTCGACGGTTTAAGCTCTTGCATTTAGCCGGGTCATTAAATATAACAATCTGCCTAATTAGTCGGGGATTGTGCTGGGAGCTGCAGACAAAAAATATCCAATGCAAATTGACGGCGAGAAGTCTCCCACGTGACGGAGGATTGTTTTTGTCAAGAGCGTGGGGCGCACTTGAGGCCGCGCGTGAAACCCGAGCCGACATATTGCTTTTGATCTCCTTCACATCATCCCCCTCGCACGCACACTGATAAATATTAGCTTGCCCTTCATTACTGTGATTTGAACGGCGTGCAAAGTTAAACTGACATTCGCAATCATCCTGCAATTATTTATAAAATTTTAATTGAATTTCATTTTAATCGTTAATTTAGAAATATAAAATTCAAATGCACCTGATGATATTGTCCTGACGGGAAAAAAATTGTCTTAAATTAAAGATATTAAAAATTTGTTCTGTTAGTGTCAGATTTATCAGAGATCTACAAATTCCTACTAATACTAATATACTTTATTTAATAAGAAACAAACTAAACCACACTTTTTACCAAAAAATTAAATAAATTTATTTTATTTATAAATAATACATTTTCAATACATAATGACATATTAGAATGAAACAATCATTTTATCTTGGGGCAAAATTGCATTTTTTTAATGAAATCCATTAAAAAAAATACGTAGACACAATAATAATACAAATTTAAAAAAAAATTAAAACATCAATAAATAAATATCAATTTCAAAATTCTTGCTAGCGGTCAGTCGGTAATGATGGTGCCGTTTCATCCAACAATACTTTTTCTCGAAAAAATTGTTTTAAAAAATTGAATTTAATGTAACAATTGGAAAAAACGATGATAATAATAATAATGGAGGATAAATAAATAAAATTTTAATTTAAAAATAATTTTATAAACAAGCAAAATCGAATATATTCAGAGAGAATTGGGGCCTAAGATTGAGGTCCTGAGCGTCTGTGTATGAAGTTTATAGTTTTCATTTTTGAAAAACTCGCTTTCCGTCGGGACGCAAGGGTTGCAAGGATTTTTTTGTAGTTATGCAATACAGTGCTAAGAGCAGCAGCAATTACCAGCAAAACACGTCTTGGGCCTGCGCTAATGGTTTTCTGACGGCCATAAGCACCCTCGATGTAAACGTAAACACGGCGCGAACGTGCCGTATCAGCCACTAGCGCAATCAACCCCACCGCGGTAATGAGTCGCAAATGTCGCCGCCTCGGAGAGATTCTCAATCAAAACGCTCGACGACAGCTCTTCTCGCGAGGCCAATTAGCAAGCAAGGTGTTTTTCCGAACAGCCTTTCCTTCTCGCGTCGCTGGAAAATCGATCTCGCAGTTTGCAGTGGATTTGCAGCCACGAGTTAATTAGCGCGTTGTTTGTTTTTGGCAGGCGCGCCTTTGGTTAAAAGCGTCGAGTTTTTGATGGTTTGATAATCATCTGGTAATGATGGCGGCGCGGGTAATAAGCGCCGCAGATGGAAAGATTACCCACGACAAAAATGACGTGTCATTGTACTGTCACGTCCTCCTAAACTGTCAAAGATGGCTTAATTAGGCTGGAAAACGTGGCAGTCCGGGCTACCTTTGCGGAAATTTATTATCATTATTTTTAGCTCAATTGTTTTTTCGTTTTGTAATTTTATATTTTCCATAATTCCAGCCAAATCGTGTTTTGCAGCTTAATTATTTTCCGCTTTTTTTAGAAATTACAATTTTTCAAGTCAATCATTTTCTAGGAAATAGAGGACCTGAAAAAAATGAGCTACTTCCAGCAGAGATATTGTTTGAAATTAATTAATTTTTATTTTATTAATTTATGGACGCCGAAAAAATGGATATTAAAAAATTTGGACAAAATTATTATATAATTAAAAAATAAAACAAAGATCACTGATGCGGAGAGGGTCTTTTTGAGCTTGGATTTATATAATTAGCAAAGTATTTGCAAAGTGGTGGCCCTTTTTTTCAACAATTCAATGCTTTTCTTATTTATTTATTTATTTATTTAACTATTTTTATCTCAACAACTATTTTTACTTATTTTTTTGTAACAGTTTAATTTCAATACGTATTCGAGCAACAATAAACAATAAGAAAAGAACGAGACAGTAAACGTTGGGCAAAGATAACTTCACGACAAATTATTAAAATTGTAGAATAGCATCTTGTGGCCCATCTCGGCGTGGTGCTTTTTTTTAGGCTCCACGTTTTAGCGAATTTTTTTGCCAGAGGTGCGCGCATGCAGTGAATAAATTAGCTGTGACGCAAAAGTAACAATATCATTTATAGAAAACCAGTAGATAGTAGACAAAAAGAGAGGTTTGCTCCACTGCGATTTCACTCAAATCAATGAAGAAATTGATATAATGCCTTTTTTTATTAATTAACTCCAACACAAAATGAATAGCGTACAATACTTTTTTAAGTAGAACTTTAATTATTTATTTCTTAAATTTATTTATTACAAATAATATTACAATATTTTACAAATGATATAAAGAAATAAAAATAAATTTTATTTTATTTTTTAGACACTTATTTGCTGGGCACCTTTTATATACCGAGGGAGAGCCCAATAACATTATTAGCAATGACGCGGCGGTGTGGTCTACGCTTAATTGGAAGGTAATTGCAAAGCGAAACCAGCGCAGGGTGATGGTTAATTCATCGCGAGCGAAAGCAATTCCCGACGAGTCTCTCTCTCCCGCGTTCTCTCTGTCCGGTGCGGCCGGCGAGGCATCTTTCGTACGAGTGTTTTGTCAGCGGCTAATCGAGTTTAGAGAGGCTTAATGTATCTTGAACTGGCGTAATGAGAGAGAGAGAGGGAGAGCCGGAGCAGTCAATTTAGCGGCATAGCAACTCAATAAGAGGCGGCAAATTGGCCTCGCAGATTGTATCCGCAGAGGAGGGAGAGAGAAGTGTGACGAGAGAGAGAAAGCACGAATAAATCTTTTTTTTCTGATTGCCCCCTCACGCTTATGCACCAGCCGCGGTTTTCAAAATAAACACGTGCCCATTGTGCTGCTATTAAATGGCCATTGTGAATAATCAAGCATTGCATAATATAGAGCGACGTGTCAATCGAGACACCAAACATAAAAAACGCCATGAGTTTTTTTTTCAGAATAATATGCTTTAATTGCGGACACATATGCTTCAAATCTGCATAATGCTATTTAATGAAGGGGCCGGGCGGTCGGCGAGTCAAAATGAAATAATTCATCATTGTATTTGAAAATATCGCACCGCTATAGCATATTTTACTCTATTTCGCGTCACACGCCCTCGCACTTCCCCTCTGTATAAGCGAGTTCTATATAATTGCAAAAGAGTGGATTGCGTTGGGAGATATTATCATATTAAATTAAGTCAATAAATAAAAATAATTACTATACAGTACCTGTGGTGCTTTAGTAGAATGTAGAAGAAGTGCAGCGCCCGTTTTTTTTCTGTTTTTATTTGCTGGAAATCTCACTTTCAATTGATATGAGGGGCCCCCTGATGCAATGCATTACAAGTTTTTTTTAATTAAAAATGAAAATAAAAATAAGGTCAATAATTTGATACCGGAAGTTTTAAGAAAATTGTTGCCAGGTTTATTCAACAATTCATTTTTTTTTATATAAAAATTGTTTTCGAAAATTGAATGTAAACAATGTGATATGACAATTTGGACAAATAAACAACAATAATAATTTCCTCAGTTTGACTTTCCTCCAGTAATTACTTCATGACAACGTCTATAAGTCAGAATGATATGTCTTTTGGAATATGAAAGTGAATAATAATGAAATACCAAATTTAATAGACCAAATTAAAATAAGTTAATTCAAATCAATTCTAATAAAAAAGAACAGTTAAAAGAATTTTACCGTTTGAATAATCTTGAATTATTTAAAAAGTGTTAATTGCTATTGCAAATTAATGACTATAACGAATTGAAATTGAAAGAGCCATTTTTATTGTTAATTAAAAAATACGATTCCATGCAGTTTTGCTCTTTTTATTTTCATCCAGTGACACTTTGCTTTCATCTCTCCTTTGGATTCGGTTCGCAATATTGCATCAAAATCAAGCCCGAGTGCTGATCGAACGCACGCTGATTTGTGTAACCGAGAATGATGTTCGCGCGCGTGAGAGAGCAAAAAGCAGCAGCGCGCCGGTAGCATCGGCAACTTCGTTTGTGTGCTCTAAATTTTTATGAGTAGCAGAGATGCTATTGACATTTTGCCGGCGGAGAGAGGAAAGCTCTACTTTGAAAGCTTTAGGTGGATAAAAGGCTAAATCACATGGTGTATGTTGGATGATGATGATGGGGATGGGATCGAGCGAGAGAGCGGCGGCGCGCCGTTCCATCTATCGCAGCCGCTCTTGATTCAATTTGCTCGTCGGCAAATCGAATTTTTCCAAAGCCAGCCAGGAATCTAATGTGTTTTACATCTTCACAAAGAGCTCATCACATGCGGGCAAAAAGCAGTCCGAGTGCCCGCCCGAGTTTGACAACAAAGAGACACAGAGACGCGTGTTCTGCTCCAAAATGGGCTCGCAGAGATGACGGAGCACAACGGATGGGAAATATTATATTTGAGCGCAAATTGGAGCTGCATTTTTTTTTAAACCGCACATGGCTATTTTCTTATAACACAGGTTCTTATAAACAACCTTGAATTTGCCTGTTTTTGATATAAAATTATGAGCATCGCTTTTGTTATAAATTTCATTAATGCAAGAATCGCAGTTTGCACAATAATTTTTAAAATAAATTTTTTATTATTAATATAATGTGAATTTTTTTCTAACAAAAACAACTGTGCTGAATTTTGAGTTTTTAACATTTTATTTTATGGGCAGTATCAGATCGGACAAATTTAATTTAATATATGAAATGACAACAATTTAACTGTGCGGTACCGGTACGTAAAGCTTAGGACTAAATTCGATGCGTATTTTTTCCTTTCGTTAAATTATTATGTTGTTATGTATTGAAACAATGATTTGCTATTAAATACCTGCGAAAATTATTAATCATGCTCTTTGAGCGCTAGTATTGCCTTATTGCTCCACGTTCCACAAGGCCACTTTTAACTTGGTTTAAATTTCTTTTCCTCCTTTTTCAATTTTTCGTAATTTGAAAATCAATTTGTAAAAGTCATCGATTTGAAAGGCAAAGTTTTCATATAGTTTCAAATTTCAAATAATGCCCAAAAGGTTGTGTACAATTTTATAATTTTACAATTTTGTCACTTCAAACAAACAGCAGGTTTGCTAGTTTAAAGTGTTCTGTGTTTGAAATTTGATGCGTTACGATAACTGCACTGACAAAATTCACTAAAGTAATTAATAATTTAGCTTAATAATATTTTCAATGAAAGTTTGAAAATCAAGAGGTGCGAAGGGTGAAAGCTGAGCGGTAAAAATAATTTGTTCCATAAATATTATTATTCATAATAACAGAAGCTTTTAAATAAATTTCCATTAAAATGTAATTAATTTTTTTAATTTAATTCAATATTGTGAATTCTCAATATGGTAGGACGCGCACATTTATACGAGTGGACGCTTAATTAATTGGACAACTGGCACTGCTGCTGTGCTTTATTTTTGGTAAAACGCTTTGCTCTCAATGCGTGCGTCATTAATGCAATCATGGGCCTCTTCATGGTGGGCGCGAACGTCGACAACAAGGGCAGAAAGACAGAGAGCACGCGCGCCTGCGACGTGTAATTACAGAGCGCAAAAGGCTGAAAAGGAGTGGGCGCAGCAGATTGGAGGGCGCATTATATTGCTACAGCCTCTCTATATGTGTCTGTTGACAGCGCAGCGAGAGAGAGAAAGAGCCGAATCCGCCGCCGCTGTTTTGTCAGAGGATAATTCAATTACAGCGGCTTAATGTATCTTGAACTGACGTAATGAGAACAGATATAGCAGTCAATTTAGCGGCATGGAAACTCAATAAGAGGCTGCAAATTGCTGCTGAAACGTGGGGTTGAGAGCTAACTCGATACGCCGAGCGACGCCGAGAGCGCGCGCGGGATCAAGAAGCTACTTCCGCAGATAATCAAATCATGAGAGACGTCGCCGCCTCCACCAAGTCTTCGCTCACTAAGGTTATTCAATAAGGTGTTAAAGAATTTACGACTCGGCGTGTCTTGGATCCAGAGCCATACATAATTAGCTCGTTCCAAACTTGCATCCACGTCATTAATTTTTTCAGTGGCTCAAGAAAGAAAAATACAATATAGCGCAAATTATTTATTCCCAAAATAAATATAATTTTTTTGATTTAGTGCGATGCTGAATTCTAAAAAATAAGTTAATTTTAAAATCAAAGAGTCTTAAAATAAAAAAAGTCGCAGTTAACATCCTGATCAATATTATTTTTGTGTATTCAACATTTTTTAAGGAAACGTATCGACTGACTGCTATATAAGGTGCGAGTTGCAAAATGTTCTCTCGCGGGTATAATGTGTCGAAGGTTTAAAAAGGTTTCGCTGAAGATGCTTCAAGTGATACCAGCAGAACGCTCCGTGATCGTGCCGCTCGAGTTGTAAGTGATTTTTAATGAAAAGGTCGATGGAGATGATGAAGCTCGGTCGTCTTTGTTTCCACAATACTTCAGAAGCGGGTTATGAAAGATAACAGGAAAAGGGGAGCGCTGCTCTTTCCATTTTTAGTTCCTGATCGCAGCCACCCTTGCTTTAAAATACCGGTCGTCTTTTTCTGCGCGCTGTGCGACCCATCCAAGAAAAGGAGTTTTTTTTTTAAAGAGACACATCCGAAACGCACTAAACTTGGCCTTAAGCATATTTTAATGAACAAAAAGTTTTTTTCATCACAATTTACGAAGCAAAAAAATGACCAGACTGGTGTGTTTGCGCACATTTTCGCAGTTTGTCGCGCGTTAAATTCCAAACTTTGGATTTGTGAGTCTGACATCGCCGTTTCTCGGTCTGCGGCACCTTCCCATCCTGGTGGCCAATTCTCTCCGCTTTTGATCGTAGCGTCTTTGCAAAATGAATCCGACCACTAGCAGGACAAGGGCTGCGCAGGCAATCACCGCCAGGGCGATTAGCATGCCCTGAGAGGAACCGGACTGTAAAACGGCCACTTGCGTCTCAGGGTGCGGAGCGTCTTCGCAAAAAGGCTTCCCTTTGTGATCCAACCAATGCACAATGCGCCGAGAAGCAAGGTGAGCAGGGGACGCACACCTGGAAATTAAAAGAGAAAAAAAATCAGGAAAATGCAATTTTGAGTAATTTAAACGATCTTTTTATGGGGAAGCTGAATTTTTTATTATTTCATTATTTAGTTTATAAAATTTTTTATTTAAAATTTCTTCTTTAAATTTATGCAGGAAACAAAAATTGCTATTTTGATTGTAAGGCACGGAATTTTTTTTTTACCTGAAATTTACGAGCATGGACGAATTTTTTTTGTACAATATTGGCATCAACATATCCAGCATCCACTGAGCTTCACAGTTGCAGTCCCAAGGGTTGTCTTGCAGGTCAACAAAATCAACCATTGTCCACGGCACCAAGTCGCTAGGAATGTGCTTAAAACCATTGTTGCTTAGATCAATCTGCAATTTTTTTTTCAATTAAAAATAATTTCTCGCATTGTTTAAAATTGATTTTACCGTTTGAATACTCCAGTCCTGCTGCAGCTTGTCTTCGCCCATGAAAAAGAGCGATTTGTCTAGCTTGCCTAGTTGCTTGTTTCCGGCGCACCGAAACTGTTTTAAATCAGTGACACCTTTGAGCGCCGCGCTATCAACCTGTTTCAACTGGGGCAGGTTGCTGATGCTAAGGGTGGTCAGGGTAGCAAGACCAGTGAACGCAGAGCCTTCCACTCGGGCGATTTTATTTCCGTCAAGAATTAGGTACTGCAGGGCGCCTAAATAAGATTGAAGACACTCGGGAACGGTGGCCAGTTGGTTGTTGGTTAGGTCGAGCTCCTCCAAACGGACCAAGTTGCTGCACGTGTCGGTTGGAAATTCAGTCAGAGAGTTGCCGCTCAGGTTCAACACCTAAAAAAAAAAAAAAAAAAAAAAACGTGTACAAATAATGCCTTTTTATTATCAGACAGTAAAAAAAATTTTCGCCGAATTAGAAATAAATATTATGTATATTATTCTACCTTCAATTCGTGGAGCTCAAGAGGAGCGCCGGTCAGGTTGCTGAGGTGGTTGTCCTGCAGGTGAATTTCTGATAGTTGCGTCATGTGGCTGACCGCGCTCCAGTCGAATTCTTTTAAATTATTGTGATGCACTTTCAAAACTCGCAGGTCCTTGGCACCCTGCAAAGTGCGTTCTCGAAGTTCGGCCAGGCCGTTGTAGCCCAGGTTCAATTCCTGAAGGTCAAAATTGACAAAGGCTCGGTCAGGTATGTCAACCAAAGCGTTGTGCGCGAGAGACAAAGTGTGTAGCTTTTGCTTTGGCAGTTCCGGGAGTTCTTGCAGCTGAGCGTGGTTTAGCGAAATCGACCTGAAATGCAGCATTATTGTTGATTGTAAATAAAATTTTAAAATGAAAACAAAAAACAAAATTATTTGTTTATTATATGGAAAATTAAATATTTGCATAATACAACCGCCTTTTACTGCCAAAAACATAATTTTGTTGCGCTCGCTGAGAAAGCTGTGCTCGCGCTCAATTGAAAAATGTGCACGCTTTTTTTTAATACTCCATATTATATCAACTATCAACCGATTGAGAAGAATAAATAATTTAATAAAAATAACTATAATTATATAAAATAAAAAATTTAAGCAATGAACACCATAAATTTTGAAATTCATTTTAATCTATAGAAGCTTAATGAATTTAAAAAAATTTAAAATTTTAATTCAATTGCGTAAAGGGTGATAAATCAAATAATAAAGATTCAATTTAGTATCAAAAGTATGCAAAAAAAAAAAAACAACTTGAGATAAATAAATTGGTAACTAAATTTCGTTTCCGCTTTTGTACCTGTTTTTTATTTTAGTACCTTTGCCTGTAAAAAAAAAAACAAAGAGGCAAAATTAGCATAAAAGAGCACGCGCGCTCCTTATAAAATTGCGCTGCGCGCTCTTGCCCATGAACAAAAATATAAATATCTTGAGCTTTGTCCAAATATCCTTTCTTACTTTTCCCCTTTCCTTTTACAGCTTTTTTCGTGATCATACAGATCATAGCGTTGATTATCTAGGATCATCTTTTTCCAATGAAAAAAAAAATCTATGACTATTGTGCCATCAAAAATTGAAAATTTAATGTTTATTAAAAAAATACTTAAAACTTAAATAATATAATATATTATGGTGGTACGTCTCTGCGCCATCAAAAAGGGCACAGGCCGACAAGACTGGCAAAAAAAAATGAAATTTTCATCCACACTTCGCTCCTTGAATTTTTTCTTTCATAAAATTATTTATTTTTAGTAAAAACTTTTTGTTTTACATTTTTAGTTGTAATTGAAGTAAAAGTTGGCGGTCCATGGGGTCAGACGTATCTTATTAGTATATTTTACTATATATGAAACTGAGAATGTTGTCGTATACGCTCTATAAATTTGATGAGCACCCTTTTCTTTATACTGGTTGTTTTGTGTTACCATATATGAATAAAAGATAGAAAAGCTTCTTCTATATTCTCATTGTAAAAATTACATCCTGGGGACCAAGGATGTTTTATTAATAAATAAATGTAAAATAAAATTGAAGACTTGAAAACGTGATTTTTCGCACTTCATGGAAAAATTTTAATTTCTTTACTTTTCTTATAAAACTAACTTTTAATTTTTTGGTTCTTAAATTTAAAATAATTTTAGAATTATATTAATGTTAATGTTCTGATGGAAGCATATAACTTTAATTTGCGCAACACTCTCGATCACAATTAAGTAAGAAAATATGTGCGATAGGAGCATGGCCAAGTGCAGTTAAGAAACGTGCAATTTATTGAACTAAAATATGGGAAATTTCGAGACAAAATCTTCTTTTGCAGGTGGGTGCGTCAGATTTTTCAAAAAATTTTGTAAGCAATTTCGGGGTCGCGGGTCAAGCTAACATAAATATTAATAAAAGGAATCCACTAGATATAAACCCCATGAGAACATCAGAACAGTACAAAAAAACATGAGTATTTTGTTTATTATTTAATTTTTAACGATTAGAATAATGAGTTATTTTATTTTAGAGAAAAAATTTCAATAACTTTTTTAGTAATATTTATTATATGAATCACCTTAGATGAGTTGGCCAGACCTCGTCACGCGTCATCTCGATGACCGCATCCGTGTTTGAGCAGTGGACGCTGACTTGTCCGTTGGACGCCGTCGTACACCTGCAGACGACGCATATCGAGGGCAGTGGCGGCGCCTTTTTGGTGGACTGAGCGCCAGCCAAAGCAAAAGCCCCACATGCTAATACAAGCAAACTCACTGTCGTGTGCATGGGTGTGAAATGCGAAGCTAAACAGACAGATTGAATTGTAGCTGCTTGTCACACCTGAGGTGTGGCTTATCTCTTGCATACTCTGCTGCTGATAAAAATACAGAGCAACATCCGTGTCGCAGAGCTAGAGGGAGCGGGGGAGACCTATGCTGGGACAATTCTGGCAAAAGGATCAGAAATCATCATCCTCAAACGATAAGATAACGCACAGCGAGTGCGTGTGTTAATTTTATTATGGGAATACTTATGGCGTCATCAATTTATAATTTCGTGATTCTATTTCCTGCCATAGTAGTGTAATAACTAAAAAGAAAAACATTTTGTGTTTAATCGTTTCCTTAAAATTTTTATTTTTGAACGATTCATCATTCCGCTGTTAATATAAATAACTTTTTGAAATTTATTTTTCGTCTCATTAGTAATTTATTTTAACTTCATCTAGTAATATAAAGGCTTTTATTAAGGGACAATCCTTAGCAATTTTTTTTATATAATATTTGGAAAAGAACTATTTTCCGGATTAGATAAAATGGATAGGCATTCAAAATGAAACAAAATAGAAATTTTGCATCAAATGTGCTTCACTTTATGTTCAAGGTTGATCGATGACTCTTTACAAAGCTCACAATTTAAAATATCTCAATTTACATACATACTCTTGATTTGGTTATTCAACAAAAATACATAAAATGGAATGATTTTTGAGCACTTTAGCTTCGTTAACAAAAATAACCTCTAAGAAATGAAGGTAATTTGAATTTCATATTCCATATTCTCATTAAGAACTTTAGGATCGAGGCTTTTTTTAATATCTCCAGCAGAAAGTGCTTGGTGCTGGAAACCAGCTGCTACACCGTGCAATTCTGATTCTGCATTGCAAACTAAGTAAGAATTTAATTATTCAGCATAAGTGGGAATGGAGATTTCCTGCTCATTTTCAAGCCGCCAACTACATTATGGGACTATCGACTAAGTTTTTTTGTTTTGAATCCTACACTAACAAGGAGAATATTAACTAAAAATATTCTTCGGCACACCGTAGGCTCGACTTAAAAATAAACCGCAGTCTTGACAAAAGAAACTCATCTTTTCGGAACTAAACACAAATATCATGGTAAGGCAATGTCCGACACTCTGCGACAATAATTTTGCCCAGAGAAATAATTAAAAATGTACAAAATAACTCAGCTTTCTGATTCTTGAAAGGCGCAGAAGCTGTTTTTTTTTCTCCAGTGAAGCTTTTTCATTTAACTTGAAGTCGATTGATTCTTTTCATCTGAATTAGCAGCACTGGGCAATAATAAGAGATCAAACTCTGCAAACATATCACTCGATTTTCAAAGGCGCGCAAGCCGAGCCAGACGAAAGATCGTCCTCGAGCTCCTCCACCTCTCCTTCGCTTAACAGCTGCGTCAGTAGCTCATGCAGTGGCTCAAATGTTTTGCGGTAGCCCTGGGGCGTTAAGTGCAAATAGTCATCCATGTCATGAGCATCAATTGTGCCCTCAGCCTGAAATTTTTAGATATTTCAAAATTTTCAAATATTATTCGACTCGAAAATACAAGAAATAATTCAAACATCACTCTTAAATCCAAATCAAATGTGCATGTAAGTATTTTTTATGTAAACTGGATTGAATTAAGTGACTATTAATTATTCCTCAGATCATTTAAAATATTTTGATTTAATAAACTCAATAGGTAAATTTTCAAGGTGGCAACAAAAAACAGATCTGACATTCTTGAAAATGGTAGAATGAGGTAAAAAATATCTATTCTGCATTAAATCAAAATATTTAGAAGATCACAATTGGGACTTAAAGAAGAATTAAATACATGACATAAAAAATCACAATCATTGGAAAATATAAATTACGTATTAAAAAAATTATATAAAATTACTTGCAAATTAATATTTTCCAATCAACGGAATTCTTCCTTTCAACGCAATATTAAATGGAAAAATTGCAGTTAAAAGCAATATTATATCACGCTAGAATGCAATTCATTTGATCTATCTCCGAACAAGTCATTATTGTAAAAAATTTTGGATGGGAGAAGAAGAGGAACCTGCAGTGAACAACTCACTGAATCTCATAGACGATGATTTACCAAGAGGCGATTAGTGTCTTAATCTTTGATAAAAGAGCTGGTAACTTACGTGAACAATACCCTTATTGAGATCGAGTATCTGCAATCTGTCAAGTCCAGTCATTTGCTCCTTGAGCAGCAGGTTCACCTTGTCATTCCTTTCCCGCAGAGGGTTTGGTTTTTGGCCACGAGGAAGTAAAGCCTTCAAATTGAATTTATTTCAATTTCAGAATAAATAATTTAAAATAATTCTTTTCTTACGATTAAGACTAGATAGGCCTGAGGTTGTTTACTTTGAATAACTTTGACCACTTCTCTGATGCCCTCCACAATCTGTTCTGGCGAGTGGCCAATATTATTAGTACCAACAAGCAGCACAACAACCTGCGCATAGAGTTTCACGTTAAAAACAGTCATGACATAATAAATAATTAAATAATAATTTGTAAGTATAAATGGTACTAAAAAAGTTGGATTTTTTTTGCTCCGGAGAAAACTTGCCTTGGGCTTGATGTGTTCAAGTTCGCCGTTCAACACTCTCCAGAGAACATGCTGGGTCTGATCACCGCCGATGCCAAAATTCAGAGGGTGCATTGGCACGAAAACCTCTTTCCACATGTCCGAGTAGGTCAAGTTCCGGATGAGTGAGTCTCCGATGAAAAGCACTTCTGGCTCCCACAGTGTGGTCTCCTCCACAAACCGATTGTGCTGCGAAAGTGAATTCGAATAGAAAATTAAAATCCTGTTCATTGACCACGAATTTCAACTCACTATGCTCATCCATCGGCCGTCGCCCTGTACGTCTTCGGGAGGGACAGGTGTGGTTGCGGGGTTCATAATAATTATAAAATATCTCACTGCAGGTTTTTGCGGTTCGCGGCTCAACAAAGTACTGAACGTCGCACGAGACTTGACCTCAACACATTTAAGGGCGAATATTGAGAACCGAGGTTTCCGACAAATGCACCCAATCTCGGAAAATTTGACCACCGACGGACCGACGGCGAAAGGAAACGCGATTTTTGCCAAAATACAGAAAGAGAAGTCAAACTAGTCAAAGAAGTTGTTGCCCCCGAACGCTGCTGCCACCTGCAGCCCGACTTTGCAACTCACAGCATCAACACGCAGCGCGCGAATAATATTTCCACCCGAGCAAAGATTACTTTATTACAAAAGCATTAAAATAACATAATTATTATAAGGAAAAATATTTAAAAAAAAAATAGTTTATATTTAAATATTTTTTAATTGCTTGTTCATTCTAAAAGCTGGCAATTTAAGATTTCGCGATGAAGACGATCTTTATAAAAAAAAAAAAGAAAATATGGTATATGAAAAATATTAATGATTATTTTGGATTATTTATTTCAACTTTTGACACTTATAATTATTATAAAAAATGAGGGTGATCTATAACCCTGCCCTGGCGGAGGCTAATTTCAACCTGCGAACCTGCCACTGAAATTGTTTGCCCTTCAGGTTATAGTGAATTTTTTTATTCTTAAAAACAATTGCAAGCAAACAAGATGCAATTAATAATGTGTAATATACCGTAGATAGGATTAAAGAATGAGAAAAAATAATTTAAAAGAAATACTGCCTTCTTCATTATTTTATTTATTCTCAATTCATTACTGACAAATGGAAATGCAATTTAAATAAATGAAAAACTTTAAAAATAAACATAAAAATGTAAAAAAAGTATGAAAAAAAAATAGTTAACTCTGGGAACTAGAAATTAGTCTCTCTACCTTCTTTTTTAGTAAAAAAAAAGAATCAGAAATTAAAAGAGACTGGTATACCATTGCGATGATGCGATCCAGAAGTAAGAATAAAAAAAGAGATTCTTGCTTGGAGCCGCGCGCAGATATTTCAGACGAACTTCAACTTGAGCTTTAAAGATCAACATTTCATTTTTTTAATAATTTATTTAGAGACTAAAAAGAATTAAATGGGAATGGTCTTTATTCTTTAAAAACACACTTACATTTAATGATTTAATTTGAATATATATCATGTCACCAGCAATTTTAAATTTAGATTTTGGTCGGAGAGATTTACATAACCCTAAGGTTTGCAAAATATTTAGTGCTAGGTCGAGGGCCGAGAGGTCTCTGCAAAATTTTCCGCATATACATAAAAAATTCAAAACGACAAATCAATTTGCTAAACACTCTTCTCTGCTTTCATTTGATTTCGGCCCTGACAAAACAGCAGACCTCGATTTGCGCACAATTCGATGCGCGGCTAGAAACAGAAGACTGCGGACGACGCTATAAACTGAGTTTCGCGGAGCAACCGCTTTTTTGCACTACGAATTCGCAAACACTTCAAGGTTTTAACTATTATTTCAGCCGATTTTGACTCGCAGAAAAATATTCAATATTTACGAATATACGATTGGATTTCTAGATATTGTCCGGTTGATTGATTCAAATCGACAATTCGCAAAGTGACGTCACGCAAATTGGCACAGTGCGCAACTTTACGAGGCAGTACCTCGGCGTCAAAGTGGGGACGACCTTCGCTGGAGGCCGGACTTGGTAGTTCGGGCGCCGACCGATTCGCGAGAAACGGCCCGAATTCGGCCCAACTGGCCGACGAGCTTCTGCAACTCGAACGTTTCTAGTTGCCGGAGATTTGCACTTTCCTCAGGAGACGCGACTCGGTGGATCGACAGGCCGAACGGTGTCGGCCAGCAGGTGTTAAGGGTCGCGATTCGGCGGGCAGGGGAGCGGCGCTGGCGTCGCGCTGTCGGTTTAGGGAGGAGACGGCCGCCATTAATGACGAAGAGTGACACCTCGCTTATCTGCCACTCAAACTGACAGCCGACGGCAGGATTGAAAATCGCCGATTCGTCGCCCCTGACACGAGCAGGTGAGTCGCGGGGACGGGGTCCGAGGGCTCGAGGGGGCGGCCGGGACCCTTGGGCCGGGGGTTTAAGTGAGGCGCGGCGCGGAAAATCGGCGCTGCTCGGGCGGGAGAGAAAAAAAGTTGGCCGCGGTGCAGCAGCAGCAGCAGCGAACGGCAGCCGCCAGGTTTGTTTTGACCCGTCAATCAAATCTGAAAATACCGTGGTGGGGCTCGCAGAGTTGTCAAGAAAAGGCGTGGGGAACGCCGCACTTTAAAAAACCATAAATCAAGCAAATAGGCCCGCGTCTATGCAACCACTTGACCGCGGCCGCCGATTAGGCCGCCGAATCGCGAATGCAAAGGCGCGCGCGTTCGCCTGCGAGCGTAAAAAAAAGGAAACGAGTCGAGACGACAAGACTCGTCAAGGTCTTGCCGACACCTGAGTGTGTTTTCCTAGGTAAGAGGCACCGCTGGACGCTTTAATTTTTAATTAGGCTCACGCAGCCGTCGCGCAGCACTCGCGCCGTTTTAATTAGGCAATCACTTTTTATTCGGCCGGCGCCCTTTGAAGTCTCAACATCCTTTTGCTTAATGTATTAATTAAATATTATTGTCTAAGTAAGTAAGTCGACTAGTTCTGGAAATATGCTGTATTTTTTACGTTCAATGAAGTCTACAAAATTTCAAAATAATACGGAAAATTATGTCAAGCAGGCCAAAAATAACATTTTTGTCATAACTGATCAAAAATTAAAAGATATCCTATATTTTAACACGATTTTTTTTCAACGATGCAAAAAAATTAATAATTTATAAAATAATAATTACTTATTATTAAATAATAATTTGTATAACTTTTTAAATGATAATAATACTAATCAAAATAAATTTGAATTCCAATATCTATGAAAAAGTTTTTTTTAGATTCGATAAAATATTTATTTCAACTTAACACTCTCCATATCTCTCAAAATAAATTGTTCTGTCAGAGCGTTTTGCCATCTATTGTGAATGTTGATGAGCTTAAAAAAAACTATTCATTTTTAATGCAATATTCCCTTTCAAGTTTTGATCTTATTGTTAGAATAGAATCAATTGCGGGTTGTTTTCCTTTGGCAATGAAAAAAACAAAGGAATGCACCTCACCTCTCAAAGAAGGGTGCTGGGCAGAGAAACGAGAAACTAAATTTTAGAGCAACAAGCAGGGAGACTGCATTGTTGTGTGCAATAACGCATAAGGACGTTAAAAGATAAAATATATAAAAAATTGACTGCAACCAAAATTATAAAAAAAAAATAATTTATGTATTTCCCATCTTTCCTATATAATTTTTTTTTATTAAATTAATTTCTAATTCGATGAATAAATAATTAAAATATAAGACGTAATTAAGAGGGGAGGTGATTTTTCCTTTTTCAAGTAAAAATTCTATTTCTTTATATTTTATGATAATTATCCCCTTTTGTTTGAAGAAGTTGACACTCGCTTCATTTACATAATTATCCCGGCCAGAAAATAAATTGAAAATTGTCAATTAAAATAATTTGCAGCCAAATCATCAAAACAAAATATAATTTCAAATAATACCTTTTGATTTATTACTTGCAATTTAAAAAAAAATCATGCAGCATTTCAGCCATAATTAATTCGCAAATTATTATTTTTTTTTACTGAAAAATTACCTCGGCAGCTCTTTGCTAATATTCAGCGCAAGACGTGTCTCTTCAAGTAGATATATTTTGTGCTTAATTCTCTTGATGATCGCAGCAGCCTCAACGCGTTGTGCCTGCCAAACGCGTCTTGCACATAACATGATATGTATTGGGCTCGAGAGTGAGGAGAGACGTAGCCTTGTTACCTTGCGCTGCGTATGCATGATCATGAATTATTCCACGGCAATAAGAATGGAAATCCAACCATGCTGCCTTTTTCATTCCTCGATACACACGATTATGCCTTATCGGCGGCGCAGGAGGCCTTTGCCAGAAGACGCAATCTCAATGCAATTCGCTCTCGCTCTGTGTCCAAACAAACCTGTTTCTGCCTCGCTCGCCACTCTCGCCACAGTCCACATCAAATTATTCATTAATTAATCAACTAGTGCACGAGATTCCTTGCCAACGCAAATAACTTGCGTTTGTCTGCCAAAAAAATTATGAAATGTTTTTATTGTTGTTTATTTGTCCATTTTTTTTACATAAAACAATTTATTTGAAAGGACTTTAGGAATTGTTGGACATTTTTTAAAATTTATTTTACTCTGAACAATAAATCCATACAATTCAAGGAACATGTATTACATATTATACATATTACATGTAATTATTTTTTTCACGTGTAAGAAGTTATATGTAAAAAAAATTAATTACGTTTTCCTGACAAACCGACCTGATTTGTAAATATTTATGTAATTGCAAACTTTTTTTCATTTACAAAAGGATCTTCTTTTCAAAGAAGAGAGCTTTGGCTGTTAAAAATCATTGTCAGGTAAACGTAAATTTTTAAAACAATGCAGTCTAATTAGACGAACAAAAAATATAATAATAATTATATAATAATACAAAAAATTATATTTAAGAGTCATAAATATGGGAGGTATTTTTTCCAATTTTAATTCAAAATTCTATTTCTTAATAATATTTTGTGATAATTATTATTTATTATATTTAAATTTGCATAATTTTCTATTATTATTTTCCGTGAAAAAAATCAAAAACAATTGCTTGTCACTTTTACAGGCTTGAGAAATATAAATGAATGCAGCATAATGATAAGCAGAGATCATGATTTTTCCATAGTCCTGGAAATTTTCCTCTCCTTGCTGAGCAAAGTATGCTCGAATGTTTGCAGTACAGCAAAATTTTCAATTTTCTAGCATTGTTAATTAACTGCTATAAAAAATCTAAAAGAACCTTTTTCTTAGCTTTTCCAACTGATTGTGAGTCCTACTTAAAATGAGCTAATTCCGTTTAATATGAAAATATTTGTGTCTTATGGAATGTTTTCTCCCTTTTGAAATTTGAAATATTAATTATCATAATAATTTCAACTATAAACTTTAAAGGACAAATTATTCTCAACTTTTTTTGCAAATTGTTTTGTTCAATTCTACACATAATTCATTTGTTCTAATTTCTGACAAATGAATTTCTGATGAATAAGTTTCGTAAAAATAATGAAAAATAGTTTCTGATATCTACTGTTCTGATGCACATTTAAAAATTGTGCATGTTCAGTTTGATAATGGCTCTACTGACCACCACAATTCATTTTGTTGAAGGCTTTTTTTACGAGTTGCTGAATGACCGCGAAATCACTGCTATCACTAGTGCACAGAAGAATGCTAGGGAAATATAATTCGGCGATCTGAATCAATCAATAGTTGAGCAAGCAAATGGAGCGCCGGCGAGAGTGAGGGCGAATTAGGAGGAGGCCTTTTGCTATTGACTTTCGGGGGGGCTGCTACACTTTGTGTGTAAATATATTGCGCGGATGCTGAGTGTGGTATTAGGTTTTGTGCATGCATACATGGGAGAGGCGCGAGAAAAAGAGTCATGAATATTGCATGCATTAGAGCGGCTGCACTGCTGGAAGTAGAAGAAGAAGAAGACGCGTCCCCTGCCCGCGCGTCGAGATCCGCACACGCGGTGATTACCATAAATAACGCATTGTTATGCGCAAATTACTTGCTCCATAACCCACCCCACGGCCGATGCTTTATTTTTAAACTAGCTCCGCACGTTGTCGCTCGCTCGCTGCCGAGTGCATTAAAATTTCTGCCTAATGGCTTGTTGTTTTATGCTCGGCTCCTTTAATAATGCAGTACGTACAAGGAAGGAAAACACGCGCGCGATATTTAAAAGGTGCGCTCGGGGAAAAGGGGCCAGTTGAAAAAGTCCTCCCTTGGCTTAAAAGTCGCTTCGACGCGCTAAATTGCCCTGGAACCATTTGAGAATAAATTGCATTTTTAATTTACTTATTATGCTTGTCCTTCCTCCTCATTCAACTGCAAAATAATTTTTGGATCATAGATCGATAGTCTCCCTGCTAATTAAATATATACAAAAATTATTTTTTTGCTATTAATTACTCCCGATTTATTGGTTAACATTGCATCTCAATAAATTCAGTATGTACTACTTATGAAAAAAATGCGGAAATCATTAAATTTGCATAAAAGTTTTTCATGCAAACAAAATACTGGATAAATAATTTTAATTAGGATTTTAAGTAAAAACAAAAATTTACACTTAAAGGAAAAACTAAGTTATTTAAATTCTTCATTCAAATATATTTTTGTAGTTTATTTATTTCTATACTATTTTCTTATTCTTCAACAATAAAAAAAATCAATTCGGTGTCAAATAAAAAAAAAATTATATAATATTTAAAATCAATAAATAATAATAAAAAAAAAAATGAAAAAAATTAATCTATTTTCTCATAACAAGTAAAATAATACTAGATATCACATTGGGAAAGGAGAATTGGCAATCATGCTCATCTAATTCATGTAAAAATCTTATATCGTACTTGATTTGATTACCTAGTTTTATTCTTATTTTTGCCCTTTATCAAGCTTGTGTATGTGATAAAGAAACTTGAAAAATTTAATAATCTGCCTATTCAGTAATGGTTAAAATTATTTGATTCTCTTCATTATATTCTATAATTGTGCGAGGAAAGTTTTTTTTTACTTGCCGAACTGGAGGGCCTGAAGGTTAAGGAAATTATAGAATTCTTTGAATTTTATACATTCAAACTTTTTCATGTGTGTTAAGTTAAATGAAAAGGAGTGAATAAAAATGAATAATTTTAGTTTGCTCTGTTCTGAATTCGAGCGCCACTCCCTATACACTGCACTATGCAGTCATCGCTGAAGTATTTCTCGCTCACTCGATCCGCAGCAACATCTCTCCTCGTAGTCTCTCTTTCCTCCCTCTCTCTCTTTCCAACACTGCGATGCACTTAATTAAAGATGTTGCGCCGAGAATTCCAGTCAGTTTTGACTTGTGGGGTGCCGCAGAGGTTGAAATTAGTGCCGACCGACGCGCAATTAGATTTTCCTTTTGCAGTCTCCGCACTCTGTATTTTTCTCTCTCTCTCTTGTTTGATGCCAAAGGGACGCGTCCGATCCAAACCCCATAGAAGATATGATCCCAATAAAACACGTATGGAGGCACCTATGTGATGTGGTAACAGACTAAGCTCGCTTTTGTCTGCACAAAATTGCAAACGGTCATGTATATAAAGGATGTTTGAACATTTTTTTGTATAAAAAAAATAATTAATAATTATTTGTTTAATCCTTTCATCGTCCAATTGTCGAGCAATTCAGTTATCATATTTTTAAAATTACACAAATGAAGAAAAAATATTGCATAACATTTAACCATTTTTTTTCAAGAGTAGAATTGTGGAGATGCTTAATTGACAATGATAATAAAAACTTATCTAAACTATTTAATGAATATTCATGCAATCAAAATTCAATAAGTCTTGAATTAAATGATGGTATTTGTAAAATATGCTTGGAGCGTGTGTTTTTTTCCATGGAACAAGTTGATGTCCTAACCTGGTTTACTGCCAAAAAAATTCATCTTCTCTTTCTGCTTTCAATAAAATATAAATAAAAATTTTATTTCCCTCGAAAAAGGATGGATTTTTTTTTATAAAATTAGTCACATTAATTTTCAAAAATTTAATTGTCATATCAAATAATAGTAACTTTGAGTTTTTTTTATAATTTTATTCATTTTTCATGACACATTTGTGATCTGCTCTCTCATATTATAGAAGCAAACAGGACTCGCAATCAAAGCGTCGATCTTCCCCTGCAAAACTTGATTTCGTCGTGCCGCTCTGATGGGCCCCTGATGAAAAAATGAGTGTCCTATCTCATGGCAGGTGTCATTACCCGCGGTGCGCACGTGTCACAAATTATTTCCTGTGCGTATACAAATGCCAGCAATTTTTGTGTGAATTCGCCCGGAGATAAGGGGCGATTTTTCGCACCCAATTCGCGCGCGCTGACGAGAAACGAGGCGGAATTCAAAACGTGTGCAATTGGGCCGTGGCGTGGTAAAAAGTGATAAGGAGCCGCACGTGGGGGGCGTGAACGTCAAAGCAGAAAAGCAGTCAGTCAAACGCACAAAAACGCCGGCAGCTCAGTGTTGCTGGCGCCGCCGGGCTGCGAGGAGCTGCCCCCAACTCCGATCCACCCTTCAGGCTCGCACCGCGTGTTCCCCACGTTCAAGTCGGGTAAATTCGCAACTTTTTGCCTTATAGATATTTTATATTTGCGTTGATTTATTTGAATCCATTTATTCCAAAATTTACCCTGACATAGTTACTCGGTTAAGATTTGGGGTATTTTTCTTTCCAATTTTCACAACCCTTTCATCAATTGATGTTTTTCAGTTTGCTTATAAATTGATTTCTATACTTTTAATAATTTTTCTGGGCTTCTGCATTTCTTATCATGAAAAATAAAATTAAAAATTTTAAGATAATTTCCCTCTCTTTATGATGTAAATTGTTCCATTTTTTTTTAATGTATGTATGATGTACCTGGGCAGTAATTGCCTTTCTCAATAAAGACACTTTGTAACTAAAATTCAAATAAAATGGATGTTAAAATAATGATGACTTATGCAAAGTTGCTTCAAGTTGAAATTCTTCCTGAACTTATGATTTGAATAATTTCAAAAATTGAATTTTTATCCACTTTTTGTTAGTTCTTTTGCGCGTCAACAAGCCTCGAAAATCATTGCGATGGAAACCTAATTGTAAACATCGAGTTTTAAATTTTAAATAAATTTTAAGCAGCTTCTTAAGCCTCATTAGTACAAGTTACAGTGACGCTTTTTTTTATTTTAGAACTGCCGGACGTAATCCTCTTTTACACAAACTATAGTAATAAATAGTAAGAATTTTGAAGGAGGCACGAGATAGGCAAGCCCAGCAAGCATGCACCAAAGGCGCGTTGCATAAGCGGTTAGGAGCTCATTGATTCTATGTTTAATGTTAATTCCTACGCGACAAGTGACAATTACTTGTCGCCAGTTGCTTTTGATTTTTGAGTACTATTTTGAATCGCTTTGTCTCCACTAACACTGTGGAAAGCAGTTTTGCTATTGTAATAATATACAGAATGCGCCCTCTAATCTACGAGAGATTAAAAATAATTTTATGGCCCTTTGTTTTCATAATTATCATTTTATAATATTTAGAAAGATTTAACTTTAGCTAAATCCATGAAAAATTATTATTTCTTTAACTAAAAAAATATGATGTTTTTTATGCTCATTTAAAATCTTTTATTTATTTTCACAAACACAACATAAAACTGTTATTATTTATTGCATTGTGGCCGCGTATTGTAATAAAACAATACTTGTCAGATCATGAATAACTTGCAAAACTTGCATAATTATATTATCACTTAAGAACCAAACTATTATTTATGTTTATTTGTTCAACTTGTTACATCACATTGTTTACATTCAATTGTCGAAAACATTTTATGTAAAAAAATTAATTTTTGGGCACAACGGCACCACCACTAGTAAGAATTTATCTAAATTTTTTTAGATCAAAAAGACCACATCAGCCGTGGACTTGTATTTATTCTTATCACATCACAAAGCGTTGCAAAAAAATTTAAAATTTTTTAATTGATCGGTTCTTAATAAATCAAAGAAAACTAGTTAAATGCAATGATAGAAGAAAAGTGACAAATGCAGTATAATACAGTGAACGTGCAATTTTCTCTTATTTTTCTTTTACGTCGCATTAAAATTTGTATGATTAATTTTCAAATTTAATTATATTGCTGATGTAAACAAATTGAGAAATTTAGCAATCAGAACTAACTTCCTTTGAGGTTCAAATTAATTTTATCTAGAAAGATGAACCTCCAATTAACACTCAAACTACAATTTGTCTTTTTAAAGTGAATTGTTCTAATTTATATGTTGGTTATTTTTCAGTTTTATTGAGTGTTATAAATTATATTTATAAAAATTGCTCATGTAAACTAAAAGTGCTTTTTTTATAAATTATAAAATACCATTTTTTATTTTTTTGCGTTTACCTTTCGCAAACGTTTCTTTGATCCTGTAACTGTTGTTTAGGCTTAAATTAGTATCAGTTTTCTTAAGTGGTTTTTGTCTAACATTTTTGTGTTTTATGTTGCAGATCGAGAGGAGAAAAGCGATCACGCGTCTGCTGCCTGGTGAGTACCGAACCAAGAGTTAAGTTGTTTGCGCTCGACCAGGATTCCAATTTGCCACTTCTACGAGCCAGAGACAGGTCGCAAATGCCGCGGTATGAATATTAATGGATGCCGATTGCTTACCGAGTCGGCTAATAACACAAAAGGTCATTTCTGTTTACGGGTGTGCGCGCGAATAAATCGGCATTAGCCCGAATGCAGCTTTGCATTTATTATAACGTCTGCCGCGGCGGCGGCGGCGAAGAGGGACGAAATAATAATAATTCCGGCAAGGTGTATCAGCTGTAGCGGCGACGGCGACGGCACATGCAATATTGAAGTGCCTGGGAGAGCTAGGGAGGAGAGAGCAAAAGTTTGTGTGTAGCAATTTCTCTCTCTTTTCCTGTTTCTCGTGTAACGACTTGCATGATGCTGCCATTTGTATGCGAAGTCGCGATCTTCCCTTCTACTTGCGCTCCGCCGGCCCGAGCGCTCCTCCATGATAAACAAACCCTTCGAGGTAGGCCTGACAAATCTTACCCCCTGAGCAGAATGGCAGAAAGTGAGATGGGCAGGCCAGAATCTTTCATACATTCCTTCTGCGATTGATTCAAAATAATGATTCTGATTTATTTATTTGTTTATAATTATTCTTTTTAATTATCAGAGTTTAACTTTTGTAGGCTAATTTTTGTAAATTTGCAAATAATTTCTTTTTGTCCCATTGCTTCTTTAAAGTTATGGTCTAAAGGTCAAAAATTTGAATAAATAAATAAAAATAATCAGCTTTTTTTAAAACTTGAATTGCTTTTGGTTTTGCTTATATTTTCTAGATATCTTACAAAAATTTGGCAACCTCTAGTTTAGCACAAAAAATAAATAGCTGAAGAATCTCATCTTGAACTGTGCATAATAAAAATCGAAATAATTAAAATAAAAATTACAATATTTTTATAATATCAGTAATCAAATTTTATTATTATGTAGGTTTAACATCGGCCTACAAAATGGAAATAAAACACTATAGACTAATTGTATAGAAGGTCAAAAAGAAATTGAAAACCTTAAATTAATTGGAACATAAATGGACTGAGCGATCATTTTTTTTTAATCGGCTTTATATTATGAAACAATGACATACTTTTGGATAAACTGTTCGGACAACTAACATAGGTGACTTTTCTAGAAGAAGCCTCTTTTTAACACATAGTCTTTAAAAATAACAATAGGACAAATATTTATATTTTACAAAAACTTTAAATCATTCAGTTTTGTCATCCAAGGCTCAATGCGGCAGATGGATCTTTTTTTATCTTGGAAGTTTTAGCAAAATTCTTACTAGTGATTTTGTCCAACCGAATTTCCTGTGATTATAGGAAAAATCAAATGCAGTAATAAATATGAGAGAAGAATTTCACTCCCATTTTTTCTTTTTTTTTAGACAAAATTTGTTTCATTATTAATTTTATATCAGTCGGCCTGCTAAAAACCCAATAGGGGAAACGCTTTCGTGAAAATAAATTAAGGCTGGTTTGTGAAAATTATAGATTTGCATATCCTGCAAGTTGTGTCTTTTTGCCACTCAAAAAATAAAAAAAATTAATGAATAAAAACAAAAATTTAGGACTAAAAGTACTCTCGGTAATCAGAATGATAAAAAGTTATTTGTTCCTGAAGGTATGGGACTGAAAATTGTATCCAAAAATCAGCTCTAATTATGAGATTTTTCATTTTATTTAATATTTTTTGTTTTTTAATTACTTGTTTGGAGAAAAATAAATAATGAATTGAAAATGATAGTGTGTAATAAAAAGCAAGAAAAAAAATAAACGAAAAACATGAAAACCCGATAGATAGATATTCGTTTTTTGCAAACAACTGTATGCGTGTAAATTCAAATGGAAAGAGTCGTGGTCGGATCGTATTTTTCCGGCCTATGTATGTGGGTGAAAAGTAATCGGGTGCGAAACGAGATCAATCAGGCCGTTTGCAAGTCAAGCATCGCTTTCTACCTTCCTTGCGCCCGTGCCGACTTCTTTTATATTCTTTGCTCTCCGCGCATAACTTATGCCCTAATAAACCCTGCGTGCTCTTGGCAGACTCGGTCTCGTCCGCCTCGCGCGTTTCTTTTCTGCGCTTCTCGGCACTTGAGAAGCGAGGGCGAAAATCTTACGATGCCCTGCATGATGGCCCCAGATGGTCACATACATTCGCTCCTCCGCCTCTTTCTCTCTGTTTTTCATCTTGCCGGCGAAAAGCAGCCGACTTTATTCAAAATGAAAACGCTCTGAAAGTTGGTATGGCGAGCGCCAAAGGGTTTTTACAAATATAATCAACGCTGCAGGCCCCGCGCGCGCGGCTCACTTATAAACAACTCGCGCATAATTAACGCATAAAAAATAATGAGTCCTCTTAATATATATGCGAAAGTTAATCTAATTTACTTTGTGCAGGCGGACGAAATACGATTATCGCCGTGAGTATTAAACACAGCAGGGTGTAATAAAGAGAATTAGAAAATATGAGTGAAAAGAGTCGGCAGCTCCCGCGTGTCTGTTTCGTCGCTGCGGACGTGTCGAGCGAGGGAAAAGCGTGAACGACAAACACAGACGCAGCAAACAGAGGAAAGAAAATTGCCCTTTTCGCGCCGTTCGCAGGAAGGGAGGTTTGCTCTGCGCTAATTTTGAAATTAAAAAACGCGAAAGCACCAAATTTTTATTACGTCAAAAGTTCACTCGCAGGTTCTTGGAGCCTGCCAGAGTTACATCGTCAAACAAACAAAAGCGACACGCATTCATGCAAAGGCAGAACGTGTGCCAAGTAAAATTGAAATAACCCAGCGAATATTGAGCGTTTTTTACACTCGCGTGAAGAAACAACGCGACGGAGGAAGCGCTTCCACGTTCATAAATTCAGTAAATCTTATTTTCGCAAAAGAAAACTGTCGCACGATCATTTCTGGAAAGGGCGGAATGCACTCTTGGCATGAAATCCAGATCCTCGTGTTTATTCGGCGCCATAAATTGTGTATCCTGACGATTTGAGCTTTGTTTATCCCTTGAAGATAATAAATAATTAGTTATAAACAATAATTATTTAAAGATTATTAAATAATTTATTATTAAAATAACTTTAAACAAAATCCATTAGTGAACAAGCTTCATTTATTGAATTTTGTATTTGAGAAGAATCATATAATAATTTTAAGTAATTGATTTGTCCAGGAATTGTTACAACCTCATTGTGGCTATTAAATTTGTAAAATGTGTTGTTTAATTTTGAAATAGAATTTCACGATCGAGGGTTGATCCATGGTGATTTGAATTTAAACTCTGCTTTTCCTTGATGGGTTTTATGAGTTGTTTATTGTTTAAGAAAAAACAATATCCTGCTCTACATGTTTCGGCTGCAGCCATAATTCATGAGCTGTGAAATCATTTTGACAAGAATTAGTACAAAAATCAATCTTTTAAAAAAAAAATCCTTCAGATTAAAAATTATTCGTAAAAAATTATTCAAAGTGACATTTTAAAACTAAACAATTTTTAATTTCTAACATAAAATCCATAAAATTTTACAATTGATTAAAAAAAATTGTAACGAAACAATTTTCATAATAATTTTGATCAGAATATTGAAACGTGTGTTTTGAGCGTACCTTTCTCAGCGGTCGAGAGAAGACTTAAATATTGTTGGCAAAACTACAAGTTATTGAATCGAATTCATTTCTATTTAAATTTTATAAAACCGCTTTATTTGTGATTGGAACAAAATTTCATATTTAAATTTGATTGTTTGTTTCCGAAAAGCTATTTTTCCACTCACTCTCATTACAACTAAACAGCGTGTCATGTTTTGACAAGATTTATTTTCCGTAAACTTTTTTGCTCTATTGAATGATCGATATATGATTTTGATTGGAGAATAAATTAATCTGCACACTTAAAATTAGGACGAGCGAATCTTAGCTTCTCGTTGGCCTCCGCACAAAGTGATCGATTCATTCCTTTCACTGCAGCAGAGACGATCTTGGCAATTATTCACACCTCCGTAATGACCTTGGCGTGACGCGGCGCTGGTCCGTCCGTCCGTTTCATCTTGGCTTCGCGCATTCGGCTTTGTCACGTGTGCGAGTGCGCTCTCGAATAAATATTCGGGCCGCGCTGGCTGCTGCTGCTGCTGCTTCTTTATTGCAAAGGAGGAGGAGGGATTTGGCAAGTGCCTTACACGCGAGGATGAGGCCAACACACAGCAGCGGCGGCGGCGTTCATGTTTTTATTATGCCACTTTTTATGTCAGCCGTCGCATATTTTTATTGTAATACGGCGCGCGGCAGCAGCTTTTGTCTTCATAAAATATATATACGCCCTCTTTTTATACGTGGCAATTATGTTGTTTGTATTCAGCAAGCAAACTTTTCATAATGCACTGGAGTTAAGTTGCTGCCGCTGCTCGTGAAATGTGCTCTCTCTCTCTTTCGCTGGCTGACTAAGAGAGGTACACATACATAGGCATGACTTTGGTACAAATCCCCAACTAAGACGGCGACGAGCACGACGCGCGCGCAAATCCTTTTCTCTCCTGTGTGTGCATCCGCGACTTATTTCACCCGCACACTCGGATCCGCCGCCGCCGCCGCAACTTTTCAGCCCTCGCACGATCGCCTGCACTTTAATGGGCTCAAATGTTCCTCCGCCACCTATGACCTCCTAATCCTCCTCCGGCTTAAATAAGATTCCGCCCGCGACCGGAATCGCGAATCAGCGTTCCTGAATTAGCATGATTTTGTCAATAGAGCTAATTCATATAGCTGGTGTTGCTGGGTATGACGATTATTGGAAAAGAGAGAGAGAGTTGTGCGTATTGCTAGGCTTTTTTTCACGTGACGAAAAGGCATTTTCTGCACAAATCAAGTGATTTTATTACGATTGGCACCGATTATTCACAATTTCCTGAGAGCGACTAAAAGAGACTAATATGACAGGCTTTTTAAGCTTTTTTAAGGACTCCTTATTGACATA